TCGTATTTAATTAATTATCTTCGAGCGTATTTTACGGGATATTTAGGAAACCGACGGATGCCTGGGTCGTCGAATCCCGGTCGAAATATAACGCGGTACCTAATAGGTTTTTAATTTTGTTAATTAGCTTTTTTATTATTTTCCGAAAGTCGTTTATTATAAGCTATATACGCTTATACGAAACCCGCGGCCCGTCCTATTAAATATAGCTTTCGAACGGTATATTAAATGAAACGGCTATACCGTACGTACGGTTTAACAAAATCTAGTTTATAACGCTTAGCCGCGACCGGGCGGATACCTTAATTATAAACCTATTTATACGCTTCCGTATTCGCTCGAATAGGCCTTTTATGGCGAGTTTGGCCTTTTCGCGCTAATAGCCGTTTATGACTTTGCTTTCGATTTTCCGTTTTATTTTTATTATAAACCGCGTTATAATTATAATACGTATAATTTTAATAACGGCCGAATATTGCTTCGTATAATTAAATACGTCCATTTAGTTATTATCGTCCCGGATATTTATAACGGCTAGCCCGCTAATAATTACGCTTTCGTACGGCAATAAATAATAATAATAGTCGAATAGCGCTAATAATAGCCGTATTACTAAGTCGTTTAGGCGGTCCTGCTTTTTACTGCTTTTTCGGAATAAAAAAGCCGCTACTATATTTTCCCCGTTTTTGCCCGGCTAAAGTAATACCTTTAAATCGCCTAAAATTTTATTTTATAATAGCGTTAGCTCGTACCGCGGCTTTTTTTCGTTTTATAAATTTTACGTCTTTTATAAATATAAAAGCAGCTTATTTATAAATATACGATAGCGCACCTATGTATTTTTAGCTATAAGCGGCTAAAACGGGCTATATTTTTTAATATTTATATCGCGTATTATTTTAAAAAGCGTAGCGGCACCGGCCTCGAAACTATATACCTGCTTTTGCGCCTCGTTCGCTATTTTCGTATAGCTATCCCAAAATACCTATAAGGCCGTTTCGTTTAGCCGTAATAATTATAGCGTATTACACAAGCGCTTTAGGCCTTTTTCGCTTTTAAAATTTACTAAATACCGCGCCTAATTTATTTTCCGTATTTACGGGTTCGGCTCTAGCTTTTTATTTACGTTATAAATCGCCCGGCTAGCCGATTTATTTAATAATACGCTTTTTTGGCTAAAGGTATATAATTAGATATTAGGCGATAATTAAGGCGGGGATATTTTAATAGCTAGTATTTTATATAACGTCCTCGGCGGTTTTTTTTCTGCCTCCTTTTTTTTTTCCGCTTTTTCCGCCTTTTTTTCCTATTATTATTATAGTACGTCGGTTAGGTCTAAATCTAAATCGCCGCATATAAAATTTAGTATTTCGGTATTTTAAGGTCGCTTAAATAATTATTCGTCGTACTCGCCGTCTTGCTTTTTTATTCGTATTTTTATTATTAAAATAGTATTTCCGAAAACCTTAAAATATCGGCTAACTTTCCGTCCTAAAAAGAACTTTTAGTATTAAACGCCTTCCTTTTACGGGACGGCTATTATTTTTATATATTTCTTTTGCCCTTTTTATTTCCGGCTATTTACCCACCTATGCTTTTATTTATAATACTTTTATATTTTTTTAACATAGCGCACGATATATATATAATTATCGCAAGCTATATTATTTATATAAAGCGGGCCTAAATCTAAAATCGGCCCGCGCGTCGGCTTTAAGAAAGCGAAATCGTCAAACTGGCTTTATATATAGATAATACCGTATAGCGTTTATACGGTATCCCTAATAAATTTACGTTTATTGGTCGGAACGCTTTTATATTAGTTTTTAAATAAATACCGCTCGATTTCGTTGCCTATATAAGCGTAGCGGCATTAGCTGCAAATTACGATACGGAAATCGGGTAAATAAATAAAGGGATAGATAAATAATACTATTTTTTTACGATAAAAAACCAGAATAAAATAATATATATATAAATAGGTATATAAGAAATAATTATATAAACCCCGTTTTTTTTTTTTTTCCTCTAATATCTCTTTTTTCGTCGAAATTAAAATAAAGGAAATAATAAAAGGATAAAGGAAAAAAAAAAATAGGAATAACGAACAAAAATATAAATAAAAGATAAATAAATAAAAGCAGTATATAGCGAAAAAAAAAAGCAGGGGGGAGCGAATTTATATAATACCGATAAACCTATTTTATCGGCCTATTTTTTCTTTTTCGTTTATCCGACTTTATTTTAGCCCGCGGCCGGGAGGGACGTCGTAATAATAGTAATAGTAATCTGGTCCGACGAAATGGGTATAGCCTCCTATTAGGATAGGGATAGTTAAATTAGGTTAAATCCGTCTAGCAATCGAACGAATTTAACGGGAACGCGTAAAATTCCCAAGCTATGGCCCCGCCCCCCGCAGCTACCGGCAACTAATAAACCCCGGCTAGCTGCCTGCGCCCGCGGGGACGGCCTCGCCGGCGACGAGACGGCCGCAGCGGCTATAGCGCCCGTCGGATCGTAATAAAAAATAAACCGTTAGAACCGCGCTAATCGGAAGGCTTAAATATTAAATTTTTGCTCCCCGATCGGGCCCGTTTTCGTAAAGTTCTAGTTAGATTCGTATCGAATAAACTCTACGTTTCCGATCGAACGAACTTTACCCCCGGCCTTTTCGGTGGAGACAAAAGTGCCTATACAAAACGAACGAGCTCGACGTAAAGTTCGTCCAGGCTGTGGGATAGGCCTCGCCGGCGATAAAACGGCCGTAGCGGCTGCGGCGCCCGTCGGATCGCGATAAAAAGTAGACCGTTGGAACCGCGCTAATCGGGAGGCCTAAACATTAAGTTTTTGCTCCCCGATCGGGTCCGTTTTCGTAAAGTTCTGGCGGGATTGGTATCGAACGAACTTTACGTCCCCGACCGGAACGAACTCTACCCCCGGTCTTTTCAGTGGAGCCAAAAGTGCCTATATAAAACGGACGAGCTCGACGTAGGGTTCCTTCGGACTGGGAGGATAGGTTTTAACGGTTTATATATAATTTTAAGCCTAACTAAAAAAATAGCGTATTTATAATTATTAGCGATAAAAATATAAAATAAAATATTATTATATTATTATTATAAAATTTATATATTTACTAAAAATCGCGTTATTTAAAAGCATTATTTTATTATATATATTTTTTTAATATTACGATCCGATATTAACCGGTTATTATTTTTACTATTTTTTCTTTATATATATTTCGCTAATATAAAAAATTAAAAATATTATTTTAAATAATAATAATAGTTATACCGTTATATTAACGTATAGCCTTAATATTTAAAAACGTATAAAGTATTAAAAAATAATATTCGCTATTATTGCGATTTATCGATCCGGCTTAAAATATTAAAATTAATTTTTTTATTTGCTAAAAATTAAATATACGATTATAGCTTTTATTTTAAATAATAATTAAAGCATTTACCGGTATTTTTATAATATAAAGCTTATAAAGCTCGGCTATTTTATAAAAAAACGGTTTATTTAAAAACGTTTTAGCTCGCTTAGCGCTAAAAGGGCTTAAGTCGTTTATGCTATATTTCGATATATTTAATAATATTATAATATAATAATTTTTGCCCGAAAAAAAGATTAAAGGCTGTGGATAATCGAGATTAAAAAATAAGGATAAACGCGAGCAGTTAGCGGTATTTATCGGGCTTTAATTAAATAGTGTTAAATAATACTATTATACTATAAAACCAAAAAAGACATGTCCCCACGGTCTAAGAACATAACAGGTATTATTTAACACACCCCTTTAGCTAGGACGTAGTTTTTTACGGGCGAGCTGGATATTTAGTATTTTAATAGGCTTTTAGCTCCGTTACGTCTTTTTTTAGCTAAATAACGTAATTAAGGATCGAACCCAGAACCTCCCCTTATTCGGTGCATTATTAATTGTGCTATTAGGTTATCGCGGAAATGCGTAAATCGCTAACCCACTGGTTAATGCACGGGTGGCCCTTGCGAGCGAATAAGACTTTTAATTATTAAATAATACCATTATACCATAAAACCAAAAGAGACATATCCCCACGGTCTGGGAACATAACAGGTATTATTTAACAGGTAGTTTAAAGCCTTTTTAGCTAATTCGATTTAATTTTTATCGATAATATCCTTTTATTTATTTTTTTTAAATACGCGTTAATTTTTTTATCTTTTATCCACTTTTTTTTTCCCGGTTTTTGCGAATAGTTTCGTTAATTAAAATAAATCCTTTTTATAGCTATTATACTAATTATTATATTTTATTAATCGGTATTATTAATATATTTATTTTTAGCGATTCGTTTTAATATAAATATATACGGTTATTTTTATTATTAAAAGATATTTATCCTTAAAAGGAGAAACGGGAGTTTATCCCCGAAAAAAAAAACGGAGGTTTATCCCCGAAAAAAAAAACGAAGGTTTGTCCCCAAAGGGAGAAACAAGGGTTTATCCCTAAAGGGAGAAATATAATTAATTAAAAGGCATATCCTGCTAATTAGCAAAGTCTTTACCCTTAACCCAAAGGCTTAAACAAGAAAATCCAATATAATTATTTTATAAAGGTGTATATTCGTAATATTAAATAAGAAAATCCAATATAATTTTATGCATTATACGATGCTATATTAACATCCGTGCAATATAATATTATATAATTTTACGGAGCTAAATCTTTTGTTTACGCATTTATACGCATAAAATTAAAATTCTTCGAAACGCTAATTACCCGCGGGCGGGTCGAATTTTGCATCGAATTAAAGCTTTGGAAAATGCGAGCATAATTATTAAAATATGCTATTATTATTATACGAAAAAGGCAAAGAGTATACTCGTAATCGTTGGGAAACGATCACGAACTAAAACTTATATGCCCACAGAGGAGGACAATATATACCATGACACTAGTCAGGAATTAAGGATTAAAACCATAGTCTATTATAACAGCAGGTACGCTATTACACAAGTGATGCGATAATAATCCCTTGACCATCACCTGGTGGGTAATACATGCCTTCAATCTCAAGTCCCGCCGCAGAAAGCAGAGTCCTCCATTGGCTTGCCGTTCTTTCAAAAGCAGCAAGGAACACCATCATCATCAAGTCCCATTGTGCTGGCAATAATGAGCTACCTTTGTCGGGGAGAATAAAGTCATTAATGACTAATCGGGAATATCCTTTGCGCATAGACACTGCCACATGTCGCAAGATGCGTATGCAATCTGGGTCGGCATAATCATGCATGATAAACTTCATGAAATACACGCGCGCCCCGGGGACCGGCTGCTGAGTCCAAAAGTCCAGTCCATACGTCTCGATTCGCTTGGGCAAATCAGTGATACTGTCGAGAACAGGCTGCTGATCTTGGAGAATGAGACGGCCAGGCTGTGCATGGTACTGCGCATGGAACTCGAGCAGGTCATGTCCACGTCCTCCCGCCACATCAACCATCAAGATGGCGTCGTCATTGACATCAGCACCGTCCAAAAGCTTTTCTTGCACGGGAAACCATGTAAACCAAGCAGGGCGGCTGCCTCTATCGCCCTCGAAGAAGGAGTTTGCATCGTCCCAATATGACTCGTTGCCAGGAAGAGCAAGCCTGATCGAAGAGTCGGTTAGCCCATTCCAAACCAGTACCTCCAAATACGGAAAATCATAGACATAAGCATTCAGAGTGGGATAGCTCATACCATTCAAATGTCAGCTCCTTACAGTTACCGTGTCCCGCTTGCCAGATGCTGTCTTTCGGGTCAATGGGATTGGGATACCCCTTGTCCTTTAGCCAGGTGGGAGTGGCTGCAAGACAAGGCATGGTATGATCGTAGCTAGAGACTCGTCAGCCACGGAGACTTTTGTTGGGGAGTGCAGCTTGAGGCTTTACATAAATTTAATCATGCCTTCTGTCAACCTATTGCTAAAGTGCATTGTCCACTTGGTCGGACCATAGTGACCGACACCATTCTCAGAGACATATCCAAGTGCGACAAGTACTCGGAGTAGTCTAGTCAACAGCAATTCATCGGCTCCGGTTCTCGTTGCAAGCTCGCATACAGAGACTGCTTCTTTCTCGGACAGCATGTGAAAGACTTTGAGATCAACCAGGGTCCTGATGGCCATCCATGCTCCTGGCTGCAGTCTTGGTGTGAGATACTTTTGGTTGCCCAAGCAGTTTAATAAGTGCCAAACATACCATGTACGCAAACTTTAATGATGCGTCTTCGGGGTTTTCCAATGCTGCTACAAGTTTTGTCGCTTCAGCCAAGGCTGATACTCTTTCGGATTCCGAGAGAGATTCTCCCGATCCACCCTGCAGAGATGAGAGCACCTTGGTAGCACTCTTGAGAGCTGAAACTCTGGAAGGACTCGTCGACATGTTGCGAATATTCAATGAACATGAATTTGAAAGGATGTCTAGGTACTTGAACAATGTTAAGAACTTGAACGCTTGGGAAATGGGATACACGTGTGTGTAGGGAACTGACTTTTCCTTGTGGTGACTCGAGGGCCCGGGGTACTGCCATTTCTAATACTCTGCACACATGACCCTGGGCCCGAGTTCTTTTCCTTCATTTGCAAACACCATGACCCATACAACCCACTTCATGCTCAAGCGGAGAGTGCATCAATTCGTCAGGGTGAGCCGGCATATTGCTCCACAGCAACTTTGCCGACCCATTCACACAATTTGTCGGACCGATGCATTATCGGGTGGAGCTCTGCAAAGGGCTGAGATATCATGACGGGGAGCGGACCCGGTGCGGGAGGGATCCATTGGACCATATCATGGCAAGCAAGGGATGTGCGAAATCCCAGCATGCAGCAAACAACTTGCAAGCTGCATCACCATGTAAATTCCAATCCCAGTATATTGCCTGCCATGCATGCAGCAATACGGGTATTGCATGGATTGGCTGCAGCATAAGAGCAAACAACTACAGGGTGATTGGAACCAGTCAATAGTTTCAAGCTCCTGCATTCAATGGCCAACGTCGGGTTGATCAGGCTTCCAAAGAGGTAGCTTAATCAGGTTGTTCCCATTAAAGAGAAATGTGCCTCTACTTGCCCTCTTGCTTCTTTGGCATGCCTACAAGCCAGGAACCACAATCATGGCGGATCCAGGAGACACCTATGTCGCCACCATCAATACGGTATCCTGGATTCTAGGTGCCGTGATAATATTGCTCACATGTGCCAGGCTACTTGGTAGAACAGCAGTCATCCATCAAGCAGGTTGGGATGACATTTTCATGGCATGCGCCACGGCAAGTCATGCTCGTTGCACCGCGCATTAATTGGCATTGAACTGACGGTCGAGTCAACAGATTTCTGCCATTATTTGCTCTGCATTGGTCACTGTAGGCACTACTTACGGGCTGGGAATCCATACAAACGACATAATAAATGCACATGATAGATCCGAGGCAATCAAATACACCGTCATTGCTCCAGCATGGTCCATCATCTGCTCCAGCTTTGGTAAGCTTTCAGTTCTGACGTTCTTGTTCCGGCTTCTGGGCGTAACGACAAAGCGGTGGCAAATGATCTTCTTATGGGGCATCTGTTTTGTAATGGTTGCTCTCAACATCATGGCTATTGTTATTATCGTGAGATTCTGTCAACCGGCTGGCGCGCAATGGGATCCAAACATCAAAGGCGTGTGCATGGATGCAAATGTTCAGTGAGTTGACTAGCCAGTTTTTGCGTCTCGGAAGCTCAGCTGACATCTTTCTGCCCATAGAGCGGCATTAGGTGACATACAGGCTGCTTACAATGCTTTCATGGACATTGTTGTCGCCCTATTCCCACCATTTGTCATCAAAAAACTCAACATGAGTACAAAGATGAAAGTTGGTCTCTGTATCATTATGGGAGGGGGGGTCTTGTAAGATGTCTTGCACTTGTGGAGAGGAATAGGACTCACAATATGGCAGTGCCGCCATGTGCACCATTATCAAGACTTGGTTAATCTCAAAGAACCTTGCAAATCATGATGATATCACATATTCTTGGGCTCCCATCACCCTTTGGTATACGTAAGTGCATTATCCTGTACGGAACAAATTGAGCGCGACACTAATCATGGAGTCAGGGCCGAAATGGATGTAATCATCATATTTGGCAACATTCCAACACTATGGCCCATGTTCCGCTGGGCCGCAAACAAGGTCAAGAGTCGGAGCAGAGGCATGAGTCATGGTGTGTACCAGAATACATCCAGCCACCCTGATATTATGGACGGAGTGGACGCTTTCGAGCTCAGAGACACATCGGGCAAAGGATCCGGACCGGCAACGCGAGCATTAGAGGAGTTGGACAATATGTGTACCGCTAGAACAAGAACACCTGATGGGAGTGACGGTTCTGCATCGAGTATTATCAGATAATCAATGCGAGATTTGTACGGCGACCTCTTCAATCATGTCATTACCTTACATCAAGGCAAAGCTTGTACATTTACATTACTTGCATCATTCTCTGCACATCTAACCGTGGTAAAGTGTTGTGCTGGATCACGGAAAACTTTTCAATGTCAGTCTTGATTTTCGGGCTTCTCCTGAGTCACCATTTGTGTTTGGCCATTCATTTCACCTCTTGACAAAATATCTAGATATGGCTGGTGCCTTTGCATCCGGATAGAATCAATGATTCCTAGGCTTCGCTTCTCCAACATCTTGCATCGTGTTAACTACTATAGTCTTTGCCCAGCCTTGATAAAACCAATGTCAACAGCAATATAAGCAAACAAACTGGTATCTCGGTCATTGCAATCGATATGCGCACGTTGCCGTTGGTTATTGTGTCGATCAACACGTACAAATCATAAAATGAACCTTGATACCTATATTATGCTCGAAATCATGATAATAAAGCAAGGTCTGGCTCTGTAAGCTGGGACTTGTAGTCTTGTCAATTGTGCGTGTATTGTACTACCATCTCGGATTTGGAGCGGGGATCCATCACGTGGTGTGCCAATTCCCATCCTCTAATCCAGCCACACAGCTGCTCATGATGCTCTTCAACCAGTGCTCTTTGTATAGAACGACAACTTGTATGACCTGATCCGCAGCGCCCTCTTGACCACTCAGTTGCATACCAAAATGCCAGTTTCCAACACAGGCACGGAAGTGATGGCTCTTGTTCAGCAGAGTCAAGTTGATGTTCCCTGGTGTGATGAGTTTGAGAAGATGATCAAGGGAGAACAGTATGTCTTCTCAGCCCCGAAGTAGAGGCTACTTTGCACTCCATGTACCTTTTCTTCAACTGTATTTCTTACCCGGGCATGGCCTCGTTTGCAGTTTTCAAACTTCCAAGGACCCTCGGCTTGCAGAATACAAAGTCAGCATGATGAGAAAACTACAGTCATTCAATGATGCCTCTATACCCTCGGACGCCACTCTTGCTTCGCTCGCCTCGAGGAGAATGCAAGTGGCAAAGAGCATGTTGGGAAAATTGGGCACCAAAGTAAATATTGAGCCACCTTTTTTTGTCACTTGGGGCTGCAACATCTTGATTGGAGATGGTGTCTACATTAATCGCAGGTGAGACTTGACCACTCAGTTACTACACTTTTTAATGAGCATTGCCATTATACTGGTATTTATTGATAATAGTGTTTCCATTTACGACAATGCCCCTGTGGTCATTGGCGATAACGTCCTTATAGGGCCTGATGTATGCATCTGTACTGGCACACATGATGTTCACTGGCGGGCTCGCGAGCACGCGAGCAAGTCGGGGGGACCTCCTTTGCTCTGCCCATCTTTATAGAAGCAAATTGTTGGATCGGAGCAGGAGCGATTATTCTCCCTGGAGTTCGTATTGGAAAAGGCACCACAGTCGCAGCAGGAGCTGTGGTCACAAAGGACATTGAACCGGAATCTCTTGTTGGTGGCGTCCCTGCCAATTTGATACAAAGACTGGCGCAGACATGAGCGATTAATGAGAAGAGGTGAAATTTACATTTTATATCAAGTTTCCATTACAAAGCTGTCAACCTCGATCGTGACACATGGCTCTCTTATATGGTGAAGAAATAGAATTCACCATATGCATCTAGTTATTCCGTAATTGTCGTCATGGCCATTCTTGGGAGCAATGCTGCATGAACGTTAGGCAGGCAATGTCCACGGGTATGCCCCAGTATGGACCGACAAGATGAAAGCGGCAGAACTGCAAACTTTGTTGAGTCTAAAGCCCGTGATGCGCGGTATGATTCAATCTAAATTTGGAGATTTATTCTGCTTTAATGTACAGTTGACTGGTAGGGAATGTGAATGCACACAATGCAGTATCTGCGCACTCTGTAGTGGAATGGCTTAGCGGACAGCCCCGCCTACATTAGTGCCATGGCGGGCGCTGGCCCAACTGCACCGCTGGAACTGTATGCTATTTTCTCCCAAGCGTCAACGGCCCACTCAGTGTCGCGCTACATCACTGAAGCTGTTCCCACTTCAAAATCACCACTCGCGATCCAGCACGCAACCGACTGCCCACCAACACCAAAGCCAAGCTGGCACAATGACCGCGTGAGAAGCTGGATGAATACCTTTAGCTACCGATTTCGAAGTCTCTTGAGTTTAGTTGTTCGTCGGACCATGTCAACCAGCTTTGGCGCCTCCAATGGCGCCCTTCAGAACGGATCTGCCACCAATACCCATACCATTACTGCGCTGGGAAGATGGTCCATTCTCAACAAACAGCTTCCTCGTAAGTCTTACATGCTTTGAATTCTACAGACGTGGCAGGCGATAGTAGACAGGGCGACTAACGTGTCCTAGCCGTTGACGCCATCAAGACCATTCACGTGTACGACTTTGACAATACGCTATTCAAGACCCCCCTCCCAAACCCAAAGCTCTGGAATGGGCAGACCCTCGGCAGTCTCGCATCGCCCGAAGTCTTCATCAATGGCGGTTGGTGGCACGATTCGCGCATTCTGGCAGCAACTGGCGATGGTGTCGAGCGAGAGGAACAACGAGCCTGGGACGGATGGTGGAATGAAAAGGTCGTTGAGCTGGTCAAGCTCAGCATGGAACAAAAGGATGCCTTGGCCGTCATGCTGACTGGAAGATCCGAGCGAGGTTTCTCAGACCTGTTGAAGCGCATAGTGGCGAGCAAGGGACTGGACTTTGACATGATTGGACTCAAGCCTGCCGTCGGACCAGGCAACGAGCGATTCTCGAGCACCATGCACTTTAAGCAAATCTTTCTAGAATCGCTCATGGAAACGTACAAGCATGCTGCCGAGATCCGCGTGTACGAAGATCGCGTCAAGCATGTCTCGGGCTTCCGCAACTTCTTCAGCGACTACAATAAGCGGCAAGAAAGCTATGGAGGACAAAAAACTCGAGGGCCCATTACAGCCGAGGTGATTCAAGTCGCCGAGATCTCCACGTTCCTGGACCCGGTCGTCGAGGTTGCCGAAATCCAGCATCTGATCAACAGCCACAATGCGCTCCTACGCCAGCAGCCGCCGCGACGTGGTGGTCGACCGCAAGGGCCGCTGGTCATCAAGAAGACCGTTTTCTTCACGAGCTACATGATTGGCAAGGAGGACACGAAGAAGTTGTTGAAATTGTCAAACTTCCCAACGGGCAACGAAATCAAGGTTCATGGCAACAACATCATGATCTGTCCCAGGCCGTGCCCACACACCATACTGGAAAAGGTTGGGGGAATGGGCGCCAAGATGAAGTGGAAGGTAACAGGCACTGGCTGTTTCGAGAACAGCATCTGGGCCGCAGCCGTGGAGCCGGTTCCTATGAGCGCCACCTACCACACTGACAATCCCAGCCCTCTTGTTGTCCTCGCCATCAGAAAGGGTGCCCGACCCATGGATGCCGGTAAAATCCAGAATTGGCAACCCGTGTCTCCAGACAAGGCATACATTTTGGATACAGTTGTTGGAGAAAAGGTTCTGCTCCGCATCGAGCCCGAGGATCCCAACGAGAACGCATACGAGAGTTTGTTTGCCAACAAGACGTCCAAGCGTAAGCACACTGGTGACGATCATGACGGCCAGCACCGTCCTCGTGACAGCAGCGGCGGCTTCGCCAATAGTCGAGGAGACCGCAGTTTTCATGGCGGTCGCGGAGGCCCTCAGCATCAGGGCCGTAGCGGCTCTCACCGCGGCAATGCCAATCACACATCAAATCGAGGCTACCGGACTGGACCCCGGGGTGGTCACAAGAATAGCGGCCGTGGTGGACGAGGTGGTGGCCACAATTATCGCTCCCTAGACGATGTTGGTAGTCGCAACCAGCAGTCATACAATGGACCAGACTTGGGTGTCTCGTATGATGACAATTTCCCATCGCTGCCGACCGGACCTTCTGGCTTCCAAGCGAGCCACCCTCATGCCTCGACTGGCCCATACAATTCATTCTCTTCAAGCAACACACAGCAAGGTACATCTGGACGATCAGCTGGCACACATGGCAACGGTCCAGTGGACATACAAAATCTTTATTAGTGACTGTCGCGCTGAACCTTTCATATTGCCTTGATGGATAGGAATGTCGCAGCAGGTGTCACGGCTTTTCTTACTCTCATGCGTCTGCTGAAATGCTGGGCACAAAATATCTTGACACTTGTACAAGAACTAACCACTTGAGCATGTGTCGTTTGCTTTGAGGATCAAACTTTGCGTGGCGTTGGTCGGAAACGGAATACTTGACAATTACATGTAAATGATACCTCCACCAAGGGAATCCTTGTGGACATACTTTTGGTCTGCATCGAGCACATGGTCAAACCAATAAAGAGATGACGGCTCCAATTGTGAAGACCATATGTTGATGAATCAAGAACTATTGTGCCAGCAGGCAATTCTTTCACAAGTGACTTTGCAAAGCATACGCATCAAGTGCACCATATCCTCTGTGTCGGAATTGAGTGATATCAATTCATGTAATCCATCTTTTGCTTCAACGTTGTTCTTGCACTGTAATCAGCTTTACACTTTTTCCCCAATTCCTATTATACTAATCATTGACACTAGAAAAAAGCCTTACAGCCCTCGCCTAGTCCAATGAACCCTGAATCGATAACATATCGCCAGAGCGGGGCCATGGATTTGCGCCCTACCGTCCTTGGCATCCATCCCCTCTCGAGACTAATAAAGCACATCATTCACAGAATGGCCCATTTACTGACCAGGATCTCGTAAAATCCTCTCTAGTCGACGGGGCATCTCGGAATGCACACGCATTTCCCGCGGAATAGCTACTGCAGTCTGCGGAAGCTATGAAAGCCGCAACGACATTTTCATATGGCTCGCCAAAGACTGGCATGGCCCCCCAGCAAGATGGTGCATGCCCAATGGAGCACTCTCGCGTCTTCGCGTCTTGACTTTTCAGTCTGATCTCGTTTTTATGATGTCTGCTTTCTGTCATTCACTTTCTCACAGGGTGCTCCAAATCTTCCCCTCTTGACATGATTTATTCTTGCAGCTCTGGACTTGTCCCCAGTCCTCGCAGCCCCGGACATCCACTTCCCCCAATATATCGTGGAGATATTGTGGTTCCGATTGTCGGAGCCGACTGGTTGCATCTCTAGCTGGGCAGAAGCAGCAACCTTTTACATCCCGAGTCAAGAAGCTGGCTTCAAAATGACCAACGCCAAAGAGCACTCGCGTCCGTCAATGACGATTGACGAATCGGAAGACGATGCACCAGGGCAATTAAATGGCTCGCCACATTCACAGACACGGCAAGGACTGCAGAAACAGACCAGTGTGCATAGTCGAGCATCGCATGTGTCGCACACGTCTCATGCCTCGGACGACAGCGACCCACTTGCCCCCTTGGAGTTTGCCATCTCCCAAGGTTACGGAGTGGACGATGAAGATTACGGCAGGGCAGCAATCACGCAAATTCGGACCACGACAAGTATTGGCAGCTCGGCATCACGTCCACCGGATTTCGAGATCGTATTTGTCGACAATGACCCAGAAAACCCTCGAAATTGGTCTCGAGCCTATCGTGCCTGGGTCACCTTTTGTATCTCGTTTACCACCTGGACTGTCGTTCTCTACAGCACCAGCTATACAGCCACAATATCTGGCCTCAAGGAAGAATTTGGTGTTCAAAGCACAACTGTTGTCACATTGGGCTTGACGACGTATCTTTTGGGCCTTGCGGTAGGAAGTCTGCTTGTTGCTCCCGCCAGTGAGCTATGGGGCCGCCGACCTGTCTATATTGTTTGCATGGTCATCTTCACCGTACTCGTCATACCCAGCTGCGTTGCCACGTCCCAGGCCGAGATCATCATTGTTCGATTCTTTGGGTAAGTGATTCTGGCCATTTTTGAGCCGAGACTGTGCTGCCCAGATGCTAACCGCTGCCCAGAGCGCTGTTTGGTGCCGCCATGATCTCCAACAGCGCAGGAACCGTGGTGGATATTTCAACTGAAGAGACGCGTGCCATGGTCATGTCGCTTTGGTCCATTGCGCCTTTGAACGGACCAGTGACTGGGCCGCTAATCGGTGGTTTCGTCTTTGAGTATCTGGGCTGGCGCTGGGATAACTGGCTCGTTCTCATTCTCGCTGGTGCCGGTACCCTGACCATGTTTACAACGAAGGAGACTTATGCACCGATAATCCTACAAAAGAAGGCTTCCCGTATCCGAAAAGAGACCGATGATGAGCGGTGGTGGTCACGATACGACAACAAAATTTCAACAATTGACTTGATCAAGGTCAATCTGGGCCGCCCATTTGTTCTCTTCTTTACTGAGCCCATCCTGTGGTTCTTTAACCTTTGGATATCGCTCATTTACGGCATTCTATACCTATGTTTCGTCGCCTATCCAATAGTGTTCCAGCAGTATCGTGGCTGGAGCGCTGGCATGTCGGGTTTGGCTTTTGTTGGAATCGGCATTGGAACCATGATTATCATCCTGAGCGAGCCACTCCTTCGCAAGATTATCAACTCCCACCCCAAAGACCCAGCTACGGGAAAGGTTCCGCCTGAAGCCACCGCGAGAGTCATGATTATTGGGGCCATCTTGACTCCCATCGGGCAACTGGTATTTAGTTGGACATGTTTACCTGTCACCATTCATTGGGCAATTCCCATTGCCTTTGGAATCCCTTTTGGCGCCGGTAACACCATCAGTTTCATCTATGGAAGCAATTATCTGGCTGGCTCGTACGGAATTTATGCTGCATCTGCCCTCGCTGGAAATGCCGTTACGCGCAGCATATTCGGTGGCACACTTCCCTTGGCTGGAGCAAGCATGTACGCAGCGCTCACGCCACAATGGGCAGGCACGCTGTTGGGCCTGCTCGAAGTGGCCATGATTCCCATACCTATTGTATTCTACAAATATGGAGCAAGAATCCGAGCCAAGAGCCCAGCAATCAAGTCGCTCAAGGCGGACGCAGAGAAGAATGAGCTCAGAGCGCAAAAGGCACAAGAACGAAAGGAAAGACGACAGGAACGCGCCGCTGAGAAGGCAGCTGCAGGACGGCAGACGAGGTGTTGATGAACGAGACGTCGAAAAGGAAGGTGGAGAACAAGACGATATTGTGCCCTCTTGAGCTGTTGACTACCAGTCGAGCAATTTTTGCGACGAAACATAGTGCGTAGATTGAGGGCATCCATTTTGCATCAAGTAACGGTCTCATGAATCACAGACCAGACCATGGAAAACAAGGAAATGCGACTTGTAATGATCATATTGCATAGCATGTAGAAGCAACAATTCATCATTCACAAGGCTTAATGCCCCGCTTAGGCCTCGATGACTAAGCCCGTCGGAGCTTGCTCCAACCTCGTGACTTTAATTCATCGTCTACTCATCTCTTATCACTCTGTGCAATGTCTTGAACGTGTCGCACTCTTAATATATTGCCCATTTATGGTTGTGCATATCACACAAATCCGTTTCGGCCTATCACGAGACACCTCGCAAGATATCCTGTTGCAATGTCTTCATCTACCGCTCCAACACCCCCAACGCCACCCGCAACGGCTCAGCTTCCGCCCCGGCTATCTCAACTTTGGTTCGCTGAAAAGCTGTCCCGGAAAAAGGATACCATGACCTATTCACTGGTTACTTTGGCGGCAGCACGTTTGCTATGGATTACTCAGGTACAACGGCGAAGACTAAAAGGTCCAATGCAAATTGTGGCGCCACAGCTTGTTGTTTGGGCCATCTTTTGGCCAACGGCTCTTGTCTGCCTGCGCTCAGGTGTCAAGCGGGCTGATGGACTCGTCATCAAGTCAGGGCTTGATCGACCCTCTGAAAGTACCGAGCGAAGGCGGTTACGGGATGAGAGGGCAGAAGTCGATGGGGATGAGAGAAGAGATTGAATGGATAGTTGAGAGTTGTGGTCTGCGCTCAGGCTGATTCTACAATTTTACCCATGGACATTCGCAAGCCCCTGGGTTGTGCGGCAATATCATTCACGCCTCCACAAAGTTTCCAGTGCTTGATATATTGCGATTTTTCGCAAAACTGTAATATTCCAAGCAAGACACTGGTCCTGCCCCGGCCATGGCAACAAGTCAGAAGACGGGGTTCAATCCTCTTTCAGGACCTTTTACCATAAATCATTTGAAAAGTGGAATCATGAAACAATGACCTTGACATGTCGGTGATTATTCTACTCTAAAACTTGTTTCCACGAGGCAAGGCCACTCGCAGTGCAAGACAAACTATTCTCAATTGAAGAACAAAAGCAAAGTGCAAAAAGCATTGATCGCCATCTAAATATGCCAATGCCAACTCCATGCCATGATATTATATGATATGCAAGCTTTTCTGATCCGTCAATGCATAAATTGTCCCAAATACTCAAGAAATGCAAATAATCCGGGCCCAAAAACTTATTGGGCACAGATGATGGTGTGGTGGTTCATCCAATTAATATAGTCCTAGGCCAACATTGTCCTGGGAGTATGATCTTTCTCCGGGCGTCGAACTAGACCCAAACCCAACAACCGTCCCGTCATCAAGCTTGAAACCTCCGCTACCCGACGCCGACCTTGCCATGTCTTGGCCGCTTCCTGTTCCGTAACCAGGGTTAGTATGAAATGCACCGCCGGTTCCCCGCAGGTCCGGGCTTCCTCGCAGACCCGTGCTGTTTCCCAGATCCTCTCTAGTCAAGCGGCCACTTGCACTTCCTGCTCTGCGATGTTGCATGGCGGCCGTGCCGCGACGGCGTCTGCTAAAGCGACGGAAGAAGCCAGGTCTTTGTGATGTGCCAGGTACGACATGAACAACTTGTGCCGGATATATAATGCTTCCTGTTCTGAGACGTCCGCGCACAGAGTCGTGATATATCTGGTAGCTTGTTGGTTCCATCTCGAAACCTGCAGAACCGAGAAGAGGACTGGGCTCCGTCTCGACAACACTGGGCCTTCTGCTCTGGGGACGCTGCATGGCCTGCACGCCGGGAGAACTGGCAGCAGAACCTGCACCCTGCATTGAGGTGGGGGCAATCAGAGGACTTCTGTTGCGCAAAGGCTGTGAATGTGTTGAGCCCAAACTATTGGTTGACTGATGAGAGGTATCACGACTCATGGGCTGGCTCCAGTAGCCGCGAGGATGATACTCCAAGCGGCCTTCGGATGCTGTCCAAGGTGGGGGGTGAACTGATACAGACAGTGGCTGCGGCAAGGGAGATCCGTGCGGATAAGGTGGACTGGGCGGCCGGCTTGAAGGATACGGCCGTACAGACGGCAGCGAATGAGTCATGGGCTCGTACTCATCTTCGTATACGACAAATTCCTCTGGTCGACTGTAGATGCTTGCTTCAATGCCTGCGCCAGTTCCTGGGATAGAGCGTAGACTGCTAGTCTGGTGAACTTCAACCGGTATTGGCGGCGGTGAGAATGGTCCGGCTAGTTGCATTGGGCTTGACCTTGCCGAGCGTGTAGGCTGACCAGATGAAGCTCTGGAGCCGTGTTGGGAAGATGGATCAACGACGTCGGGTATCTCGGACAATGGGGATTGTGGTGACAGGGTCGGCGAGGTAGACACTGTCGTCAGAGGACCGGCGCTCAACGGACTTGAGACCTTGACCGGTGCGAGCCCTTCTGTGGAAATGGGTTTATCGCCTGCTTCTTTAAGACGTAAAAGTGTTGCAGCCGTGTAGCTCGACGATGGTGGTGGCCCGGTTCCCAGGATATTGGAGAATGTTGCAGTAGGGTTATCATTCTCGACAGCTTCCTTGGCATGAGCATCGCTATAGGAGGGCCGGCCTGGGATAAGCTTGGGGCGCATGGTCAGAGAACCTTCCTTGAGGGGAATGCCATCTTGTGCGACTGCACCCTTTGATGGGGGAGGGGCCGCCTTGGTAATCTTGTTGAGTCTCATTTCGGCGTCGCTGCTGGCGCCGCGATCACTGGCAGCGCCATCGGCCCCTTCCGCGCGTTGATTAGGTGCAGATGGCGGGCTAATGACACCCTTGACAATTTCTCTACTCAGACTGACACGAGGGTCACTGAGTATCTGCGGCGCTGCTCTCCAAGCACCAGCAGTGTCCCGGTACCGACGCTCAGAGTGTCGTCTAACCGTCCGGTGATCGGTTGCTTGGGGCTGCGTCTCATAGTCCTCGGGCACAGATATTGATTCAAAGATTTCTGTAGGTGCCGGCTGCGGAGTAACCGTCCTCGAAATGTCCCCATCTTCGGGTACAGCTATGCCGTAGGGAAAAGTGACGTGCCAATGGTAAGGATTATGATCCGCGGGGCTGTATGGTGTTGGAGATTCGACTGGCACATTGCTTTCATCGTACAGAGGAATCTGAACCAAGCTACTACTGCTTGGAGGTGTAGACGAATCTACTTCTGACAAGCTATTGGTGCGTTCGAATACCGAAACGACTTGTTCTTCTTGGTCGTCCTGGTCAGTCGTCTTTTTTCGCTTGTTGAGCTGGTCGATTCGTATCTGGATACCATCCAACCGTGTCTCTAGAAGCTCCCGAGCATCAGAGAGTTCTGGATATTTTCGTTCAAAACGGTCCAAGAACCCCGACAGCTTCTTGCCATGTATTGAGAATCGTAGATAGTCTTCTGGCATTCCCGTGGTAGAGTCGTCCTGAATACGACGGTCGCTTTCATCAAAGGCGCAGCAAAACACATGAATTGCACGAGCGAGCCAATAGTGAGCCAATCTCTCGTCAGCCAGGACATCAACAAAAAAGGCCTGTACAATTCCGTGGATCCTGAGAATGTCCAGATTGTCTTGAGCCATGTCAACACTGCGAGAACTTTTGTCACTCGTCGAAGACGTCTCGTCATTCTCATTGCGTTCAATCAGGGCAAAGGCAATGAGAACCTTGAAGGTATTGTTGAGCGATCCCTTTCTTGTCTGGGGATCCGAAGTCTTGACGGGCGTCTCTCTTGTCAATGCCTTGAGACCTGTATGCGCCGTGATTAATAACTGGTATTAGTGTATCATAGGAGAATTATTGACTCACCACAAGCCAACATTTCTACGGGAATATGTTGACTAAAGAATGCAAGTAGCGACATGAGGTTGAGGGCTGCGAAATTGCCTCTGTGCTCGAGTTGTTCTCGGACAGCTCTGTATGCTGGCAAATTGCCAGCCTTGGGTCGACTCTTGTAGGCGCGAAGATACTTGGATAGAGGTTCCCGAGTTGCCTTCATCTGCTGGGCGGCAACATGAATCATGAGTGGAAGTCGCTCCATTAGCTGCACGAGCTCCATTGCCCGACTGAGATCGTCTTGGTTCCAAGGCTTTCTCTTGCCCATCTCCTCTAGAAGCAGCTCCTGGGCTTCTCGCGGCGTCAGCGAGTCTAGCGCGATTACCTGAGGGTTGTCGAATTGATATTCCTCGCCAGCCGTCTTTTCGGTCGAGGTGTAGATGATGCTCGTGTTTTTTGCATAGGGGATAAATGTCTCTAGGCTGGGTAGGTCAAAGAGGACACCGTCGAGCACCAATAGCCAGCCTTCATTCCTGCTTAACCAGCCCTGCACAGCCTTGACCATTTTCTTTCTGTCGTTGAGCTCGTCCTCATCAAGGCCCTCGATTTCTCGAAGTTTTACAGTCTTGGCAATATCCCAGTACCCGTATTCGAGTTCCTGAATCGATTTGGACCTGATCCAGAATATGCCGCCTGGATAGTCGTACTTGTGCTCAAAGACATATTGCCTTGCCAAGTGTGTCTTTCCGCCGCCAGGCATACTCTGAACAAGGACGGACGAGGTGCCGACAGACCTCCTTGCACGATCCATCAGCCTCTTGTGCAAGTCCTTCATCTCGCGATCTCGGCCTTTGAAGAACGTGTTTGGTTTAAAGACGGATGGCTTGACGAATAATGGCTCGTTGGAAGTATCAAAATCCGTCGAATCTTGAGAGGGCGGCTCAGGGCCAACGTCTACCGCATCCGGCTCGGGCAGCTGCAGTCTACTGGCATCACCAATTCCTTGGGTCGGTTTTGCATCGATAGGAGAATCTATCTGACTATTCGGATCAGGTACTATAAACAAACGTCTGATCAGCCTGCATTCTTCTCAAATCAAGGACGTCCAAGAGTGCTCATGCTTCTTTCCATGACTTCTTCAATCTCAAAGGGTGAACTATGCCGGCTGCTGGCGCTACGCTCGGGGAGCAATGGCTGGCCACCGCCAGAAATAGAGGCATGGGTTGATGCATCTGACATACTGGAGCTCGGACCCGGTTGTAGTTGTTGTGATTTGAGCTAGGAAATACATTAGCAAAGAGGCCCTCTGGTGTCTGGTACTGCTTGCGAAATAACATGGGACATACCCAGGGTTTCATTCGTTCTTCAATCTCGTGTTTGGCTCTCGCCAGTTTCTCATCATCTTCCACTCGCCATCGAGTTGATATAACATCCGGGGCCTCGCCGACCCAGTCTCTGATGGAGGTGGCTACTGTCCGATAGCCCGGGGCATTCTTGCTGTCAAACTTGCACATGCCGGAATGAGTTGCCTCGATGGAAAAGTAGCCCACACCCGGGAGTTGAGGACTGGCAGACTGTGCGTCGACAACGAGCATCTTGGTGCCCTTAAGATCTGTCGCGTGGTTTTCGTGAGCCATCATAATCTTGAATCGTTGATAAATGTCGAGAAAGTGGCTGTTGATATTCTGGAGTGTTTCATTGTCCTTCTTCAGAGTCTTTAGCAAGATTGATTCCGAATGCCAGAATGCTTTGGGCACAACGGCATCGGACATGGCTTGAAGCGTCACAGCCCACGATCCCATGTCTGACCCTGTATGGGGAGTGCCGAGGAAAATGATGCCATATGTTGACACATAGATGCCACGATAGTCTTCATGTTGTGATGTTTTGAGGTCGTTTGAGTACAGAAGCGCCCTCTTTAGCAGTATACCACCCAGGCTGTGAACCACCCATATGATGGGATTCCTCGAGGACATTTCATCTTTGCGATAGTGCGTCAAACTGGTGACTAGAGTTTGTGCATGCATGTAAATAAAGTTGTCGCTCGGATTCCCCCCATGCTTCTTGGAATAAACATCGGCATTATAACCATAGACCAAGATGTTTGCTTTGGCATCGCGCAGTGAGCCGGGCAGCAGATCCGTGGGCCAAAAGACCCCATTCTTGGCAGTCCATGTCTTTTGCGGCTCCCCGTTGAGGCCGTGGACGAGTACAATGTCGACTTTTGCGTCGGGGTGGGTATATACGGCGGTCGTCTCGAATCTCGAGATTTGTTTGTTGATCGAGCCCTATTGTAAGGGACCTGTCAGTATCTTTGCCGTTATCCCGAATCGAGAGCGGTTCGTCCCGCAGTGCATGGCTCTGACTCAGCTATCGTCGACCAACGGATCATCCAACGCCAATCATGACATTGCCAGTGCCGCGATCTTGCGCAAGAGGGCCCGATCTCAAGAGAGGTCATGTATAGTAGTGCAAAACTACTTACCATGCTTGCGAATGGGCAAGACCAGAGCCTTTGTTGTGTCGTATCTCTCTCTCTCTGTGTGTCTCTCTTTTCCTCTGTGGGTTGTATATTCGATACGTAGGTGCAGCAAGACAGTCACCAAGAACGGGTATTTAGAATGCGCAAACTAGTTTATAAGGGTGCTGGACACGCCTCGAGCTCATGTAGGACAAGGCATCGGCAAATGCAGGCACACAGATTAACAAGTAGGTGTGGTCCTTGAATGTACAAATGAGTTGGGCGAGTCAGCCGAATGGGCAGCTCTCGAGACACTGCCCTTGCAAGATTGCGCAACGTGTTGCTCCAGGTAAAGCTGTTGACTGCAATGTATCAGGTCCGCTGATTTTGGAAGACGCACTGGACGGTGCCAAAGACTGTTCTTCTTTCGCAAAGCTGTGCGACCAGTCACATCGCGCGTGCAACCGGGAGGATTATAGAGTTGTTTGCGCACTACACGACGCCAATGTCACGAGGGAAACCGGTCACACACTGCTGAGAGAGAGGCACCAAGTTCTCTTCACTCGTCAAGGGCCAGGATTTAAAGTCATGTCGGTCGGGCAGCTGAGCCCCCTCAAGGCAGAATGACTAAACGCTAATGGGCGTAGTCGTGCCAAGGCGTATGGGCGGTACACCATCCCACAGGCGGGAAGCAGGGGTGGTGATCTGGGGTTGAAGGAAAATCAAGATGTACCATGGCAAGCCAAGGGGCGAGTGCGAAAGCTTGTGTCTGAAAGCTTGCCATCTATAGAAATAAATATTTCGACGAGAACTTGTAAAGGGGTCCAAGAAGACGTTGCCGTCCACAATCTCTACAGTTGTACCGTAAAGAGGACAATATTCAAATCTGGGGTATTGGAATAGGCTCCAGTAGTGTCGAGCACACAGGCAGCAGTTCTTGGGCTTGAACTATATTGCCTCCTTCGAGTTTCAAGACTACCTAGGACAGCCGCTACCCTTTCAAGTGCCGCAGCACAAGGCGCATGTACTGATTGCAGTTACACGACATGTTGGACAGGAAGCTTAATCTATGCATCGTGCTTGTGGGAGCAACAATGACGTCTGTCAAATAAATGACCTCAAAGGAAGCGCCTAAAGGTCGCTACTACGCGGCATCCGTTCTCACGTACAGTGTAGTATCGCGCTCGCTGGGCGGCCTGCATGACCAAGTTGATTTCAAGGAGGTTGGATTAGGTGGTTGGATGGTGGGGATATAGAACCCCTACCTTGCCTGGGAGGGGCGACGAAATGGAGATCAGATTGGGTTCAGAGGCCACCGAGGCCTGTAGCCTGCCAAAATACCAAAATAGTATGTGTCGATCTGGTCAAGTTTTCTTTGGCAATCCTTGACGTGATCCCCGTCCTCAGTAAAGAGGGTCGCCCGGATCATTCAACGGGAAGGCTATGAGCCTTTTGCTCTTTAGCACCAGTGGCACTCTTGTAGGGTTGCCTCCTCGGCATTTACCCAGTGGGCGAAGCCAAGATCAGCCACCAGGAACAGTTGACCGATTTCTACCAATAGCAGCACCAAAAGATCATGATGCCGCCATGAAATTCACCGGAGCTAAATTGAACTGCTGATGATGCACCTTTGTGCCCAGGTCGCAATGCTCACATCATTCGGCCAAGCTGCCGAAAGCCACGGGATTAAGTATAGGACAGACAAATTACCTCGTCAAATAACCGAGAGAGGAAGTAAGACGAGTGTTTTGATTCAATTGTCTTGGGGACTTGCGTCACATCTCAAGCAATGTCTCAAGAGCTACAAGACGATGAAAGAAAGCAATCGTACCTTTGCATAAAGCGGGACAGTTTATGCATCATAAATAATGCCAAGGTAGAGCGATGATGCGTGCTCTGTGAATATTTGTCAACATGAGCCATCCATGGTTGTACTGAATAGACTACGAGGTCGACCAATGAGGAATAAACCAAAAAGCTGCCTCGACGATTAGAACTTTAGCAACGCATGATGCCCAAAACTCGCAACACCCATAAAGGGCATTTCTCGGCATCAGAAAGCTTGCGAATGTATCAGTCGGGCCTGTCGACTCGATTGGCCATGCCGTTTCCAGGAATTTGCTGTGCATTTGAAAAGACTCGGCCTCACCAATGTGGCGGGAATGCTTCTTTGAATTTGGTATGCATTTGTCAAGTATCTAATGCAGGGCGTTTGGGTGCTCAAGTATCGTCAGTCTTTGGGCGCAAGCATGATTACGTATTCCCTCGTGCTGTGACCGAATTGAACAAGGTCCTTGTCCTTGAGCTCCAGATATCTGCTGTCGGGAATTTTCTTTGAATTGAGCATGGTCCCGTTGGCGCTTTCAAGATCAATCAGGTAAGGTTTAACCTTGCCAATCTTGTCTCCGTACTCGTTTCGCTTCTCTAGGTATCGGAATTGGATAACAGCGTGTTGTTTGCTGATACTTGGATGCTCAGCAGCAATATCAATGACGGCCATTTCCCTGCCAATGAGCCAGCAAGTGCGGGCATTCAACTCGATTGTATCAATAATGTCTTTTCCCTTGAACACGAACAACTTCCATTGGTCCTTTGGTGAGGGTTTTCTTGCCTCTGGCGGTTCGTGGTATTTGAGCACAATGGTTGATCCATCTGCCTGGGCGATTGAGTTTGAGGCAGCCGCCAGCGTGCCCGAGTTGCCATAGTTGGGCTTCTCTTTCTCCTTGGGCGGCTCCTCTCCTTTTTCAATGGCAAATGAGTCGGCCTGCGAGGGCAGCGGCCCGCTGCGCCTCACTACTTGCTTGCTTTCGCTGTCGTTTTCGTCGTCTCTTCTGCGATGTCGCTTGTTCCTGTCCCGATCAGAGCGGTCCCTGCGCGCTTCATTGTGGTCGTCGGGAGACCGGCGACGCCGATACTTGTCTCCTCTCTCCCTTTCCGTTCGTCTGTCGCTGTCTCGGCGCTGGTGTCTGTCTCGCGATCGCGAGGTACGCCGGCGGGAATCTGGGGATCGCGGAGATCTGGAGCGTCTGTCGCGTCTTCTCTCCCTCTCGTGTGAATGACTTTTCTCTGTTCTCCTGTCGCGTCCGGAATCATTTCTGTTGGAACCGTTGCGGGACCGCGGTGAGGGCAGATCGGACCCCATCTTCGCTCAAGGGTCTTGTCCCGTCTTTGAGTCAAGGCTCCAGCAATACACTGAGGGTCTCGAGCTTTGCAATTGTGTAGTAATTGGTGCACTTGTTTCCACGCGCGGCTGTTGCGTGTGTGGTGGGATTGATTGGTGCCAGATTGAGGGCAAAAATGAAATTTTGAACCACTTCAAGAAGCGTCTGTTGGCGCATAAGAGCGGGAGCTTCAATTTGCAGCTCGGGAGCTTTTGCAGCGCGCCTCTCAGTTGCAAGCTACTAACTGTAGGTATGACCCCACCATCCTGCCAAACAGGACAGCCCCTCAAGAGCCCTACCTTGCTGACCAAGAAATTGATATCTCTACTATAATCCCGCGATGCATGCAAAATTATTTCGAATTGTAAGTCATGGCATCTTGTTGAGACTGTAACAATAATTATAATTATATAAAAGGTAGTCGGATCTTTGAAATGTCTATTCTATGCCCAATTTTAGTACCTTGGAACTTGCGCCCGTAATTGAAAAGAATGTCGTGATATTTAATCCATGTCCTCGTCCTTGACTAAAGGAGTGTCGTCATTTGTCGTCTGCTGTATTGTAGATGTCGTTCGTGTCGTTTTCGTAAGAGGGAGTGTGGTATCATCCGAACCATAGTATACCCAGTAGGTAAACATGTAAAGCCAACTAATGCAAATTGTACGCCTCTTGAATGCCCGTACTCCAATGCAGAAAAGCAAATAAATCCCAAAAAAGTCTTGTACTCCCACGCAACTTGCAATGTTGCTTCATGCCGTTGAGCTGGTCTCCGTTGTGTTGCTGCTGGTGCACTTGTAATAGTACGAGTTCCATGTTGGGTACGATGCACCGTCCTGGACTACTGAAGCATCTTCGCAAGTGTCGAGCGAGGAAATTGTCTCAGTCTCTGAGCAGGCGGTGTCAGAGTATAGCAAGACTTTGATTTCCATGTTAGCAATCGACTCTTGATCTGTACCCAAAATGGACAAGAGTATACTCACGTTCACAGTTGGCGGCCGCAGCGGTCGTGCCCTGGAGTACAATCGACACATAACCATTGGGTGTGGAGTCGCTTTCACCCGAAAAGTCGTGACACTGGTTGGCCTGGTCGGTATCGACCGTGTAGAAGCCTTCGTTTAGGTCAGAGCAGCCTGCCGCAGAGAAGACGCGAAATTGAGCCAGGCGCGGGTTTGAAGCTCCTTGACGGGGTAGCTTGATGGCGGCTGCGTGGGTGCCAACAGCAAAAGACGCAAGAGCGGCGAGAATTGTAAATTGCATGGCGGCGGTTGCGGCAAGGACGATATATTGACACTCAAAGGTTCTTTCTTGTAAGTGCTGCGAGTGTGGTGCCTGGTGACAAGTGCGAGAGGTATTATGAGCAAAGTCTGGAAAGATTTGTATCAAAGGGAGCTTTTTGGCAATGGTGTTTTGTTGAGCAACCAAACGCGTCTATCCCGTTCCCTAAATACTCAGATGGACCACCTTTTTTGCTTCAACGATACTAGGCATCGTCGGTGAGGCGGCGCTGCTCGGCTGTTCTACACTATAGTTTGCGTCAGAGTAATCGACTAAATGCAACGTGCCGTGCCACTTTTCTGAGCATGACTTTGATCATCGCGAGACTTGGAAATACGAGAAATTCTCGAGCAGTCTCTCAATAATCCACCAGCTGCACAGATCGACGGCGCATGACGCTGCCTCACTTTGCTAGAACCCTACAGGTCATGAGCTCCGCCTTTTTTACTCCTACACCACACTAGTACTGTCCTGCCTTGCTGATTTCATAGACTACGTCCAACTACCGGTCAATTGGACCTACTGAAGACCAAAGTCAAAACCATTTCAGTCCTGTTCCTCAACCTGTACCTGCGCCGGACGTGGAGATTCAACTCCTAGAGTTTCTTCGTGTTGGGCGTCATAACTCATGGTAAATCCCAAGCAAATGGAAACGGCAATCTGGCGAGTGATATCAACGGCAGTCGAGGAGTGTATTTCTTGCTCATCTAATCTTACCGCCCTTTAGAACGTTGCAGCTGTGGATTTGCCCTGCCACTGCTTTTGCGTCGAAATGTTTTCAAGCCTTCAAGCCCAAACATTGCCGGTAGGCAATGCCCGGACCAAATGCGGGGTTGTTTCTCGCTATATTTAGAAAGGTCAGGAACAAATACAACGTTGATCCCGCGGCGAAAGTATAGCGCAACAAACCCGCTTGGTGTACGAGTTACAGTGTTGGATAGATGTAGTTGCATAAGTAGCGTCTACTAGATTTTTAACACGGGACAAGGCGTGTAGAAATGGTGTGTCGCATGATTCGAGCAATCCCAAAGTCAAGCAGAATAAAGATGTATGTGTTTCCCCGAACCGGATCATTCGTTTAGCACCGTACGTGGAGTAGTTGTTCGTGGCTACAAAGGGTCAACTGCAAGCTGGCTGGTTGGCGATCAGTAAGCTAAGCAGGATCGACCGGCAGATAAGTGCTTATTACATCATATTGGCCTTGACCGTCCTGTTCAAACTCGACGTCAATACTCTCTCACTTTGTTTATGGCCACAGATGGCCTGACAGATATTCACAATCCCGCCATCTTTGGTGGAACAACTACGTGTACATGATGCCGTGATCTCTGTTTCCAATTTCTTGCCGTACTTTTGTATCCATCTACTAGGAATCTCGGGTATGTAGGCATTAGTAACGGGCTGGAATGCAGCATACTTGCACCCATCAATTTCCTTCATGAGATATCATTAATTCATTAGCAAAGACTAAACAGAAAACACTTTTCATGGCACCATGGCGCAGCAATCCATGTTGCTGCACAGCCCAAACAGTAGTCAGGCATTACATTAATCACAACTGCAATTAGACAATGCTCAAGATGGGCCATGGACTCGAATTTAGTATAGGTATGCATCCACCGCGCACATTAATGTCTCCATGTCTCGTACTTGTTGCTCATGAATCCCTCGCCTTTCGTATGGTACCGTTGATCTTTCTCAAACTTTTTCCCAGCATTCAGGCCACTCTTGATTTCTCCATTGTAGAATGCTCACGCTTCCGAATCCAGAGACTCTTACATCTCATCAGAGTTCTTGACTTGGTAGCTCCAGATAGCCTCGCCAGCATTCGGGGCCCAACAACCAGCTACGTCCGTGTTGTTTCCAAGAGTGAACATGGGACTGCCCGAGCAGTCAGTGTTGTGAAAGAAGAGGACGTAGTTGTCGGAAGCAACCCAATTGTTGGCCAATCCGAGGTAGGAAGGAGGCGAGGCAAGGACGCATTCTGTAGTCGATGTACCATACTCCTCGACTTGCACGCCAGTGCACTGCATGCCGGACCACAGGGTGAAGGCCCAGGCAGCGCCTGCATCGGATTTCTCGGCAAAGGGAGATGTCAGTCCATCGTGGACATTCGACATGTCGTGGTGGGGACCGGTCATGACGCCGTCGTTCATGGCAGCAATGGGGTGGCCACAGGCAGGAGTGAGGTATGGCAGCATGCCGAGGATGGAGATGCGAGCAGTGGCGAACATTTTGTGATAGATTTCTTGGCGACGGTGAGATGAAGTAAGGCGTGTGTAGGCGATTGTTTCGCGTGGGACAATGAGTGTGATGCTCTGAGGTCAACTACAGTTGTCGGTTGCTTTTGAAATGAGTTGTGTAGAAGAGGTAGTGAGTGTGTTGTGGAAGTTTTGTTGCAAGCAGTCTGAGATCAAGTCGAAGAGATTTCACCTTTTCTTCTGGAAGCGCACCTTCCATTCGGCGGTGACTGACTTGTTACAGCCAAAATTAGGAAAGTGCTGATATTGGCATCAAGCTTCACTTTGAAGAGCAGGTACCCAGTATGGGAAAGGACGTCAGGAGTCTGTGCTCGCCATTCACATCAATACCCTTCATAGCAACGGTGGGTGGCAATTACTGCCTGGGCGCCTTCTTTCTACAAGATCGATACAGAGTCGTCATCAAATACATGGGCATCTTGGCGTTTCGTTTCAATGAGTGTCGTGCTTGATGAATATTTGAATGGACACCACAACTGCAACGATTGGCTCAAGTCTATTCCACCATGACTGGATACCATTACGACGACAGATAGCCCCGTGAGTATGCATGCGGTCGTGAAAGGTTGTCGCGTTGGTGCTGAACTGTTGTCCAACTCAAACATGCGCAATGCTTGAATGAATTTTGGTCAAGTCGTCGCTATAGGCGATGCATTATTGCTGGTTCCAGGTTGTACTCTTTCAGGAAGACAGTCATTCAATAATACCGGCCCTTGATTCTTGACATTTTCATGCTCTGTTTTACCCTCTTTATCAAGCATAGGTCATGCATCGAGGGTCGTGCACGGGACTAGTTGTAATCATATCGCCGAGCTGGATTGGCAGTACGCGCATGGCATTATTGAATCTTGAGCTTCGGATTTGGTCTCGGTCAATGTGGACGGGCCTCAAGAAGTATTTATAGTGTCCGAGGAATGGTTCTCCCGACGTCGGTCTCTACGCCGAGCGGCGCGGGCGTACATGAGCTCCCGGCCGAGCCAAGATGCAGTCAGCATAGGCACGGAGTCTGACAAACTCGCAGACGGACCCGAGATTTGTGTCGGAGATGCGGAGGACCCTGCGAGATGTCTTTGGACCCCACGCCAGACTAGGCTGTAGAGAAATGTATGCCGCCACAACTAGTCAGGGCATGAAACAAACATGTGCCAGTTTCCGGACTTTTCGGCCTTTCGCGTCTTCAGAGGGGCGAAGGATGAATAATCTAGTCTGGCTTTGATGCCATGGTGCTAGATTGAGCGAATCAGGTGGGAGCTGGTTAGCTAGCCACTTTGGCTACCATGGCCTAACACCAAGATTATACTGAAAGCTGGAGCTGTTTGAGTCACAACTTGGATCATGATGCCATGATGCTGTCTTGCCCCGAGTAAAGAACCAGATTGTTGGAATGATGGGTACGTCCGACTACTGTAATCAGGTAGCATCCTTGAAATTATCCAACAATTGGACTCTAAAGTTGTATCAGAATGGTTCATGGTGTGGAGAAGCAATAGTTTTGGGGTTTCCATTCATGGCGGCTCCATACTACAGAAAGGGCTGAAGACCCGGGGAAGCAAATGATCAGATAAGCTGCGACGCAATGCCAACGATCCAGATGCTAAGGATATGCTAAAGTCTCGCCTGTTCCTTAACCCCGAGCTGGAAATGTCCATTACTTATCGGAAGCGATCAATTGAGACACAATTTATATCTCCGACTATGCGAATCTACATGGCTTGGATATTTCCACCGTTGGGTATATGAACGATTCGAGCTGCAACGACGATTTCTACATTTGTACACCAACCTCTACTAGCTATCGACACGCGCTCAAGTTGCGCAATCTATTTCCCGAGCTACCCAGGGGAGAAAGATTGACAGAGTCCAAAAGTCGAGTCCGACAACGTTTGATCTGGTCCTCCAAAGAGTGCCCAAGTTTGCAAAAGTTGCAATAACTCGTGCATACTACTCTCCAGCACCAATCACAAACTACAGCAAACAACGACCCAAACATTAATGGCACATTTTTTTTAGATCAAAACTCATCACACATCTATACGATTGTGGTAAACGTCTTGACTTTTGTGCTGGGTCTGGGTAGTAAACGGGTGGATCTGGGGATCGACAAGCCTACCAATACTTGTGGAGCGAGTTTGCGCCGCCAGGGGCCTTTTGGCACGCCTTTTGAGGACCCTTTTAATCACTATCGTGAAAACTTTACAACGGCCTGGGGAACTTTCCAGTTCATTGCTCTCTTGGCCTTTTCCTCGTGCGCATAGTTGCAAATATGGCAGCGTCTTCAGCAGCATCTACAGTGCATGGTGACGAGAGTTCGGTGATGGAGGGTGCAGACTTTCTCGCCGACACGCAAGCCAAGACGCGCAACGACCCGTCTGGGCGCGTTACGCCGCAGCAGATTGGGACAGAAGCCAACATTTACCCAGCACCCAACAATGCTGCCGAAGCCGACATTGAAAAGGGCGGTGCCGTCCCGCAGCTCAAGCCCGTCGGCGCGCCTCCTGGTTTTGCGCCGTCCGATTTCCCCGATGGTGGGCTGGACGCTTGGCTTACCGTCTTTGGTGGATTTTTTGCCCTCTTTTGCACATTTGGGCTGGTCAATTGTGTTGGAGTGTTCCTCAGCTATTATGTTCAGGGTCCATTAGATGGCTACGGCGAAAGTGCCGTCAGCTGGATCACGAGCACGCAAATATTCATCCAAACTGGCACCACGGCGATATGGGGCCGTCTTTACGATTCATATAGTCCGCGATACTTGCTGATCACCGGAACGATTATTTACTGTTTTGGTTTGATGATGACATCTCTTTCCACGCAGTACTACCAATTCTTTCTCGCGCAGTCCATTGTGGCGGCAGCGGCGTCGGGTGCCATTTTCAACGCAGCAATGTCTTCCGTTATTACTTGGTTCTTCAAGAAGCGCGGTGCAGCGCTCGGAATCATTGCTTCTGGCTCTTCTTTGGGTGGTGTCTGCCTGCCAATCATGATGAATCACCTTATTGTGAGACTCGGCTTCCCGTGGACGATGCGTATAATTGCGTTCATGTTCCTGGGCATGTGCGGCATCGCATCAGTTACCATCAAATCCAGGCTACCACCAAGACCAAAGCCATTTAATGTAAAGGACTACATCAAGCCATTCAAGGAGCCGGCCATGCTTCTGACCATGATTGCGTCTTTCTTGTTCTTTTGGGGCATGTTCCTACCTTTTAGCTATATAACGCTTCAGGCTGAGTCAGCTGGCATGGATGCATCATTGGCGCAATATCTCTTGCCAATACTTAATGCTGTCAGCATACTTGGACGTATCGGACCTGGAATTGTTGCAGACAAGATTGGCCGGTACAACTCCATGATATGCATCACCTTGCTGTCTGGCGTCATCACCTTGGGCCTCTGGATCCCCGGCACAAGCACGGGCGCTTTGATTGCCTATGGAATCATTTTTGGATTCTCTTCAGGCGGTTTCATCTCCTTGGCACCCACATGCATTGCACAGATATCCGACATTCGAGAAATTGGTACCCGTACAGGTGTAGCATTTGGCGTTCAGTCGCTAGGTGCTCTCACTGGGTCGCCTATCGGGGGTGCCCTGGTTAGGGCAATGGATGGAAATTACCTTGGACTGCAACTCTTTTGCGGTATTGTCATGACGCTGAGCGTTTTCGTCTTCCTGGCAGCCCGCTATGTACAACAAGGTTTTAAACTGGTCAAGGTGTGAGTCTTGTAATGTTTTATAGCAATGGAATATCGGCATTCCTACAAGTGAGGATATTATAAATGTGTTGTATATATGCGATTTGCCCGTCGCAGAAAGTTGTCCCGGCAGCAAGGCAATTTTATCGTGGCTCAAGATTTCTAGATTTTGCAATATTGTACACAGTGCCATGTGCTCAATTCACATGTTTCATTGACGTATGTCAACGCAGTGGGCCATGATCCCGCGAACTTGTCGCTTAAACTAACTCGCCTTGACGATTCAGTGAGTCAATGAATGATATTTCCATTTCCCCATCAAATATTTACATTGACCTATTACGGGGGATTTACTTTTCGTATCTTGCAAAAACAGTGATCCATTCCAAAGCTCACGGTACACTTGGCCTTGGTCAAGGGGCGTACATTGTGACGCTGCTACTACGCGAAAATCTGGGCTCGGAGAGATTGATTCTTGGTGGTACTACCATATTTTCTTGGGCACAGCCAGTATTTTCAAGAGAGAGGGCAAACAAAGCTCTCTCGAGTGACATTTCTTTTCTGCCAGCAAGAGCTTTCGTAATTAGAATGACGAAGGAAATTACAAAACTCACTAGCAATACATGGATTACTCTTGACAAAAGCCCTCAAGATGCCAAGTGTCAATTTAAGCTTTGAGTGTTATGCTATCCTGGGTATTATAATGTGCCTAGTATTTGCGATGGAGTCACTATGCTTGATTTGTATATCAAGGACGACACTTTTCACCAGGATAAGATGATGCGACAATGCAGACAAATTCGAGTCCTTCGTATGGCCCATGCGGCTTTCGCGTAACACGTCCCTTGCATCATGGAATTCAGAGATCATGTTGGAATCCACCTCGAAGACTTTGTCATATGTAGGGGCATTGCTGGGTGAATATCTGGTCGGCAACGGACAATCGTTTCAAAAGCACAATCAATTGGACCTATTTTTCCGTCGAGATTTCTCATAATCAAAGCAGAAGTCAAGGTGAAAGACTGTATATTCGACGCCTTGATATAGCCCGTGATTCAATACAATGTTCCAAAGAAATGTGTATACTCGACAACAATCGAGCTTGCTGAGGGATGCCTTGGTGATGGATACAGTCAGATCCCATTCAACAAGGTGCTTAACATTATTAAGGTCTGGCACCGCTTTCAGAGCGTCATCACAGAGTGGCAATGCTAGAATAGTGTACACACACTGGACGGATTAGGAAGGTCAATTTGTACATTGAGCCGCGGCTCCCACAAACGAATGTCGATAACGAGCCAAACGGCAGGATGTGGAGGGACACATTAGTGGTGGCCCGAGGCTCCGGCTAGATTGAAGTGCACCCTTGTTTCAGCTGAATGCTCATGGTCATGATGGACCAGTTACAAGGGACGTGGATCACGAGAAAAGTTTGTCTTTACCCCGCCATTTTTTTTATACCAGCTCATGGCGGGGGCTAGCGCTTGTCGTGTCGCTGCGAGTGCCGCCCGGACAGGACTACACCATTCAAATACATGATGGAATCGTTGACTCGGATTTATTTGCTTCATTGGACTGCTACTCTTTCTTGAGTACGCAGCTCTTGGAGTTGGCACTTGCCTGGCATTTGGCCCTGATGAAGCATCAAAGAGTATTTTCAGGTTCAAAGATTGGGAGGCGCAAAAGTTGCTGAAAAATTGCGGGAATAATAATCACATTTGGTCTTGCGACTGTTATCTTCAACCCCAGCTCGGGCAAAAATCTATTAGCTCAGTGGTGACCCCCTTGCTCGGACGATGCCCAGAAGGAGGCACCCTTGCTCAAGGGCGCCATCACAAATCCGGCTTATTATCCATGAGCCTTCAAAGTATCAGGGTGGCGGCTCGACCCTGCGTCTTCCAAATCGTTGCGTGCCTGGTTACTTCCAAGACGGCCAAGCCAGTAGATTTCAACGCCAATTCTAGCAAGCATAGTGTCCAAGACTTGGCAAAGCTTGACTTGACACCTCGACATTCCAAACATGATGGCTAATAAATGTGTTACTATCAAGGGATCGAGTAGGTAGTGGACATTTTGATCAAGATTGTATTGTAAAAGCAGAGGATGCATGTATTCCATTGTCATAGATAAGCGATATACATGGTACTCGTCAGTGTAGATCTTCCCTGGTTGTGTAGGTACCTACCTAGGTACTTTTAGCGGCGGGCTGTCTTTGTAGTAGGATCGTGGACCCGACCGTCCGTCGTATGTTGGTTGCAAGAATGCGCCAAATCAAATCCATTTTGATACCTGCTAGATTGGTAGGCGCCCTTGAATCCTTCCGCCCGTATGTTGCCAAGTCGTTTGACAGCGTCGTCCAATGAACTTACTGCCACAAGGATGGCTGCTTCATTAAGCTTTGATGAACATTTGCTGGATTTCTAGTCACCATGCACTATTGAGACGGTACCTAGTGCCCGCTGCCCCTCATGTCTACTCGCCCGCAAAAACGACTCGGTGGTACACTTGAAATCAAGCTCCAATGTTTTGTGGCCATTTTCATGAACTTGTAAATGTTCAACATTGGACAAGGCAGAGGACAGAGACGGTTCAAACTTGGATCAATCATATCAATGTTGAATCACTGCAGGATCGCCCAGTGCTGCCCTTATAACCAAAATTGGCATACCTGTCGTTGGTCCGTACCATGATCCAATCGCATGGGGCCCTGGATTTGAACCTGGCAGGTGCAAAATTCCAGGCGGCGGGAAAATGGCTCCGATCCAAGGGTTGGGGTAGTCGCATATGCTGGAAGGAGGACAGATACGAAATGCCAGACCAGACCCTTTGGCCCCTGTTCTACCTGTCAGCTCAAGAGGCAAAGCTGATGGATGGAAAATGCAACCCTCGACACCACGGACAGGCGCTCAGCTACCTAGGGACGCAGCAATCTGCATCTTCAAGTGCATACCATCTACACTAGAAGGTTTCTAGAATGCTTGCCATGCGAGCGTCTGATGGCACATATCTGGACAGAGACTAATCGGAGCGGCGCCATTGGATGCGTACGTAATGCCACGTCTGCAGAGTACAAAATCTACAAGGTTGGAATTGGTAGATGAATCTTGTGACCATTTTTGTTCCTCTCCCGATATCAGACCGCCAAGCTGCGGCAGGAACTTGAGAAGAAAAAATGAGGCAGGTTCTTCCAATCCCCGTCCAATCTACACCTCCATGGCTGCGAAAAACAACTGGTCTTTTGCCGACGTTTTGCAACGCCATACGCCATGTCATCCGTCAGCCGTCCATCTGCAAAATGCGTCTGCCCAGGCCTCCACCGCCCGCAATGTCTCAACCGTGTTGGGGACTCGGCAAGCTCATTCGCGCCGAGACGAAAGATCAATTTATTGATGGTTGTGTGAGATCCACACGCGTGCATTGATTGTTGGTGCGCGGCCCCGCCACATTCCCTGCACATGCTGTGTAGGGTGCGTTATGTCGGTATACCCATTCACCCGCATGTAAAAAGAGATTCTGGCCTACCGGTTTGCTCGCACACTGCATACTCGGCTGTTCCGCGCCATGAACAACGCGGCCTATAGTCCCTTCCCCAAAGCTGCCATGGGATGATCCCCGTCTTGCCACCAGCCCTCCATGGCCCTCCTCGCTCGCATTTCCGACTGGCAGGCGGTTTCCGACTGATAGGTCTTTCTTGACAACCTTCCATTTTCGCTCTGGTATAGACTCGCCTGTGGCCCATCCCTACATGTATTGGATGTATCATCCCAGATCGCTGGGATCGGTCCACTCCTCTAGTAGTCCATCTCTCCGGGAGGGTTCCATATTGGGACAAGCCTGTGTAGACCACCGTTCGCTTCCAACAGCCAGAGCGGCGTGGAGGGGTCGACATACAGGGTCGACATACAGGGCCCGAACAATCGATGCGGAGCGACCTTGATACCGCAGAGGTATAATTAATATCAGTGCCTCCTCTCTGTCGTCCTGCAGCCTCAGTCTCTTCAGCCTTCCCAAGCACGGTGCTCCATTGCCTGCCGCCTGCAGTCAAACTCTGTTGGTATCCTCAAAGATGGGCTTCTCGCTTCGTCGCAAAAATGGCGAAAGCCACGCTCAGTCCAGTGAGACCGAGGTACACGTCGTCTCTTCGGGCACCGACAATCACGCTCTCGAACAGGCCGACTTGCACATTAGACGTCTGAAGGATCAACATCGATTTGACCCCTTCTTACAGGAGGAAAAGATTGATGCCATTGACGCGGCCATTGAGAGCGGAAATGCTGAAAAGGAGACTGCCGTTGAGGCTTCACTTATTGGCGAAAACTCGCCATATGCCGAAGTGCGCGCTGCTGTAAGTCTCGTCCCAACATTGCACAATGCCAACTGCAGTCGTCTAACCACAAGTCCAGGTGCCCAACACCGACGACCCAGATTTGCCAGTTGATACTATTCGCGCTTGGACAATTGGATTCATCACGTGCACAGTCGTTGCTGCCATGAACTTGCTCATGGGCCAGCATTACACTGGTCTAGTTATTCAAAGTTCCGTCGTCCAGTTGATCTCTTACCCCATGGGCAAGGGTTGGGCTGCCATTATGCCCGACGTCAGGATTTTTGGCGTTGCTCTCAATCCTGGCCCCTTTAACAAGAAGGAGCACACCATTATTACCATGATGACTGCTGCCGGCGCTGCCATGAGTTATGCCTTTGACATCCTGCTTGCTCAACAGGAGTTTTATGGCCAAGCCTGGGGCTGGGGCTTCCAGATCTTGCTCACCATTTCGACTCAAGCTTTGGGTTTTGGTATGGCTGGCATGCTGCGTCGATTCCTTGTCTGGCCCGCGGCCATGGTGTGGCCCGCAACGCTCATCACCACCACCGTCATGGACAGTTTGCATGACCACCGGCCGACCGATCCCAGCAAGGCAAATGGTTGGACCATTGGTCGTTACAGATTCTTCCTGATTGTAGCCATAAGCGCCTTCTCTTGGCATTGGGTCCCGTTTGTTATTGCTCCCTTTCTATCATATTTGGGCAATTTCCCTACATGGGCCGCGCCAGACAATGTTGCAGTCAACCAGGTGTTTGGAGGTGTCCATGGACTTGGAATCATTCCACTATCGTTGGACTGGACGATCCCGACTGGCTGGTTCTACAGTCCTCTTCAGTACCCGTCTTTCGCCTTGATCAACATGGGTGTCGGAGGACTGCTATTCTTGCTGGGTATCGTCGGCATCGGCTTTGCGTCTCAGGACTTTATGAAGTACCTACCTCTCCTATCAAACACCAACTACGATCATTTCGGAGTCAAGTACAACACCACGCGTGTGCTCTCTGCCGACCTTACCCTTGACGTGGAAGCATACAAGGACTACTCACCACTGTTTGTTGGACCAGCCTTTTCACTTGCCTATGGTATGGGCTTTGCCACTTTGATCTCAACTTTGACTCATGTCGCCCTCTTTTATGGCAAGGACATTTGGCGCCGAGCTAGAAACGCTCGGTATGAGGAGCCTGACATTCATCTCAAGTTGATCCGTAGATACAAGGAAGCTCCCGAGTGGTGGTTCTTTGCCGTCTTTGTCATTAGCTTTATCTTTGGCATGGTGGCTGCTGTATGTTGGGACACCCACTTGCCATGGTGGGCTTACATTGTCACCATTATCATTGGCGCATTCTTTGTTCTCCCTGTTGGTAAGTTTCCATGACATTGTATAAACTCGAAAGGCGCAAGTAATTCTAACACCAGCATTAGGTATTATTCAAGCCGTCACTAATTCACAGACTGGCTTGAACGTCATTACTGAGATGATTGTTGGTTACATGCTGCCCGGAAGACCCGTCGCCATGATGCTCTTCAAGAGTTTTGGCTACATGTTTGCATACAACTGTCTGCAGTACGAGTCTGACATGAAGGTCGGCCACTACATGAAGGTCCCTCCACGGTCCATGTTTCGTGCTCAGCTGTTTGCTGTGATTTGGCTTTCCATTGTTCAGGTAAGTGATTTATGGATTCATTGCCTCGTCTTGTTCTAACACGTTGCACGTTAGGTTTCCACTTTCAACTGGATGCTCGGCACTCTACCCGGTGTCTGTACCGAGGATCAGCCCCAAGGATTCACATGTGCCGGCGCCCGGACTTTCTTCAACGCATCCGTTATCTGGGGCTTGATTGGCCCCAAGCGCATGTTTGGTGCCGGTGCCATCTACTCTTGGACCAACTGGTTCTGGCTGATTGGATTCATCCTCCCCGTCATTCAATTCTTTGTCGCTCGAAGATACCCCAAGAGCATTGCTCGATACATCTTCTTCCCGGCACTCTTTGGTGTTAGTGGCATGATTCCTCCTGCTACCATCTTCCAGCTCCTCTGCTGGCTGACCATTGGTTTGACTTTTAATGTCATTGTGAAGCGCAAGTTCTTTGGCTGGTGGGGTCGGTACACCTATGTGCTTTCAGGAGCCATGGACATTGGCACGGCATGTTGTCTGGTTTTGTTCGCAGTAGGAATTGGTATCTCCGAGGCTTCATTCCCTGACTGGTGGGGTACTGTTGGATTCACCAACAGTCTTGACCAGCAAGGCTTGACCATGTCTAAACAACTCCCGGATGGTGAGTGGTTTGGTCCAGCAACTTGGTCATAGTTTACGAGGTCCTATCATCAAAGCCATCGAAAGATACCCCTGTAGTTTAAGCGTCTGCCGTCTCTGCAGAGAGCCCAGGACTCATGAAAATAAAGACACGTTGATTAAGAGTACGACTCATCTACACCTACTTGATTCAGTGGCACAAGTGATGAAGATTAATAGTGCTTGATCCACCCTCCTTGCTGATGTAGCCATGTTGGCAAGGCAGAGACGACACGGAGAAGAACACGAATCGTTTTAATGTTTTACATTACCATCTGGAACTTTTGAATCACAGTGTCACAACGACATTATTTGATTTGCGTGCAAACGAGGATCAACTTTAGATACATGGTCGCAAGTACGCGCGAGTCAATGTAATGGATAAAATGGTATAATCCGATAAATGTAAAGTCTACACAAAAACCAGATGCACCAAGCTTGAATGTATTCAAGTGCATGTATTAAGTAGCCCCGCTGATTTTTCATATTGACTGATTGGCTGCTAAAAGTGCCAGGGCTGCGCCGAGGGGCTGTAGAGCTAAAATCAATCAACGCGCTACGCGTCTTCCCGTCGCGTCTTTCATTGCACGCCGACTTTTGAGTCTAGGAGCTCTTTGGCTTGACAAGATTGAACCGACGGAAATCAACCCAGGTCGCCATTACGAGAAATTCCTGCTCAAGGCTTTTGTTCCATGATGCCGCATTCCATCACACCAGAGATTCCAACCCCGCCTGCTGGTGCAGAGGACACAATGACGGATGCGACGATGCAAAACGGCGACAGCCAGGCCAGTAACGATCACGACATCACAATGGCCGAACCACATGCGCTTCCCAGCGAGCACAGCGTTGGGCCTGAAGAGGAAAAGAAGGAGGTCAAGCTTGAAGATCTCTTTGCAGATGTCGAATCAGATGATGAATTTCCGAGCTCACGGCCCGCTGAGAATAAAATGTCGAGTTCTCCAGAGCTGCCATCATCGCCAATGTACGTTTACACGCTGTCCCGTTCTTCTCCGCCGGTGGACAGGCCGACTCGGTATCGCGTTCTAATGGGAAGATAGAGATAAAAGCGCACCAGGCTCAAACTCGGACCCCGAGCTCATGCGTACATTTTATCAGCGACTTTTTCCTTGGCGACAGCTCTTCCAGTGGCTCAACCACTCCCCAACACCAAACAATGACTTTGGCCATCGCGAATTCGCCTTTACACTCTACAATGATGCGTATCTGCGTTATCAATCCTATGCCACAGCCGACCTGCTGCGAAAAGATGTCCTGCGTCTCCTTCCCTCCCGTTTCGAAATCGGACCCGTCTACACCACAAACCCGCGCGACCGCAAGACCCTGAGAAATAGCAGCGCCTTCAAACCCTTGTCCAAGGAATTGTGCTTTGATATCGACTTGACAGACTATGACGATATCAGAACGTGCTGTGACAAGGCCAACATTTGCACAAAGTGTTGGCGCTTCATGGTCATGGCAATCAAGGTCATTGACATTGCCCTCCGAGACGATTTTGGTTTCAAGCACATCATGTGGGTGTACTCTGGACGGAGAGGTGCTCACGCCTGGGTCTGCGACAAGAAGGCCCGCACACTTGACGACCAGAAGCGAAGGGCAATTGCCGGTTATCTCGAAGTTCTCAAAGGCGGAAGCCAAGGTGGCAAAAAGGTCAACTTGTGGCGACCATTACATCCGCATTTGAGGTGAGTCTCGCCCATCATTTCTCCCCTGTATCATTACACGGCGTGAACAGCGAGTGGTGACTAATCATGCTTTTTGCAGTCGGTCGATAGATATCCTAGCACCTCATTTTCAGAAAGATATTCTCGAGACTCAAGACCCTTGGGCATCGGATGAGCGATCGACACACTTGCTCACTCTACTCGAGAACAAGTCTCTCAGCGATGCCTTGCGCAAGAAATGGGATTCCTCGCCGGGCCGGTCCAGCACGTCCAAATGGGCTGACATTGATACTCTGGCCAAGAACGTGCTCAACAATGAAAAGGACAGCAAGAAATTGAGGGACGCCAAGCAGGATATCGTCTTGGAGTATACTTACCCGCGTCTCGATATCGAGGTTTCCAAAAAGTTGAACCATTTGCTCAAGTCGCCGTTTGTGGTGCATCCTGGCACCGGGAGAGTTTGTGTCCCAATCGATACCAAACACGTAGAAGACTTTAACCCGCTCGAGGTTCCAACCCTTCATGGCCTGCTGGCTGAGATTGACAGCTGGACTAGCCAGGGCGATTTGGCAGGCGGAGTCAAGAAGGAGCCGGGCAAAAGTCTTCAGGACTGGGAAAAGACAAGTCTCAGACCCTATGTGGAATTTTTCAGAGGCTTTGTTATAGCACTGATGAAGGATGAGCGGGATCCAATGGTCAAGAGGGAGAGGGAGGAAGACGGCATGGAGTTTTGAGCAAAGCGTAGTTTTTCATTTCTCAAGTATACCACTGTTATTCCTAGATATCTTGAAGGAATTGCCCATATGCATATCCAGTTCAGTTGAGTCCATGCGAGTTTGTATCGCCTTGTACCTGCGAGAAAAGAAGATGTCTTGATCTTTCAGCAAGTTGACTGTCCCTAGGTGTGTCAGTCCTCCAGGGCCGTTTGAAATGATGGCAGATGTTTACAGCAATTGACTAATACACTTTGACACTATCGAGATTTTTGAACCGAGGTCACTAAATGAGAAACTGCTGTGCTTACGGGGCCCAATATCTATTATAGGTTATGGTAATATCAACGATGGGTGACACGAGGTCAATACTCAGTCGGCCACTACATTTTCCCTCATCTCTCTTATTCTCTCACCCATCTTTCCCTGTTTGTAATGATAAAGATCTTGGATAGCTGCCTTGAGTGTGTTCCTGCGAGCCTCAGCGCCAGTCTGGGCCCCGGTCTAGTCTCTGATGGTTATTTCCGTAGTCAATACGATTCCCTCCTTTCTCTGTTTCGTTGTACCTCAAGTATATATTCCTCGCTTGCTGGCCGGCTATCGCCATTCGAGGCAGATTGATATACGGACCGGGCCAAAACAAGATCCTTTCCGCCTTTGATACTAGTCCGATATGTTTCGTTTCTCTTTGGGAATGACGGTGTTTGCATTCAAATTCGGCGTCGGGTTTACTGGGTCGATTGCGGTCATACCTGTCGCTTCGTTTGGTGAGTTGAGCAGCGCGCCCGGTTCGTAAAATATCGTTGTAGTTTCTATATTGACCATAAGGAAGCTTGAGGACCTTTCCAAGGACAGGTTTCAAGGTCGGAGCGCAAGCGGCAATGATACGGACATTTAGTTGCAGACTACCAACACGATTTCAAGTTAGTGGCTAGTTCACTTCTCGCTGGACCATGCGAGACCTACAACCCCAGAACTGAATACTCTACCTAAATGTCTTGTCCTTGTCAGTTGCAAATGCAATCTGATGGTATGCCTTGACAGCACCTAGGGCCACGGCACTTGAGTTCCACGTTGGCGAGGAAGCAAGTAATTTTACCTCGGTGTGCATCTTACAAGTAGATAATAATTATCAAGTAAATGCGGACTTGTAGCTTTAGTTGCAGTTTCGGTATGATTGGGATCGGTAGAGTCTCGAAACAAATGTCGGTGAAGATATTGAATGCTTTCAAGGGTGAGCGGTCCGAATATTTTGTAAAAGCATGCCATATAGCTGCCAAACTCACCAGTGTTTACAAGACCAAACTTGATAAAGAGGGCAATATCATAGCATTTGGGGTGAATAGCTTTGTTGCAGAAGCCTTTGATCGGCTGGCACATGCAAAGTAAAGTCAGCCAAGCCAAAATGGTATGACAGCAGACACGACCTGTTCAAAAAGGTCCAAAATCAGTACATGCCCATCAGTGAGATGTAGCTGCGTTGATAATTACCAACGAGGCCTCATAGAGCCATTGAATAGAACTTGTTCGTGCTGAGGCGCAAGAACGAAAAGGCTGTAGATATTTTGAGTGACCCAACGCTCCCATGGCGTATATTAGTGATTCAAAAAAGGCAATGTGATTGAAAGTGGTTGTGTCTAATGGCGAGATTGTGTCCGCGTGCCGACCTAATCCAACGTATCTCTGGAGTATAAAGCAGAGCAACCCGCCAAAGGTGCAAAGCTGTTGGTCAGAATATGGAGTACATTTGGTTTCTAATGTCACTCACTATGCAAACCACCATGGCAGTGTCATCTTTGCCTGCGGCCTTGAACTTCCTACTCGTGCATAAATGCGCAGTGATGCCGGTATACACCACTGCTGCCTCCAGCGACGCTCAATATATATGAAACATTGCTTTCCGCTGTCCTCACAGGATCTACCGATACTTTTGACATGACCAAGAAGAGCAGTTGAGGATAAGAGAGAATGATTTCCAAATTCAAGACAGCAAGCAGTGATGTATACCGGCAACGAGCCGGATATTGTATTGTAGAACCACTTGAGTAGAGATATCGATGCATCTACTCACTTCACTGGCATCTGTCTTTTCAACTTGACGTGTTTCGGGTTCAGTGATTTTCACGTTCTGGGCTTTTCCAATGCATGGTTCCTGTTCAAGAGCAGTTTCCAGACACCAGACGGCCTTGATGCTGTTGACGAGATGATACAAGCATGGACACGCCAGAATCAAACGGAATGCACCCTGCCGTTGCAGCCAGTGCTTTGGTAAATAATCCCATAGGTCAGACATGGGGGAAAGGCTTGGGGCACAGAAAACATTATGCTTTGTTGGGAGATGGATCCGAAGAGATCAAGACTTGCATACCTACAGTCCATTCGGTTGGATTATGTGATACAATACCTGGGCGTTACCTAGGTCTCATACTACTTGGCATGCCTTCGTATTAGGCTCTCCTGGGTCTAAAATGACTTGTACTGTTGCTTCTCACCTTTTGGTGATTTCCCATGGCGAGTTCATTGTTCATGTCATTAATCATCACAGTGTCCAAATTAGCGGGTGCATGCCGAGATTATCAAACATGTTTTCGAATGGCACAGAAAATCTCTTGGCAAAGTCATGTGTGTCGATTACATTCGGATAAAACTCTTCCTTGTCTTGTCTCTTGGGCTTTTCCAACGTCGAGAGCGGGCCCCGAGCCTGGTTCCACATGCCAATGAACAACTAGGTAGAAAACATGTGGAGTTGCCGCAACGGGTCTTGAAAATAAGCTTGTCTCTGGGGCATACGAATGATCTGAGGATATTCGCCTGATCAGCGGGATCGTCGATCAGTTCGGCCAAGCTAAAATGTTATAGATTCCATGTGGAGTTGTTATTGTGTGTTTTCAGAGCCAGAGGCAGAAGCAATGTCTAAATCCAAGCACGCATAATCAAATTCACACGTGGTGATTTCACGTTTTTCCCAAACGCCGGGTTGATTGATTGATTCCCTTGCTGCTTGCCTCTTGGGCGGCTTGTTGTTTTCCACCCCATGCTTGGCCCCTTTTACAGGCGGGCCAAGGTGCTGAGGGCATGTAAGCATTGCTCTTGTATCCGATGAGTCCGACAGATTTCAAAGTAGCATTCCATCATCCATGCTGCATGTTGGTTGGTGATCCACAACTGTATATATTCCCTGGCTAAGTCCATCAACAGTTTGTGAGCGTTTAAACCTTTGATTGCTGGAGTGGGGTGAAGGCCCTGGCTGATGCCTCCACCGGAAGTGATTCTCGACGCATAACCAAGGCACAGTGAAAAGATTTGCATACCCTTATACACGCGGTACTTTACAATATTTAGCGAGCTTCTTGTGCGCGTACTTTGTTGGATCCTCCTACATGTGCCGCATTGCTGTAACTCTGATTTTGATATTTTCATCTTTACATTCTCGAACACCATTCTTCTTGGTGACAAGTTAATAACTCAACAATGCAATTTTCAGTCTTTATAACGTACGGTCTCTACATAGTTTCTGGATTGGCTACTTCCAGCCCAGTACAGAAGCGGGACATTATCGACGATCTGCAGAGCCAGGCTATAGCTGCGCTACAGAATGCTATAGATAATGGACTGTTCAAGGAATCTTGCTCCATCTTTAATGCAAAAGTTCGAAAGGAATGGTAAGTTTTCATTCTTTCGAGGCTCTTTACAGCCCCAATCTTTGCTCACACATGATTCAGGTCCACCCTCTCTCCAGAAGAGAAAAAGTCATACACATCCGCTGTGAACTGCTTAATGGCATTACCATCGAAACTCGATTCAAGCATTGTCCCTGGCGCCAAAAGTCGATATGATGATTTTGTCGCGCAGCACATTAACCAAACCTTGACGATTCACGGTACTGGCTCTTTCCTGAGTTGGCACAGATACTTTGTGTGGAGTTATGAGACCGCACTTCGGGATGAGTGCGGCTACACGGGTTACCAGCCCGTAAAAGTTCCCCATTCGAAAAGCGACCAATAATCATGACTGGTTTTTTAGCAGTATTGGAATTGGTTCTCCTTTCAAGATGACCTAACAGCATCACCCGTATTCGACGGCAGTGCCACGAGTATGAGCGGCGATGGGTCCTTTGTCAGCCACAATGGCAGCGTCGGCGGTGCTGGCACAATCTATCTGCCATCTGGTAACGGCGGTGGCTGTCTCAAGAGCGGTCCATTCCAAAAGTACGTCTGCCCGCAAAGGCTCTTTTAAACAGCAGATAATCTAATGAGTTGAATGTGCGCAGCATGGTTGCCAACTTGGGCCCTATTTCTCCGACCATGGCGGGTCAGGCAAAGGTAAACTCGAGTTTTGCCTACAATCCGCGCTGTTTGAAGCGTGACCTCGGCACCTATACAGCATCGACCTGGCTCACTACAACTAATCTCCTTAATCTCACCTTGGGTAATGCCGCCTCGAATATTGAAACATTCCAGAATGAGCTCCAAGGTCGCTTTCCGCAGGGTTTTCTAGGACTACATGCTGCCGGGCATTTCAGTATTGGTGGTGATGCAAGCGATCTTTTCTCGTCACCCGTTGACCCGGTCTTCTGGCTCCATCATGCCATGCTGGATCGTATTTGGTGGCTATGGCAAGCTCTTCATCTTGATCAGGCAGACACCATAGCTGGAACTATAACGCTCTTTAATAATCCACCAAGCCGCAATACAACATTGGATGATACTATTTACATGGGCGAATCAAACGCACCGACGCGGCCAATCAAGGATTTGTTGGACTCGCTCGGGGACTCGCCGTTTTGTTATATTAATTTGTAAAGCGGAATGGTCAAGCAATACTTTTATAGACTCGGGTAGATCATTTTCATCAAGTCTGTAATTGTTAATAGACGAGTTCTAGCAAGGTCAGTCTTTTTGTTTTGATATAAGCCAGTGGCTACGGCCGAGTAACGACTTGACAAGAGCAAAAGCACTATGAATAAGAGCCATAATAATGGGCAAGTTCTAGCCGGTCCTGGAAACATGAGGCTTTGACTGGCCTAATCTGACCTTTTGGTCACTGGTCATCCTTTGGAACAATAGCCACATGTAGCAGTATTGAGGCTTATAACGGACCTTTATCACAATGTCAATAAATTTTCCGAGTAATTCATTTCGAGCACAAGGGAGCACACATCTTGATATTCCCTTTTGAATATTGAGTATTAGAGACTATCACGCAGGCCAAAATGATCCGGTTGTATTCATCTCGACACTCAACTTTTCATATTCTAATTCAACTTCTTGGCCAGTCTAGCGAATCCGTGTCACGAATTTCCTTGCGAATTTGAGTCTTGATGTCATGATTACACAAAGTAATCATGTATAATTCTAGACTCAATATGCGATAGTCGGAGCGAAAACATGAGCAGTGACAAGACACGCATTTCAATCATGACGGCAGCCTTTTACCAATCGCATGGATTATTGTCTTGTGAGTTTCTTCAACGCTATAATGGTATTTTCCCTTGTAAAACGGGAGGCAATGAGAGGATCATATCTGTCCCAAATAGTAGTACATGTAATCTTTGTGGCGCAAGGTTCCGACTTCCATAAACGGCAGCCATCACTCACTTGAGAAAACATCATTGGCTATTGTCCGACGATCGTTTAATAGTTGGTCACCTCAATTGTGGCTTCCATCTCCAAAACAAGTGGCGAGAGTCTACTTTGTTTTCAGAGGCCACCAAATTCTGCTTCTCCCATCCCTAGTTGATGCGGGATGTACTCTGTACAGCATAAGCGATTGTGGCTAGTGAGGTAGGGACCCCTGATTGATTTTCCGCGTTGCGTCCATCAGAGCACACACCCGAGGGAGTGATGCTATCATGTGGCTCGTTTGACCGCGCTGAAGCTTTTCTTTGGCGATCAATAGCTGATTGGCGAGATTGGTGCCACATTGTGGCGAGAATTTCCCTCCCTGGAAGTGTGGTAACTAGGTAAGGATATTCGTTCACCTTGTGCATCTGCCTGTCACTATCTCGACCGCGTTGCGCCGCGCCTATTGGATCACACGCTCTATGCATCAGGCATTCATGACCCTGCAGCCTATTATTACAGGTAGCACTGTCAAACATGTATTCATTCGAGAGCAGCTCATTTGTAGCATGTACTCGAAGCTCGGGTAGCTGTGGCTCAATTGCAGGGATGCTATGAAGCCACTGTGGCGAGTTGAGCAAAGGCAGCGAGCCTAGTGTATTTGTAGCATATTGACGTGCTTTCCGTGTTGCCGTGTCGAACCGAATCTCTTGAGCAAACGACGATAATTTGTTTACACTTTGTCTTTGGGTGGGGTGAGGGAGGCCTCTCAAAGCGTCTGGATCACGCCTGATCTCATACGCTCAAAACTTTTGAATGTGTTTCTCTCAACGACTGCCGAGTCTGCGCAAATCTAGCCAGAGGGTGCCGCACTATTAGTGAAACTCTGCACAAGGAAGCTTTGAAAACGATTTTCACTCATATTTTAGGCCGTTCAACGGTCTCCGAGTGTTGCCCGATTGATTTTGGCCAGGCAAAAGTGAGCTCCCTTGGCTCCCTCCCCCTTTCTGGTTGCGAAACCCAAATTCAGTAGCAAAGTCCCCATTTCGTCATACCGTGAGGCCGTATTCCTCGATCGGCAGCCGGCAGCCCCATATCGGGCCTTGCTGTGGGGAAACTGATTGTCAACGACGGATGACCGAGCCCGCCGTAGTCAAGCCTCCCGAAGAAGCCAGAAGTCTAGACAAGCTGTGGCGAGAATGCTTGTAGCCCTCTCAAGAAACCCCAAATGTACCGGTACATGTATGAATTCAAGAGAGCTTCAGCCACACGCAAGGTCCCCTATGCAACGCGCTGCATATGCAGGCCGTAGAGGAACGCAGAGGGTATCGCCTCTAGCTGCGCAGCAAGTGCCTACTGAGGAAGCCAGTCACTGACTAAAATAGGGGTCAAGGGATAAAATCTTGCATACCCTTTAGCACTGCATTTGCACACCATGGTCAAGGTCGCCAGGATCGTGCAATGATGCGCTCTTGTTCATGTCATCTTCTACAACTCCATTTTGAACAACAACTGATTGGAAAAGTATCGTTTCTAAAACCCCAGAAAAGTATAGAATGCTGGGACATTTGAGAAATGAGCTAGTGGCTCTTGCTGCATCCATATCAGCCTAGTATACAAAGCAGTCGAGCATTGATATATCTGGGAAATCGCGACCGTTGCACATTATAGCGCCTATACCGGTCTGCTTGAAATCACAACTGAGGGCGCTTGGACGATTTCGCCAGGGCTTATAATCGGTCTTTGCCAGGAAGATCTGCTATTAAAAAAGGGTTTCGGGAGGATTTTGGCTGGCTTGGGCCAAATGATGGGGCGTCAAGCTTTCCGCCAGTCCACTCCGCTACCTTTGGACGTTTTTTCCCCCCTTGGGACTGGGCACTCATTGCTCCGAGATTGAAGAGAACTAGTCAAGTTCTTGAAAAAGAGTCGTACCATTCTCTTCTATCGATGGATTGACTGTACTGTACAGAGTATACTTTTCGCCGTGGCTAGAATGTAGGAGATGTTTAGGGGCTGAATGCTGCCCTGTCTTGTCCATAATAGACTGACTGGATTGGCTGGTTTCTTAAACTTGCTAGCTCTTGCAGACGGCCTAGTGCGTCGGCAAGAGCAGGCCGTATCTTTCAAGCACTTGAGAGCCTCCATTCTCCTTGATACCGCACAATGCCGCAAAGGTACTGTGAAGAGCAGCATCAAGTCTGACCAAAGTATCTCTTACCCAAGACCCAAAGTACATGTCTTTGAGATCACCTCTAGGTGCATGTGGGCATTGCATGCAACTAGACTGTACTGGTGCCCAGGACACGTACTTGTCCGCCACAAGTCGAGGGGCTGTGCAACGTCCCTGATGCCGATCGCTGTGGCTTGACGCAATAGTGCCCAGGTTTGAGCTGCTCGAGCGCGACGACTTGCAAATGTTTAATTGTAATTTTTGTGTTTGGTAGGGGATTCGGGCCAGTGCGGCTTGTGCGGGCATTTGCCAATCTTGGTGTTCTTGTGACTCCTACATACTTGTTCAGTCGACAAGACGACGCTTCGGGTATCCGGCTGGATAAGACGGCAGTCTTTTCGTCGCTGCAGGGTGCACTCTCTCGTCTTTCAGCTGGCGATTGCTTACTACAATCGAGCCCGGATGAAACACAGACCTTTTTGAGTTGGAGGATTTTTCAAATCTTGATGACCCTGAGCAAACTTTGGACCTGTCTTTTGTTGAATGAGATTGTAAACGAGCCTTGTGATGAGGGTTTCTGATCAAGACACAAAGTCTCGACGACCTTGGTAGAACAGGCAAAAGCCAATTGTATGAGTCTAGCCCAGGGCTTTCCTCCGTGCTGTTGTCATTGAAATTGTATCACTAGGTAGGTAGTTTCGAAACACCCATCGATCGCTTGATGGACGGCACCCACGAGGTTTTTCCCAGATCGAACCGGAGCAACCCCCTCTTCTGGGACACATCTACCATTCTTGTCATTTTCGGACATTTAAATGGAAATCCAATCAAACCCCACAAACAGTGCCATAAGGCATGTGACAAGGGCTGTGAGATGAATAAGGATGTTGATGGAGTTATGTGTTTTGCTTTTCGCTGCCTTGAAACATTCGTGTTGTGGGGGCACAAACGCTCAATCGTATAGCCTAGGTGCTGTATCGAAAATGGGCGCGTACACTACCTGGTGCAATGTACCTAGGTACTTGCTCCTGGCTACTAGCCCATGAGCTGATCAATGCGCCACAGTACTTGACCTATATAGGCAAACCAGGTTGGTCGAATTGCGGCTCGCTACCTCGAAAAAGGCAATACATGTAAAATATACTGCTGTCAACGGTAAGAAGCACCACTAGGTACCTGGGTAATACCCCAGGGGCTACTACGGGATCGAGGCAAATGGGGTTCTAGAGAATTAGAATCAAGCAGACAGGGCCCCTATATGGATCTTGAACAATCGTACGTACATTGCAAAGGAAGCAAAAGTCCAGAGGGTTATTGCTTTGATGGGAATACAGAAATTCATGCGCTTAAATTCAACAAATGAAACGCTCATACCCTGCAAATAGAGTTTCCAGCGGTTGACAAGGCAAATGGCCATTCTTCGGAGCGGCTCCCGGAGTTGGGGTATTCATATCTCGTCAGATTGATTATGCCACTCTGATTTCAAATTAATAGACTTGCAATAATGTGTTTTTTCCCTTTAGATGGATTGATCTAGCAGACACTGGGATGGGAAGAAGAGTTGCCAACCCGACAAGATGTCATACATGTGCAAGAGCGTCGTCAGCCTCTCAGATTACCAACATCTCGAGTATTTTTGTTGCCAGAATATGTATGACCATGAGCGACGACGAAATGAAGCAAATGAGAGCCGAGATTGTCATCCAAGGATGCTTCCATTTCCCTCTATCCAATCAAGTCAAAAATCTCCAGTTCTGCAGACCTAGTCGCAATCTCGGCACCTGCATGTTCAGTTTGGAGTGTCAGGGTAGGCTAATGAAAGGTGGGATGCCGGTTGCATGTTTCATGATTCGACTTTCAACCACGGCTCACAGGGCATTGGTAGGCATTTATTGCGACTGGCCAATCGTATTGCTTGCGTCATTATGCTGAATAGCGCCTTGTCCAGGCCGCATTCTCCAAGTCGTGCGCAAATGGCAGAGAGGTCAGTCAAGCCTTGCCAGCCAAGCGTCAAAATATTCTCTCCCTCCCGTATTTAAAATCTCGCGTAGGGTCAAGAATCTGTACAAGGGGTGACAATTGATCGAGTTTCAAACTCAAAAGGTGAGTGACTTGTATTTAGGGCCACGGAATAATTGCTGATCAAAGCCCAGTGTACTATCATATATATATATATTCCATACAAGTGCTCGTTTGCTTCTTCTCCGCCAAGGTTTTCAGATGCATGTTTTCCTGCAACAATAGTCGCCCCCATCGGTATCCGTCATTCTTCTGCTCCAACAGATTAACGTGACAATACTGCTTGGCTGTTCCACCGTTCCATCACTGTCAACCTAGTCATTAAGCCGATTTCGTCAGTCTAAAGTAGATAATAAGTAATTCAAGCGCAATCAGCTGCCTGTACAACAAACAGTAGCTGCAAAGCGTATCAAATTTGCCATGAAGGCAGTGGTATCTTTGAAGAAATAAAAGGCCCCTCAACGCCAGATGTTGTAATAAAGTAAATCAAATCCTGAATGGTCGTGTATGTGGGTATCCGCTCATGTATGTGCTCAAAATGGGTACCGACGGTCCGTAAAAGAGAAGCAGAAAATTTTCTATAGTATGCTGTTTGGGTCGTCGCAGTGACCGCCTCGTTTTGATTAGAAAGTAAGTCGCAGTTCGTAGCCGATTGTCGTACGCAGCACGCTGTGGGCCGACGATGTTTCCTCCTCGGGTTCGTCCACTGCCATTTCCCATTCTCGCTTTGGTTGAGGAACTTTTGTCTCGACCTCAACCACGTCCAAGAGCATGTCCTGGCCTTCGGAAAGAGCTTCAATCACGTCGTCGTCCATTTCAACGTCCAGGCCGCTCTCCAGAGCATGCACTGTGCGAACAATTTTGTTGAAATCAAGGCTCCACTTTGCTGCGATGCGAGTCGCAAATTCTGCTAGACTCCTCTTGTGTAGATAGATGGCTCGGTGCAATTCCTTCTTGTCCGCAGAAGCTTGGCGACGAGCAATATAAAAGCATGCGACGGGTTTGGGCGACCGATCCGCGGGCGGTCGGTAGGATTGGTCAACACCGAGGGCTTCGATCCAACCACTCAAGTTTCCAGCCTCGTCGATTTTATTGACCTTGGTAGGTTGGTCAAGCGGTGCTGCTGAAGTCTCTCCAGAAGCAGAAAAGTCGTTCCACTGCGCCTTGGGCGCAACCGATGCCTGCGACTGCAGCGACATGTTGCTCGGCGACGGAGAGACGAGCGAAGAGCCAGCTACAGAGCTCCTTCCACTCCGCCAGGCGGCGCTGTCCTTCGATTCGACCTTGGTGAGATCGGTAGGTTCTCCTGCCAGAGTCACTGGGTGCAAATCGGGATCGTCGAGGTCCTCTCCCCTCAAGTACAAGATGCTCACGGGTCGTGTACTCGTAAACATGTCTTGCAAGGTTTGAAGTTTGAAATGTAGATCATCCTCCAAGGACGGCCGACCACCACCGCCTCCAGTGCCCCCTCCTGCCGAACTGGCCGAGGACATGGACCATGTTCTCTTGTGCTTTTGAACCTTTCCAGGGCGCTGGGCATCCTGTGATTTTGCTTGAGAAGTGGAGCCTCGCTTTCTCTTGCCAAAATCCTTCATACCACTCTCGGCCTGCGCTATCTGTTGCTTGAGCTTGTCGATTGTCTTTTTGACGTGAGCAACATCATTGGCCAGTTTGCGCTCGGCACCATGGTCCCGGAAGAGCTTGACCTTGCAGTAACAGATCTCGGCGCCAGCGTCTGATGTTGGTGAAGTGCTGCCAGCGGGAAACGGAACAGTCTTGGCGCACAGTCGAACCGGAATACCCTTGACACCCTTGGAATGGCTAAAGTCGGTTGAAAGAAAGTTGAACCTGACGGCAATGTTGCACTCGGCCCCTCCGTTTGCGCCGGGAGTCCAAATTACAGAGAAACCGTCAAAGGAAGCCGTGTCCAGCTCAATCCGCGTCCTCTTGTCATCACCCTCGGCTGGTTGCCCAGCCTCGACGTATTCAACAGCCTGCAACTTGCCCCCTCGCTGGTGCGCTTCGTTGGTGCCCCGTCCCTCCTTCCAGAGACTCCAACAAACCCCAGGCTTCTGCCGCTGTTGATCGTCCTCGAAAGATACGCGCACAAAGGTTCTATATCGAGTCCCAGGAGCAAGTGGGAGTACTGCACCAGTGTCTACAACAGACAGAGAGTAGGCTTGACCCTTGTTGAGGTATGTCACGGGTATCTCATCGGCCTGCTTGATCATGGCCGTGGGAGCGTTCAAGGTCGCATGGTAACGAAACTTTTCGGCCGAGGACGGCATGCCATGGCCCAGAGCCATACCAAAATGGGTGGGCTGAAAACCCATCATGGGAGGTGACTGAGAGTGGAATGCCGCGTCCAGTGATCCAAGTCTGCCGTCGCGCGAGTCCGAGTCCAATGGCGAGCCATCCTGATCCATGGTCTCATAGCCAGTGTCCTGATGCACAAATGAAGAAGGGGCATACGAGGCCTGCGGCGGCGCAGCCTGGACGAATGGGTTGAAATGTTGAAAGTGATGCGGCGGCATGCCTTGGTGCTGGTGGAAGTGTCCAAGGTCCATCATGGGCGCTCCAGAATGCATGGCACCCTCGCTCGTGGGCATGGACAGAGGAGTGCCCAATCCCATGCCGAGGCTCAATGTGGGCGTGTGCAGGTCGCCAGCCTGAGGGTGATAGATGGTGTTGGTTCCACCGGGCGTAGGCGTGTAATAGCCCGGGGGCTGATTGGCGAATGCCGAGAAGGAAAAGGAGTTTGGATCGAGTAGCGACGGCGTGAAGCGCCATGGCTCCGCAGATGCGCGAGGCGTTGGATCCTGATCACGAAATGCATCTTGATTCAGGCTCTGGCGTCTGGAAGATGTAAGAATCGTGTTAGCGTGCGACAAGAAATGGGTTATGTAGAAGCGCAGATCATGAACAAGTTGGGCGCAGATCGTAGCCGGAGGTGATCTGCTTTTCCCCTCTGACCGATCGGCCTAAGCGTTGCGGCGTACCCCGCGTAGACGCTGGCTGGCGCCTCTGCACCGCCTCATCTTGGGAGAACAACCCAACACTGGTGTAAAACACTATGGGCTGGCCAAGAGTGAAACGCGATTTACCGGGAAAATAACAGGACGGAAAGACTGAAGAATTTGGTGGTCAAGGAAGCAAAAGTACGCACCTCTCCAACTGGGCCGCGCCAGCGACGAGAAGAGTATTGTCGGGCGCTCCTGTGGTTTGCGTGGCTGCCAACGTCGACGATCCCGCAGTCGATACTTGGGGAAACTGCTGTCGGAAGTTGGCGAGCAGGTCTTCGCCGGGCTTTTGCGAACTTGTCCTATTTGCGCAGAGCAATCGTTAGCCATGAATCCTTTGGAGCAGGCGCGACAACAAGTAGTGCAGGTACATGGACATGTACGGAAAGCATATCAGATGCTTTCCGCAGAAGCGGAGTGAGTCAATGTGGAAAATCAAGGGAATAAAAGTTGTTGGAAATTCCATGAACCATGCATAAAGAGGCATGGAATATCTCAGAGTAAAAGGGCGAATTCCTCAAGTTTGTCCAATTCATCCTTACCTTTGTCGAAACATGTGGAATGTGCGTGTGAATCGCTGTCGCAAGACAGCGGAATCATGGATTGCTCAGCACAGTATGTCAAGATGTAGATGTTGTCGGATAAGAAGACCAGAAATAAGCAGGTTTGCAAGCTGCGCCGTGAATGGTGCCCAAACGACCTAATAGACGGCAATCTGGCGTAGGTGAGGATATCAAGCGAGTAGTTGAGACGTGAGGCTGTAGTTTGTAAGATTGCAAGTCCAGCTGGAATTCGTATCGCAAGTTGGCGTCGTGTGCCGTGCCTCGAAAAATATTGTATGCAGGTAGGTGCAGGCAGGCAGGCAGACAGGCAAGGTAGCGAGCGAGTGTGGCGGAGAAAAAGGCCAGTAGATGATAGTTTCTTCGGCAACGTTCCTTTAATGGTGCAGGCGCAGCTGAGTGGAAATGGCGGGTCCGGGGAGGATAGTTTAGGTGCGATTTGTGCGTGCCAACAGCTTTTGGAAATCCAAAGGATGAGCGGTAAATCGCAAAGTGCGAGGAGGGAGAGAGAGGAAAAAAGATTATATGAACAAATGCTGATTTGGTCAAGGATGAAGAGTATTATAGTACACTTTACTAAGGACTGAGTGGTGGGTACTTGGATATGATATGGTGGATTTCCGACTCACCACGCGCAAGAGGTAGCGACAGGGCTTCCAGGGGAGGGGGTGTATAAACGGGGGTGGGGGGCGTGAATATGCCAAGACTGCTCCGATGCGATGACTAGTGGCTGCTACCGCCCACAGACGCGTCAATGGGTGAGGTAGGGGAGGTTAGGTAGGGGAGGTAGTGTATACTTGAGAGATACTGTACTACAGTAGGAAGACTAAAGAAGACTGGCTGGGTGCGCATGAGCTGGCGCGCCGCAGAACAAAAAAGCACAAGCACCACAAGCAGAGGCCCGCCCGGCTGGGATCATGGGGCGGAAGAATTGGGGGAGAGGCGCGCGAGAGAGAGGGAGAGGGAGAAGAAAGTGTAGTGAGAGGGGTGGACAAGGGGAGGGGGAGAATTGCATGCTCGCTGGGCAGCCTGCCGGGCGGAAGATTTGACGACACGGAGACAAGACGAGACGAGACGAGACGAGCAAAGATTGGAGTGAAAAGTGCTGGGCCCTTCAAGTCTGGGTCTGGGGCAAAGTGCCAAGTAGCGTAGACAAGAGCGCATAAGTAACTGGTACTGCTCGGTCAAGGGCCCTGGCTCGGCTACCCATATGGCCCGTCTTGGGTACTTTGCACCGGCTGTACATCCTACTTTACTTGATCAGCCACGGGGGGCAGACCAGTTTGGTAGTGCTTCTATGGGCCATTGATGAGAATGAAGACGACGGCGATTGCCAGACCAGCAGCAAGTAGGTCGAGTACAGACCTACGTACTGTACAAGCGTTCCACGCATACCCGTGGGACCATGGATATAGTAGTTTTAGTCTACTGGCGCGCAGCTCCTCCCTCCCTCGTTCCGTTCCAACCCTTGCAAGAGCGTCTGCTAGGGCTCCCAAAGGGAACTGTGCCGAGACCCAGGACGAAGTGGATGTGGGCAATGGAAAAGAGGCGGCCAGGCGCGTGCAAGGTGCATAGTCCATGGCAGAGATTATTTTATTCTCTCGTCGGGACGCGGCCCCTCCTTTGGGTCGGAGGAAGAAGGGAAAACGAATTAAAAAAGCCACTGTGGCAGAGAGAGGATACTCGGCACACTGCAATCTTTTTTGGCTGGGCTGTCTTGTGTTCTTTGCCCCTTCCTCTTCTGGCGTACCCAGTTGGGTATGTATCTATCTACAAGTGGTGTAGGCATGTGGTCGACAAGTGACGGGTATCTTTCTACTCGTAAGATGAAGCGCAAACCGTTACTATTCTGACTGTTTAGGGAGTTTTTGTAAAAATGCCAATACCATGTAGCAAAATGTTCCATGCGATGCTCCAGTTTCGCTGCGCTTGGGATTTCGAACTTGCTCGAATGGTACGGGGAGCCGAGTAAGGGCCGACGAACCCATGGCATACGCTTGCGCGGCGGTCGAGCTAAGGGACGAACAGCGCGGAAGGTAATGAGTAGGGCACCCGAAACCCCATGGCAATATTATGTCATGCATGCAATGCGTTGCGAATGCCATCCGATCAATCGATCCAGTCGTTTTGCGCCTATTTTCCTCGGACCTAGGTTGCGAGGAGCGAGGGAGTGCGACTCTTGGCGCCTCCAACATTGCCTCCAACATTTGGTTATAATCCTGTCGTATGAGGCTCTACACCATGGCTGAGTTGAATATCATGTCTGGTGCAGACGGTGCAAGAAACATGCTTGCTGACTTTGACTTTTTTTTTTTACCTTGGGTAGTCTGGAAGGTGCTGGCGACAATATCTTTCGCAATGTAACCATTCCTAGTCTTGACTGGAGGAGTGGACGGATACTTGTAAACATTGGACTCTAGCGAAACTGCGTCTCCACATTCCTCGTTGCAGCTTGCAAGTTTGATGAATCGATCAGTTGCCGTGACTGTGTATATAGATTTTCCTCAAAGAGGCCTCGATTTTTTTAGTGTACTCTTTTTTCCCTTAACAATAATAATAGTTGCATGTTTCAAGACAAATTTCGGGCTTACTTTTTGTACTCGGCCGGCAATTTATAATAAATTTCCCCTTGTATTGTTTATCCAGATGTTAAGGGTAGACCTTGCAGCCTGGGAGCGCCAGAGGAAAGGAGAAAAAAGGGCCAAAGAATAATGAGAGATGCTGCTTTCTGATAGCTTTAAATTTTCAAGATGAACATAATGCAAGCGAACGGCATTTTTTCAAATTTGTAGGAGATTATGATTACAGTAATTCATGAGGCATATACATAACTTGGAGTAGAGCTAGTGTGCACCTTGACACTTTTGCGAATTTCCACGTTTATACCAAGAAAACCGTTGGATTAATGAATGTTTTAGAGTTGAGCACCGTGCTTGACATTTTGGCTGCCATGTGGACATTAGAAGCTGTAACCCTAATCACGTACCTAGGTTACCTGCTTGACAGGTCGGTCATGACCAGCATTATCAAAGAAATGTTTATCTAGGTACCTTGATCTTTCAGCTTAATGGTTCCGGAACCACAAAAGGTATTTTGGGCAACGGCAGTCGCGCCGCATTACCATCAACGTTTCTTGTATACTCTTTACCGAGTCGAGTTCTCATTCTCGCCCGCAATCGGGTTTATTCGTGACACGCGGATAACTATACAGGAATGAAATCAACAGATGGGATGATATTGCTGAAGCAGTCAGCTGCCCATTGGGTTCCATTGTGTCACGAGTCTATTCCGATATTCCAAGCTTACCAGTGACAGCTTACTCCGCAACTTGTCAGCACTCGGGGATCCAATCACAACTGACACAGCTTCCTTTGGGCCTTGTTCAATCCATTTCATACCCACTCATTCGTTTATTGTGCATACTACTGCAACGAGTCGATTTCAGCAGTTCTGAGAGCAAGGACTACACAACGCCCGCGGCGGATCATTTACATCTGCGGGGCGCCGTAGGCAATATTCTGAAACACACCCTCGTCCATGTTTTCTGTAAACGTTCTGCTCAGTGCCTTAGTAAATAACAGAGACTGGACCATTATGCCGTCATAGGTGTCAACAAAAGGCATGGCGTTTTGGTATCTAATACCGGGAATGACCAATTTGTTCCGGGAGCGCGAGCGCACTGCCTAACAGTTGATTTGACTGCTTACCATTCCTTGCAAGGCCCTGGCTCTCGTCGTGTTTTTTTTTTTCCCTGCTCCCCTCATCCTGCTCTATCATGTGGAGAAACGTGCCGTTGGAACATGTAGACGCTTGAAATCCGCGGTAGCAATGGTGGATTTCTGTCAATGAGACTGTGTCGAAATGTTAGCGTAGGTTATCTGCTAAATATCAGTGATACGTTGCGTTGTTTGGTACATGTGTTGTGTTTCTGGCATCTTTATCCGCGATATGCTTTCCCGTAATGAGACCTAGCTTTTAGTGGCTCGGGGGAGCTGTGGCTTTGGATACATGACATTGAATGGTGAACCAGCACACCGCCAAGCAGGGCCCGCCTGGAGTACCCGGTACACAAAAGATGGCTCACAAGTCAGCACGGCACCAACGACCGTTGCTCTTTGGGAACGAGGTAGTCCCAAACCAATGGAGCCGGCGTGCTTAGCTGCGAGCAACGGCCAAGATGGAGGTCCCGCCGGACAGTTTGGCGTGAAAAATTAGCCAGTTGCTAATGTGGTTGAGCGTTGAAAATCAACTGTACTTGACACATCCGAGGTCTTTACTCGTGCCGAAAGTTTTGGTCGCTGTGCGCTCCTGCTTCTTTTTCCCCAGGAGGAGCGGCACTTTGCCCAGGCTGTCGATATATTATTATTGTCTTATATTTAAATGTCGTCTTGAAAGTAAACATGTAGTCAAGCACGTACATGTGTTGTTGGCGCCACAGATGCTTGGAATTACATGGTATACCATCTCAGCAGTGGCTCAGAAAGAATGCCCATTTCCCCAGCCACGCAACGAGCTCACGCCATGTAAGTCCACCACAAGCACGCCCATCACATGCAGTCATTTCACCAAACCGCGCACATGGTGTCATGTACGAGAGCCATGCCGGCGATTTGTTTCTGCGCCGTGTGATGAGGAACGCCCTAAAGATTTACTAACCTGGGTACTTTCTCAGCGGACAGCCTTTGCCTTTTTACAGAAAAAAGGAGACCAGCAGTCTAACACGAGCATCATTGCGAATAAGGAAAGAAGAAGAAAAAGCCGACTTGCTATCACATCCTTGTGTAATTACATGATTGTTATTGCCACAATCGGGCTGCAATGAGCCTCCAAACTGTGCTCAAAAGAAAAGAATCAATAAGATAAAAATAAGATACCATGTACACTAGAAAAGATATCCACTCTGATGCAGTGCCAGCTCAGATCCTTGCGTTTGCCAATGAGGATGCGGCAATAACGGCTGGGCTCGGACTTGCCAACTGGGATGAGCTGGAGTGGTTGAAGATTGCTTCGTGAACGCGATCTTTTTACATGACTTTTTTTTTTTTTCCCTAGCAGAAAAATGTTAATAAGCACGTCTCGCCGATGGCCGAGATTATTAGGCGATGGGTCTGTCTACCCGGGTACCCCTAGCTCCATGCCGCAATATATCTAGTTTGTCGAGGACATGGACTCCCTAGTCTTTCAGACGGAAATTCCATCTATTTGCGTCCAAAAGAGGCACCTCATTTGAAAAAGGAAAAGGGAAAAAACGACTTGATATTACCGACTACTCATTAATTGGCAAAACTTGCCAGGGGGTAAGCTTTTTGCGGGAAAAACATTTTATGGGAAAGTGCAATGAACAACATGAGAATATACTATCGCGATAAACCCACATGTTGGGAGATTCACGTCGCCATAACATGAAGCCTCCCCGGCATGCCCAAATTTTTCCTCGTACGTTTTGGTTAATTAAATGGCAGACGGCCGGCCGCCGACCGCTATTCAGTTGACTTGTGGCGACTGACGAACAAGCCTTGGGCGGTTATGGACCTTGTTGACGTCACAGCACCATCTCAAACTGACTATATTCAAAAGAGTCCGTGGCCCCCGCTAATCGAACGCGTCTGGAGCAACTCATCCAGTTTAGTGGACTCGGAACGGGGCCCTCTAGAACAATGTCTAGTTTCCTTCCCAAAACTGTCTTTGGAGATTTACACGTAGATCCACCACAAAACCTACTCCTATTGATAGAACATGGTATCTAGTACGTTTTGTAAGTGTAGGCAAGTCATCTTTTAAATACCACACAAGGACGTAATTATGAGGAGAGAAGAAAAAGTCGTGCTGCATTGAAAGAGGTGAGCATACTTTGGACCACCATGAGCATCATTCATCCGCATTTGCAAAAGCTACAGTTCTCATGGGGGCCGGGAGACGCAGTGTTTATAAGACCCAACTTTTGATTTTCAATTGCCAATCCATGTCCCCTGAATCGAGGCATGCTCCTGTCCTTGTCGCGCTCAATACTTGCCAGTCAATCTCTATTCATCCACTCGATGGAAAAATATGTGGTAAAAATTCAAGACTATCAGTCATTTCCGAGGTAATGAGTATACGTGCTTGTGCTGGAGGGAAAAGACTTGTAGAATTCGGCCGGATCGGCGACTGTCGCTTTGTGGCGCCTGAAAAGCTCTCATCACAAGGCGCGGCTATAGAACCAAGTTCAGTTGAGATCCATGCCTTGTCTATAAACGCACTGCTATAATTATGCTTATACAAGTAATTCAATAGTCGTTTTCACAAAAGAATTGCCAGCAGTAACCCATGTCATTTAGAGCACGAGATCTTTCACATGGACGACGCTTAGCAGTGTAGCTTATACGCGATACCCGTAGCCAGGCCGGCACACAAGACAGTGGATGGGGTAAGACTTGGATAGCATTAAGATTGAGATCTAGCACCTAGGCCAGTTCTCCTTGGCAGGTCGGTACGTAGCAGTATCGAAACCTACAGTTGCAGTGGGACATTCGGACCCTGGGATCTGGGATCTCGGGAACATCTGCACCACGGCAGCGGGTTGCCAATAGTCTGTATTCGCTCCATCTCCCAATCGAGCCAAAGTTGCAAAAAAGATACGCGCCCGAGGAGCAGGCGTCCTCTTTCTCCAAGCATCGCGACATGACCCTTTTTGGCTGACTGCCGAGCATGCACCAACCGATGGGCCGGTAATCTTGACGATCCTGTAAGGGAACTGAATGGATTTTCTGCCCTACGTGTTATGCATATTACTCAAATAAGCGAGGCCCGGTAAGGCTCCTTGTCTGCAAATAAAAGATATGATTTCAAATAGTTCTTTCAAGCAAATGTTCAATTCTTGAACGCGGCTTTTTTTATTAGCTGTTGACGAACTGTACCCAATCCTCTACATTTGCAATCCAACACTCTGACATTGTTGACAGGCACTGCTCTGCCATGCACTTGTAGCAAGCATCATGGCAAATGAGCAAGGAAACATGACCATTCTGGGAGCTGTCAAAGCACTCTCTGGCCGTCTGACGTTTCAGTGTGACTTTACACCTTTCCTGTTCCTGAATCGCAATATCGCCAAGTACCCTGAACAGACACCTGCACCCTAATCTTCATGACATCAATGCAATGCGAAGCGGTCACAGTGTTGCATTGTGTATGACCCGATCAATTGGCTTCCGTTCCTGAAGAGCGAATTGGTAGATGACGCCCCTGTTCGTTTACCATTTTGTCCTTTTTCCCCCCAGTACTTTCAACGGCATCTAGCCCAATGCGGAATCATTACCCCGAGAGCTTCAATGTTGCACTCGCCCGCCCACCGGATATGAGGTGATGCTGGAAAGTCTGGCGCTCATCAACCCTGACTTGTGGCACATTTCACTGCCACCGTACCAGTTCTAGGCTATGCCTGTCTCTTGATATTTTACGCCGTTTTATGAAGCAATAAGCGAGGTGGGATCCAACTACTAATCAAATAAGAAAGCGATGCCCCAAAAGGCCCACGAAGGGATCACGTTCCGGCATGGTACCATTCCCCGCTGGGTTGGGTTACTCTGAAGCCTCAAGTGGCCCCATAATAGCATTAAACATTTAGTTTCTGTAAAAATTGTCAAGGCAGCGATATCAAAACAGCTGCCCACAATGTGTGCATGAGCCTACAAGTTATGTAATCCGACTACGTACACGTCTACATTTCTTTGATTGCCCTGTTCATTTTGCCATCATGATTCGAGTTGCTGTCCTGTCCGACGTACCATGAAAGCCATTCTTTTTACAACCACAGATTTTGACTGGATATAATCATCAAATCTTGAATTTCATGTATCATCATTCGGATGGTAAATGTCCAATACTGATCAACTGCGAGTTACATGAAATCTTTCCACTTGATCCAACATTCTTTCTAAACACACGCTCATGTGCTATTAGATTCCGTACAAGCAGCAAACCCCTGATTTGCCCGAGTTCAACACGAGCTCTTGGGCGCACATCTTGCTACATTTCGAGACAAGCAGTTGCAAATCTTGAGCCAACATGAGAATTTGCCACGCGGACAACAACTACGATGGCACCCAGCTGTTGCTCTCATTATTGGGCGCAGAACAATATGGTTGTGATCAAGGTGCATTTACAAGGCTCGTAATGGCCTCTGTTTAGATCCTAGAGCGTCACATTTCAGCCGTGGCGATGGTTCATGATCATCAAAGATACCAGAAATAGCATCAGCGTGCCGATCTGCACCTTGATCATCCCCGTATTCCGTAGACTATTCACGTTGAAAGCTGGGCAAACGGTACACTGACCAGGGTGTCGAGGGTCCGACACAGTATATGGGATAAGTCTTGGTTCTCACAACGCAAAGACTTGAAAAGATTCCGTGAATATTCCAAGCAGATCGTGGAGTAGGGTTGTACTGGACCCTTTGAAAAACCCTGAGGACACCCAAACTTTTTTCACCGTTCGTCATTCTGCATGACCCGGTAGTCGGAGAATTTGTCCCTGTTCCTTGAACGGAGATCAGCCGAACGGGCAGTGATCAGCGCCGAACCGACTCAACGGCGTGGCTGTGCTAGAGGTATGATGCAATTCATGCCCGCGAGCCGTGCATTGAATACGGAGCTTGACACAATTCAATTAATACTATGCAACCGGATTGTATGCGGAACTCGCCGGCAGAAGGTGTGGCCGTGTCCGTAGTATCGGCGAATGACCGGGCCGGGATTATGGACGGGATTTGCACCGACCAAGATTTGCCAGTCCTGAGAAAATACCACTATGCAGTAATCGGATGCCCTATTCGACTGTGGTCAAGCACGAGATGATCAAACTGGACGTCTTGACTAGAGGTAGATGTAATACTAGATTGCAAGTGACCTGGTGGAAAAGTATGAAACAAACTCGACGCCAACATTCACAACGCCATTTCCAGCTCAGTGACCCAAGCGTTTAGAACCTCCTGGAGCTCGTACATGTCCTTTGTCCCTTGAATCTTTAACCGGCCGTCCATGATGCCATCCATGATGAGCAGGCCAAACTTTGGGTATTGCTTAACGGCATCTATAAAGGAACGCCCGTTTAAAAGAGAACAGGTGAAGCCACTGAGACGTGGATGATTCCACCGATTCCTCCAAAGGTCATTGTTGCCTGCATCGACCTCTTGTTCCCAAAGCACGAATATTTCCGGGGTGTAATCCAACACATGAACAAAACTTTCTTGAGCAAACCCACGTCGGAGCACGTTGTGTGGGATTGAGGACTCGTTGAGGTTTCCTAAAAAGACATTGCCGTCGGCTTGGAGCTGTGCTATTCCTCGTCGGTGATTGTAGTGCTCGACAAGGTAGTGGCGAAGGCTGATATTGGCATCTTGTGGCGATGCGGCCCCATCCATAATCCTAGGAATCGCCTGGGAAATTTGCGCAACAGACATGTCGAGGAAGCGTTTATCAATGTAGAAACACGTGGGTTTAATAGACGCATTTCCACCCTCGCGGTCATCACGGCTCTGGACTCTAGATCGCTTTTGGGTCCGCTGGGGTTGCGTCGAGTTGAACCGTTTACCCTTGGTCTTGACAACTGCTTTGCCTCTCCGTGGTTCCTTGGCCTTGTCGTCATCTTCTGTCAAAGATTCATCTTCTTGTTCCTGGGCCTTGGCCTCTTGTTCCTTTTTCGTCAATAACACATTTCTCGCCTCCGTCACCTTTTCATGAATGGATTCGTCGAGATCCTTGAGCCACGGACGATCCTCGTCACTTTCCATTTGAGCATCCCATTCGTCAGTCACTGACCCATCTTCAGTGGTAGGGGCGTCGGCATCCTTCCACCGGAGCCACAAGTCAATCTTTCGACCAGATGCACTCAGGCCGGCGGATTGGAGAAGTTTTCGGAGGTCGGCCACTTTGGTGTGGTCGAATTCCTCGAGGTCATGTGCAGGAATTGTGTCGCGGTCAGCGGCGCGTTTCTGGGAGGATCTGGCAAAGTTGCCATTACCAGGAACCTTTTTGGTAGCGGGTTTGCTTTGCCGTGTCTTGACACTCTTTGCGTTGAGCCCAGGTTCAGCCTCTCGACCCTTGATTCGATTCCAGAGTTGCACTTTGGTCATGGATCCGACCTTGTAACCTCGTTTCTTGAGCTCCTCCTTTAATTCTGAGATTTTGATTCTGTCAAACTCGACCAGTTCGTCCTTGGGTAGTTGATTACGACCCTTGACACGGTTTCTGGTAGCCTTGGAAAAATTTCCATTGCCTGGCACCTTGTTGCTCTGTGGCTTGGCATTTTCAGTATCCTGCTTTCTTGAATCTATAGTCTTGTTCTTTTCCTCGTATACTCCATCGCTACTGCCATTTGGCGAATGAGGAATAATCATAGTGTCTATAGCACTGCAACAGTATAATAAAATTGACTCGACGAGTTGACAGGCAACATGTACTGCTCAAATTTTGCTCAGTATCATGGAACTTTCAAAGGTGAGTATGGTGGAGTGAATCCTATTACATTTGGAGATTGGTATATGTACAATTCCTGACTATAGCTTGACAACAAAGCAGACCGCGACGGGAAAAGGCAGACTGTTTTCGGCATGACTGATTCTTTGTTCCTTGTCACCGACTTTTGCATGCGTACAAGACGGTCGCATTGGAATATTGATTTTGATGAGCATTATTCCGTCAATACACTGACTTTTAGATTCTGCGAGTCAAGCATGTCACTACACTGGTGCATTTGGTCGAATAGATTCTTGGTTGGTCTACTATCCAGAAAGTTGAATCATGACTTGTTCACAGAAGCAATCCAGTTGATATAGATCGAGTCGACAGCTTTGTATGCGCAAACCAATATCATGTCTAATCGCAACCTCTCCTAAATGAATGCACTATTGACCACCCACAAGTTCCATTGCTATGCCCACAAACCCATGTACTATGCAAATGTGCAGTCTTGTAGCCTTGCCGATTGTTCCCTCGAGTAACAAATGTTTTGGACGCTCTTCAAGTCCATGTCCTGTGCCGGCCAGATTACACAATTCCTTCCAGGCTCCAATCATTGTTCTGTATCCTGTCAAGAACCTGCCTGCCCTTTTCGCTGAGATCCGGCTTGCCACCCTTGTCTGTAACCTGCGAGAAAAACACTGGCTGCCAGGTTTCATTGTTGCGCTCGCGTGCCCTCGCCTTTTCTCTCTGCTTCTCTTCAAGCTCTTGTTTGACTGTGGTGGCTTTTGAAAACTGCTTGGCAGATATGGCTTGGGTGACGCCATCCCAAAGGGCTAGTGACTCATTCTCGACCTGCTTCTCCTTGGGTGGAAGGATTTTGGGTGCGACATTTAGGGGGTTGAGATCAATAATCACAGTCTGATCCTCGGGAGGATGGGAGTCCTAGAATCGTTAGACAAGACTTGGAATCAATTAAGAGACTTACCACTGGCTTTGGCCCAACGGTAAAGACAATCTTGTCTTTCCAGGATCCACCAAGCCGAATCAGAATGTCCTTGTCGGGCACGTCCTTGATGCGAATCTTGTCATCATTGTCAGGATCGTACCTAAAGATGATGCCTTCAATTCTGTTTTGGGCACGGCCAAGCCATCCATCCTCGAGGTACTGCAAGATACACTTCAACTTGGTCTTGGGGCAAGAGACAAAGGCAGACTCTCCAACGCTGACGCTCAGGGCACCGCGAAGTATGCCGCCCAAGTGGGCAGCCGGATGTTGAAGCTGGTATGTCTCGCCATCGCGCTTGTCAAGAGTGATGAAGATGCCAAAGTTGTGCTCGCCAGGGGACACCTTGATTGTGGTGCCGGTGAATTTTGCCGAGATTTGATCGAAACCACGTGCGTGCAAGCCTTGCTCGGGACAACTAATGTAAAAGGCGCTTACTGGGGGGTGATGCGACGTTTGCTCAGTGAGGTATGAGATGCGCCATGTCGGTCCAGATGGGTTCTCGGATGGTTGCGGAATGGAAACGGATGAGGAAGATCGTGGGTCGGCTTTGGTAGATTTGGCAGACTTGGTAGACGATGCACTACTCGCGTTGCCGCTGGTCTTGGTATTGATGGGCGGTACGTTCTTGTCGGCTTCCCAGTTGCATCGAAAAAACTCCCCGAGGCACGAGTTGTATGGTTTACAAGGCTTGCCCTTGACGTATTTGAGGTCCTTTGTAAACCAGAAACGTAGCACCTCTAGCATGCGATCTACCGAGTCATCTGCCGTGCCAATGGCAGCAAAGGCATTGGGGCAATCGAGGTAATTCCAGTATTCGAGGTTTGGTCTGGGTTCGAGAAGCTGCGATGGCAGGGAGAAGCGGACGGCAGCAAGATCAGGAACGCCTATGAATCTGGTGAAGCAATGGTTAGCATGAATAGTGCCATGGACATGTATTGTACTGATTCTCGTGCTGGCAAAGGATCACGAGTGAAGCCACCATTGCGGATGATTCCGTCATTGGATGATGGTCACCCCGCCTTGCCCTGCAAAGAAACGCATGGCGGTGAAGGCATCGCGATCCCAGAAAGGGGGCACCGAGTGAAGGGGAGATGAAGGATTGGAAAAGCTCGGGACATGTTGTAAGGGCTCTTACTTTCGCAGAATAGAAATAAAGGTTCTGAGTTTTCCACTATCATTCTGAGGAATATCCTCATTGATGGTCTCAGGCGCGGCAGAGGACGCCATAGTGCTTGCTTGGGAGCTACTGGCGCTGCTGTCCCGCGGGATAACCTAGACACGCAGACGAGGTACTGGCGTCTTCAGTGGATGTGTGTGTCGGCCGTCGACAAGAAAGAAGTGTGTCGTCGGGCAGATGCCACTTCTTCTTCTTCTTCTTCTGTTTCCTTATCGCCTGGCGAAGCTCAAAGTGACGGGGCTCAAAGCTGAGGGTATGGCGACGACAACAATAGAGGGACGCGGATTCTGGTCAAGGACTCGCCAAAGCAGATTTGTCGGAGCACCCAAGAGTGGTGACTTTTTTTCTGCCACCCCGAATGCTAAAAGACAGTGATGAGGCTGCTTTAGGCCAGGTCCGGTTCAGCTAGGTAAGTAGGTTAGGTAGAGGTAGGCATGTGGACTCTTCTTCTGGACCTTTGATGCTCAAAGGAATCTGGTGACGTTTTAGCGCCTGGGTTTGCCGATAAGCCGCGCCACGCTCTCCTTCTCCTTCTCTCTCACGCACACTCTCTCGCGCGCAAATCAGCGCTGCACTTTTTAGGGGACCACCAGTCTGCCACCCCCTGGAGCGAGGGGTTGCCATTTGTGGCCAGGCGATAAGGAATTGACTGACTGCTTGCCATGGGTGATCATGCATCCAAAGGGCCCTGGCGGACCGGATGGCTCGTGCTAGGATGCGGTTGTATGCCTGACTCGGGAGAGATGCATTCAAAACAACAGCTGATACAGTGCTCACAATCTTCTGGAGAGCAGATATGCTGGCATGATTATTGGAATTCCTGGTACAACGACAAAAGTAACTGAGATCCCGGAATGATGTATACAAGTTACACACTATGACTATTTCACATCTGACCAACCTACAAAATACATGCAAACACTTTTATGGACAGTATACCCATCAAGAAGAGATAATTCTTTTCACTTTTATTGCTCTGGCATCGCCTTTAGCCATGGAAGATCCAAGCATGTAAATGGTTTGGTACCTCTTTGTTCATGATCGCCATGGCTGGGCATTATCCCCCACCTTGTCTGATTTTGAGAATCTCACTAAACCATCATTGCCTTATCGAAACCATTACCCCTCCACACCGTCGGACCTCTGCTTCAACACAACACCAAGGAGCCAATCAGTGCGCAACGTGCTTCAAACAACTTGTCCTCGGTGCATGACACGCCATATAACACAATTTGGTCCCGCGCCCGAATACCCCCGGGAATTTGGTCGTCAAGTGACGATCATCAGGATTGAATGCATGGTCAATATGTGTCGTCGTCGTAGCTGTTGTGCACACTCTCGATTTGTTGTCTTGTGCTGACTGGATTTGATGAGGAGTTACAGTGACGTCATGGCTACTTTTCATATATCAAGCACTCGAATATATCGCGGAGCATCATTCGCCACCATCCGTGACGTGAGCCGAGTAGGAAACAAAATCTCGGAATATATTTCACACAACACAGGCTCAGCCAAAAGCATTTCACCGAGCACATCTCTTTAAAAGGTCTCATTGTCAGGCTTCGAGGCGCAAAACCCCACGAGAATACATGTTCCACGTGGTCCGATTAGTTTTCTGGCCGCAATGAATATATCCTGTGCAGTATCATGCGAATGACACTACCCCACAAGCTTTATAAGCTCATCGTGGACCAAGGAGATGCAGTCGAGGCTCCTGCTCTGCTGCTGTAGTAGTTGAACCCGTCGTGAAAATGCTTCCCCTTGAAGAACAGTCTCAATCCCTTGTCGGACCTGTTCTGTGGATGGTTCGGCAGTACCTAGATCCACCCCGATTCCTGACCAAGTGACTCTCCTCGCGTTCTCCGTCTTATCCATTCCCTCTCCTGCCACGACCATTGGGACTCCGTGAGCAATGCCATGATTTACGGCCCCGAAACCTGCGTTGTGTACCCAAACATTGGCGTGCTCCAGAGCTGCGTCGTATGAGAGATAATCTGCGATTCGGGCATTTCCTGGGACCTCGACAAAGTCAGACAGCTTCGCATCCTTCCAGCCCAAGACGGCCACCACGAGGATATCATTCCTATCTGCGAAAGCTTGGATGGTTGGTATGATGAGCTGCCTGGGATTGACTTCCACGGTGCCCTGGGCCACGAGTACTACATACTTCCTCCGAGGGTCTCTGCGGTCCAAGGATGAATTGTGCTTCAGTTCATTCCACCATGGGAAAGGAGGATCTGGTTTGACAGCTTCATCGCTTGCGCCCTGCACGAGACCTACAAACTTGAATCTCGGTGGCCAGTCACATCGAGCATACTCGAAGCCAGGCACACCGCATTGAAGTATGACCTCGTGGCATGTATAGTTGTCGCCGGCGAGTAAAGGCTTACCCACTGTTCGCGTTGTGCCAGCTTCGAGCAATTTCTGGTCTAGCAGATCCGTGAGTGGTTTGGTACTCTTTGCTCGTCTTTCCCATATTCTTCGGTTCCTCTCTCGACCTGCTTCCGTTTGGTCAAATGGCAGAGGATGAACAAACGGTGGAAGATCGACACTTTGTATGGCCGGGACTGTTATTGATACGCAGATTGATCGCGGAATGTTGATACCGGGTGGCAGAGTAGCGCCATACTTGAGGGGCATGACGCCGAGAAAAAAGGCTTCGGCAATGATGATGACTTGCCCTTGTGGGCTGCGTTTGTTCAGGCTGACGAGGGCGGATTTGAGGTTCTCCCATTGCTCCACCAACGGTTCTAGACATTGTAAGCGAAGGTCGATCTTGCCACGCTCTACCCAGTGCAGCGCATGATAACCTGGTATTGGATGGTTCTCATAATATGCCTTGTCGTCCAGGTCTGCCAGACCAGTAAGGGGCATGAAGTCGGCGCCCGTCTCCTCGATGCGCCTGCGATGTGAGCTAGGTCCAAGAAACGACACTTGCCAGCCCCTTTTGACCAGGCCATCCGTTATGCGAACCAGCGGAATCAAATGTCCTGATAGACCATGGCAGACAACGAGCAACCGAGGAAGATTGTTTGTTAATACCTCGCCCATCTCGAAACTAAAACTATTCTGCTTTTTGCGATTGTGGGCAGGACAGCGAGCGACCTGTAGTTGAGGGGGACATGTGACGCGCACAGTGCTTAAAAACACAATTGCGCACTGACTGATCACCTTTGACTCAATACCAAGTCAGTGAGGTCAATAGCTTGGAGGAAAAGATGATGTTATTCCAGACATTTGTCTGAGTGTGTGATGGTTGGGAAAGAAGCGGGATGGCTCCAGCTGTCAAGAAAAAAAAGAAAAAATCCTTTTTAACCCCTGCTCCAACGCGCCGGGAAACAGTTGAAATCTGGGATATGTCATGAGCTTTTTTTCTATTTCCCAACTCATTCAGAATCACAAGTCCTTGTGACTGCATCTTTCATGGATGATGAAGCAGCTCTTTCATTTCAATGATGATTCTTTAATGAAACGCGAATGGAGGATCTACCTTGTGCAACAACTTATTAACCAACATACCATGTATCTGTAGTACTGGGAAATGTGACTTTTCCATCAATCACCTGTCAAGTCAATCTCTTCCACCCTCGCGATACAATGTGCCCCTGTCTGGCTCTGGGGCATGGGAGTTGATTTCGAAAATTGACCTTTTGCTTGTAAGCTTGGGTGTGGTAATCTTTATCAAGAGCCGTCGAGCGCGATGCTGCAACATTGCTGACCGTACAAGGGCGCGTAGCTTGCGTAATTTGACACTTGCTGCTTGGTCGGCGGCCTCTTGAGCTCTTTTAAGCAGAATAAAATGTCCAGCCGACTTGCGCTTGCTATGCTCTTCTTTGATTGTTTCCAATCCTAGTACTTGCTGGGCAGTCATTTGCACTAGCCATCTTGGAAACCATTCTCGACTTTCCGCTTGGATCGAATGTCTCGAGTTTTGCCTAGTAATTCCTCATGGGCCCATCTTTTGGATTGACGTCAATGACTTGTCAAGGACGAAAAGACAGCCTTAGTTGGTCGCCCATCTTTGCATCAGTCTTTGCTTGAACGATGGCTTCAAAAAGATTGGAACCATCATTGCCCTTTTGATGAGACAGCCACAACTCCTTGACAAGGGCCGTATCGGCCAGGGTTCTGACAAACTTTCCGCAAAGGTGAGCGAAGCGCCAGTCGAAATTTGATTCGGTGAAAGCCCGGAGCTTGGACACATTAATGGCCTTTTCCCATTCGACATTCTCGGCCCAGGACTGAAGAAGATCTTTTGAGGTGACGGCAGGCCGAAGGTAATAATTGGCAATCTTGGGGTCTGGAAAAACGTCTGGCACAGACCTCGCAACCGCATGGTGTCCTTTGGCCTCCAGACTCTGTTTGAGATCATGGACCCATCTCCATCTCCATTTTGATGGATCTTCTCCCCTGCCAATTTTGTTGAAGAGTATATAACAACTGTTCCCAGAGCGCGCAGCTTGAAGTGCTACCTTGGCGCCACATCCTCGTATTCCCTTGTCGTAATCACCGCCAGACATGAGGGCCAGTTGGAGCAGATGCTTCCGAGTGATGATGTCGTCAGGGCCGCGAGGTTTGCCGTCTTTCTTCTCAAGGTCATCCATGCGAAACGCCCGGATCATGGCAGTACCGTTGTCTGCGACGAGTTTTTCGAGAACGAACCTAGAGCCAAAAACCAAGGAATCACCATCTCGAGTGAGGACTGCGTCGACTATGTTGGCCTGCTCTAATGCTGCACATTCGGCTTCAGCTTCTCCGGCGGCTATGAGCCAAGGTATGCTCAGATAATCAAACATTTCCTTGGCGAGGCTGCTTATGTGGTTCAAATCATATTCTCTTTCCTCTATGCGGCCGCTTAACCTTGCTGGCGATTGAGAAGGTACATGTTGTGGCTGCATCAAGCGTCCTAATTTCCGTGGTTTGTTTGGACCATCAAAAATGAAGACAGGTTGGACACCGGTGCGAAGAATATGTAACGTGGCAAAGTATAGCGTTCGCGTAGGATGATTCTTGCCACCTATTTATATTACTTGTTAGGTTGATCGGAGGGACAATGCGAAATGGCTTTTCTGATCATGCACATACCGTAACCCGATACCTGAGCAGTCGCCGACTTGTATTGGAATATGGCCAGTGGTGTATCGACAGCAATACGCATCGGCCTGCCTTTTTGGCTCACCCATTCGGCATTGAGACGCGCGAGTGGAAGCGTTTCACCACCGGTGACATCTCTGACTGCATCCCAAAGGCTGTGTTTATTAAGTAACGCGTGGCTGAGGCTGTGTATAGTTTATGAAATGGAACGTACCCTTCTATTCCCATGATCGGGTTGATATAATATGGTCGTCACTTGCTGAGAGCACTATTTGCATTGATGGGCAATAGACGCGACGCGTCGGGAATGAAAGTCATGGTCATCCATTTCAGCAACAAGGACCACATCTTGCCAGCTGGCATGGGCATCGCAGGTGAATGCAAACCTTATTAAGGTTGTGACGCAGATATGATTCGTGCATATACAAGTCACAACGCATGCCGGTTTGATTGGCACATATAAGAATGATAAGCACAGTCTTGCAATTCATGCACGTGCCGCCGAGTGATACTGGCTCTATAGTGTGTACACATGGTTGAAACACATAATATGATAATATAATCAGCCTCGGTTCCCGTAGATAGAAGTCTCATAAGCAGCAAGTTAGCTTCGAGCTAACTCGTGCATACTATCCTTGATTCTAATGTGCTTCAGTGCCCCATTGGCTTTTTGATTGGTCTCTAGACTTCTTGCGCCATCTTCGGCGATAAGCTGGGGTGGGCATTTTTCGTCAATAGACAAATATCTGCTAATGCCTTTTCACTGCTGCGTCTCGCACGGAAATTGGATTTCTCATCTTAGTATGTTTGATTTGAAAGCAGAAGGCTTTTCTCCAGCAAGGGAAACAAATTATAGCCTTGCTATAGCCGCCGGTATTATATACACCAGTCTTGATGATATGCAATATATAAACTCGAGATCCCTCAGGACCTCAACAGCCGCAGAAATCGCACAAAACTCAACCGGCGATTGGTCATTGTTTATGAGATAAATTTATTACATCCATTACAAGTATTCGCTCTTTAATATCCCCAAGATGTCTGGTAGCAAAGGAGAAGTTCTAGTGACGGGCGCTAATGGCTATATTGGTGCTCGCACAGTCGGAGCTTTCCTTGACGCTGGCTATTCAGTGCGTGGTACTGTACGGTCTTCATCTGCTGCCGAAAGCCTGCTTGAAGCTCTTCCTGACGCGGTTTCCAATGGTCGCCTCAAGATTGACCAAGTCCCCGATATAACAGCGCCAGGTGCCTTTGACAAAGCTGTCAGAGGAGTGACGGCGATTGTGCACCTTGCAACACCTGTCTCCTTCTTCTTTACAAACTCGGAATATATTGTTGGCACTGCTGTCAATGGCGTCAAGGCTATACTCGAATCAGCCACCAAAGAGCCTCGAATTAAACATTTTTTGTTAATGTCATCAATCGCCGCCATCATAAGCGAGAAGCAACAAGGCCATGTATTCACAGAAACTGATTGGAATGATGCTGCTGCCCGTATCGTGGCCGAGCAAGGTGATCAAGCCCCCAGCAGACAAATCTATGGTGCGAGCAAGGTGCTTGCTGAGAGGGAATTTTGGAAGTTTATGCAAGAGAGGCAACCCAAGTTCACCATGAATGCTATCAACCCAGTGTAAGTGCAAGGACTTGCCCAAAGGTGCAAGGTAGACTACTAATTACGAATCGTGCAGACTGGTGGGAGGACCTCCCCTGGTTCTTCCTTCGACACCAGATAAACTCAACGAGTCCGTCAGTTTTATTTGGCAAGTTCTGTCTGGCCAAGGTATTCCCGAAAACCTTGTTGGATTCGGTGCCTACGTGGATGTGCGTGATGTAGCACGACTCGCGGTGTTCAGTGTCGAACACGGAAATCAAGTGAATGCGCAACGCTACATGGCGGCGAGCGGCTGGGCGTCACCTCAGGCTGCGGCCGATGTATTACGTCAGAAATATCCAGGCTGGAAAGATTCCATTCAAAAAGGAGCACCACAGAGCAACTACCTGCCAGGCTACAAATACCCACCCCAGGCGCCCCAGATTGATGCATCCAAGGCTGTCAGGGCTACGGGTCAAGGTTGGATTCGCTTTGATGACATGGTTGTTGATACCGCCGAAGTTTTCAAAGCTTACCTGGAATAATGCTCCTTTTGCTATCCTTTCACATGTAGTAGTATGCGAGTGATTGAGATTGAGGAGTTTTGGTAATAATACTTGTTGAACCAAACATTCCCGATGAATGCATCATGGTCTACTTTGTAGGCCAAGCACAAGTCTGTTTTTAACCTGTCAAAGTGAGCCCATCCCCGTGATTGGTGAATGGGATCGAGACGCGGAGATGGTAAGTCTTGCCTGGCACGATGCTTGAGAAACGATTCTCACGTAAAACCTGCCCCTCATGCTCGACTGTCACGGCCTTGATATCCTTGATTCTACGTATATCAACAATAAATGTTGCTTCACGGAATCGCCGCGTGATATTCATGCCGTTCCACCATGCAGGCAACTGGGGATTGATGCACAGTCCTTGTGAATCGCCTCGCAGCCCACACAGCCCCTCTACCAGAGAGCGGTAAACCCATGAAACCGTGCCCGTATTGAACAATTGACTTGATCTTCCAGCTGTACGAGGGTACTTTTCATGGGCACCTCTGTAATAGTTTGGAATGAAAATGGGCAGTTGTCCGCGCTGAATATAATCATCCTCGCTTGGACCTGGTATCATTTGGCGCAAAGCACGAAAGGCCCGGTCGCTCTCTGTGACGGAATAGAGACTGTGGATGTAGAATGCGCTGGCATGATTGTAGATGGACCCATTCTCTCCCTGGCCGGGATACTTTTGTGTTACACGACCAATATCTTCTCGCATTCGGGTAAAGGGTGGTGCAAACATTAGCACTCCGTGAGGAGTACTCAAGTGCTTGTCAATTTGGGCAAGCATCTTGGTAATCTTGTCCGGGCCTGCTGCACCGCCAAGAATAGCCCAAGCTTGAGGATTGAGCCAAATGCGACCTTCAGGGTCACTGTCAACACCAAAGATGACGTTGTCATCGGTGATGCCCCGCGCAAACCATTGGCCATCCCAGAGATGAGTGGCGGCGGCTTCATTGACCTTTTGAGCACCATGCCGGTAGTGGGCAGCCAGCGCTGCATCTCCACGTTGGTCGCAAATATCTGCCCATAACTTGACGGCGTAAGCAGTGGCTACTGTAAGCCAACCAGACACTCCCTTTCCTTTCCACCCTGCCATATTCATAGGATCACACCAATCTCCTTGGGCGATATAGGAGAGTCCTCGATCATCTCGTGAGTGATCTGACAGTAGCCAGTCCATGGTGCGGCTCAGACGCTCGTAAACGGACAAGTTGTCCCCATTTTGAGTTACGACATGGGTCTGGAGCAGGTTGTAATCTGCAGTCTCTGCTAGATATGCATCAAGTACAATCGGAAACCATACACAATGGTCCGTGTGTGGAATCTGGTTGATATATTTGAGCTCCGCGCCTTGAACGAGTATGATGCCATCTGGAATGGATCCGTTTGGCTCCTGTTGGGAGAGGGCCGTGAGTATGGCATTCCTTGTGACATTTGGCTTGATAAAGACCATGCCCATGTTGTCTTGCATGTAATTCCGGGTTTGCGGATCAGTAGTTAGACGATTCACGTCGCCATGGTAGTAGACTTGACGGGCCATCCAATTGTTGACGAAATTGTCCAATTCCTTGTCAGGGGTCTCGATTCGCAGACAGCCACTTCCTTCTTCAATATAGGCTGCATAGTCTGTCGAGGCTTGAGCAAATGCTTCTTGACTTAGGTATGTCCGTCTGATGGACGTGATCTCGGCGTCGTCAAAAGCTGGGCCAAACAAGAATCGGAGTTGCCGCTGATCGTTAGGCTCAAGGTTCAGCCGATACTGCACGACAGCTACTGGGGCTTCGTATCGAGCGTCGCCTTTCTGGAGTAGAGGTGACCGCAACGCTGTTGGATCATGTAAGCCCCCTTCCCCCTCAAAGGCCTGCTGATTGGTCTCCCAAGAGTCTGGCATAGTTTCGCAGAGAAGAAACGTCTTGTCTTTTAGATTCTTGATCTTGGCGTAGTCCTCGGGCTTTTGGTATGGTGTGATGCTCGTGGCAACCACGCCGCCCAAGTCTCTGCGAAATTCGGCTTCTTGATTCATCCAGGACATGTATCCAATGGTAAAGTAAGGATAAATGCTGATTTGTCGAGGGTGATTAGAAAGGTTTCGAACTTGTATTGTCCAGAGTTCTACCACATCATTGGTTGGAATGCCAAAAGTCATTTTGACTTCCAATTCCAAATGTTGTATCGTCCACTTGATATCGCTTTTGCCGACGGAAAAGGAAAACTTGTCACAAGGTTTCCGTACAGGCTCGTAAGGCGCTGAGAATATATTTCCGGAAAGCTCATCCTTGACATATACAAAGCGCCCGGGATGATGACTATAGTAGTTTTGCTCGGGTTGCATAAAGGTCTTTGCTTCGAGGTTTGGTGCATGCGAGTACTTGGCCGGCTCTGGCTGCATGAATTGTGCGACCGAGTACCCCCGACAGGTGGTCTGAACCATCATCTTTTTATTCCAAAGGAAGCCCCCGGCATTGGGCATTGCTGTGGGGTTGTTGAGCTCGAAACGTTCACCGTCATGTGTTGGGCCAAGCATTTTGCTTATCTCTGGATTGGACATTTTGTAAATGAGATCAAGTCGAATGGAAAATGATCAAGGAAACAAGTCCGAGTCAAGCTGGTTATATTTCATTCCGGCGGGTACGGCGCACTCCAACCGGCAAAGGAGGCTTCAAACCGACCTGCGAATTTAGCCTAATATCAAGACGCCGTGTTTGGGGGTCATATCTGCCGCTCGTGAAGATTGCTGCATCTTGGATGGCGGCAAAGGCCTATAAAGACGGTCATGTCGACTTGTCGAAACTCGCTTTATTGGCAATGCTTCCTTGAAATCTCCTGAATTGTGACAAAAAAGAGGTGAGCGTATTCCTGCAAATATTACTATTTTGGGGACTGTCTCTTATGAATTGAATCTGGCTGGCAGCAGAGGGTCGAAGCGGGGATTGTGATGGCTACCTAGGCAGGTAATTATCAACATCCCATGTGCCAGATCTACTTTTTAAGCCCGTGAGCTGCAGCATTAGCATATGCTGGCGCTTATTTCAGGCATCTTGCATGGAGCGCACCTTATAAGTTGTCTCGTCAATTGTCGAATGCGCGGCAAGGAGCAAAAATATGACATGGATAATCGAAATTATAACCAGCGACTCGCTCTGCCCCAAAACCCTACGTACACGAAAAAATCCCAAGCATGATGACCACGGCCAAGGGTTTGGTGTGAAATGCAAATGGTATCCGTATATGCCCCACAAGAATCAATCCATCTCATCTCCAATTGGAAACACTAATAACCATGTAGAAAGCAGCATGTAGATTGCGCTCGCCGGCGTATGTACAACTGATCAGCATTTCAAATGGATGCGCCTCTCATTGTTGAGAACCATCTCTCTAATTATTCTTTTGCTCGTGAGGCGGCGCGCGGGTTGCATCGAGAGATTCCTGAGAGCTTCAAAACAAGTGGCGCGAAAAGACTGTAGACAAGATGTGTTTCCTCGCACACTATCCTCCTTGTGCAGGGATGCGTATTTACGCCTTCCTGGGCCTGCCTCGAGCATTCTTGCCGTCTGTGCCGCGGATCTTCTTGGTTCCGGCTGCTTTCTTGCCAGGCTTCCGTGTGACGGTACCAATCACCTTGTCCGCGACGCCCTCAATCTTGTCACTTAAGTGAGACTTTCTCTTGTGGTGAGTGCCGGTAGTAGAAGCAGCAGCCTTGGTCGAGCCGGCAGGGCGACCGCGCTTCTTGACACCTGCGCCCGTTGCAGCGCGAGACTTGGTAGTGGTGGTACCCGATTTTGATGAACCGGGCTTGCGACCGCGCTTGGCGCCCGTTGTAGTGTTGGTACGTTTGCGCTCTGGGCCAGTGTCGACAGTGAGGTGTACGCGTGGCCGCGAACTGCCAGTGGTGGAGCGCGTCGATGCCATTGGAAACTTTGTTTGTTTACCGTTTCTTGCACTTTCCTTTCCCGTCTTTTGTAATGATAAATTCGTGTTTTGCGGCGGACCAGAACGTTGCGACTAACCGAATGCGACTTGAAAAGGTATTGCACTGTTGATAAAAGAGGCGCGACAGGAATTAGGAATTGTTATTTATTGATTTGCGCACAAGACTATGCGAGTGGGAGGGGCACCTTGACTTTTAAATGTTTTCAGTAAGGACTTGGGGGTTAGAAAAAACCTGGAAATGGATCGCACTGATTGGGATGGCTTTGTCGTAGTGGTACTGATTCCCCGTGTTAGTTGATTAATGGCCTGATGAGCTCCATCCCATATCTATTGGCAGGTCTACCCACCCATATTGCCCAAAGAGGTGAGGCAATGATGTAGATTTTGATTATAAAGCAGTACATGCCCATGTACCATTCTTTTATTTACCTACGTACCTACCTATTGACGTCTGTTGTGCTTTTTAGCAAGTGCTATACCGAGTTGGCAACTACCTTGATGTACTATGATGACGTAGCCAAAACACGTATCAATCTATAGGCTAGACGCGGAGCCAACATTCAAGAAATAACGAGCTACAGATACAAAACAATAATAAGCGTCTTGCACTCCAACATGAAGGCTGTCTCTTCCATTCTAGTAATATGCATGAAAAGCTGCAACGGGCAGGCACAAGTCATTCTTGGAAATTGCATACGAAATGTAGTAAACGAGGGATACTAGTTTTTATTTTCCAACTTATATTTGACATTCTTCCTGCCACAGGACAACCATATTCCCTACATACCCTGACCGCTGCTGGCTCGGTGTAGCGCTGATCAGTAATGTTACCAGAATAGCGGCTGGGCCAAATCAGCCAAGCGTTGCTCTGGACCTTGGGCGGTGATGGTGATGACTTTTCTGAGAGGTTCTTTTGCAGCTGTCCAACAATCACGACTAGCCGGTCCCTTTGAATTTCAAGAGTCCCTTTGTCCCAATCAACATCTATGGATGCGTTGCAAATGTCCCGAGGCATAACCTGCAACGACCTAGCCTTGTTCTGGTTACAAAAGTCTGTCCATTTCAGAATCAGATACCCTGCTTTTCTAGAGTCTCGAGCTCCTTGAGGACAGAGGCTTTGGTAGAAATCTTTTTAATCTGCGTATCCTCCAATTTTTCGCCGCCGGCGTGGCGCATCTCCAGGTCTTCAATGGCACGAACCTTTTTTTGCAAGCTCCTGAGCTTCTTTGCAGCTGGGTTCTGGCTACCAGGGGAGAGAGGGGACTCGACAATGGACGGAATCTGTGCAGTCTGGACCTGGGGGTTCAGGGGAGCGCCACCATCGCGCACGGCGTATCCTTCACCATTGCGCGCCGTGTTGCTGCGGTTGCGGCCCGGGTTGTTACCGCCGGGCGCGTTGTTCCGCGAGCGACTGCGGCTGTGCTGGTGGTTGTTGCGGTTACCTCGGCGTTCGGGGCTGCGGCCATCGTTACCAGCTGCGGCACCCTGCTCGCTAGATGGGGGAGCAAGACCACCCGCATTACCGTTGGCATCATGACCCTCGCCACCTTGCTTCTTTTTGTTGTTACGCTTCTTCTTATTCTTTTGGGCAGCCTTGGAAAGACTGTCGTCGCCATCAGCTGCTGGGGCAGCACCAGGAACAGTGCGGGCACCAGAATCGATGGTTTCAGCACCAGGCACTTGGCGGCGTGCACGACCAAAGCCATTGGGTCCAATATTGGCTGTTCCGTTGCTCATGACATGAGCGGCACCACCCTCATCTTCACGTCGGAAGTGAAGAGGGGTAGACATACCGCGGGCACCGGGAGGGCGGTAGGCGCCCACGGGCTTTGACGGTGTCTTGACTGTGCCCAAGAATGCGACTGCGGAGGAGTGCGCGACAGGCAGAGGAGTCAGAGGATCCGCAGTAGGAGTATTCTCTGGCAGAACCGGACGCCATCCGACGGTGTACAGCTCGGTCATATCCTCATTGTACATGATGGTGCCGCTGACGTGCCAGAGTTTGATTCCATTGTCAACACGGAGGCGCGGGGAGGTGGTGGCTGTCATGATGTAACGGCTGTCTGGACTCCACTGACAGACACTAGGATTACCACTTTCAATGGTGCAAATCTTTCGATAGTCCTTCTCCAGGTCGTAGACGTCGATCTGACCTGCCAAGTTTCCAAAGCCGGCCACCAAGACAAAGCGACCGGTGGGTGAGAAGATCATGGTGTTGCGTGGAGCAATCTGGAAGGAATGCATGGCGACGGCGCGCTGATTGAAGATGGTAGTCTTCGAGGGCATATAACCGTAAATGACTCCAAATTCTTTGCCGTTGGGTGACCAAGACACATCATGGATCGGACCCTCCTTATCCAGGGTAATGCGAGCGTCAAAGCCACCGTTGGCATATAGGAGATACAGGTTAGTCTCTCCATAGTAGCTCTTGTTGGACTTGTCCACTTCGGTTTGTGCCAGCACAATCAGTGCCGTTCCCAAGCTGTTCCACTTGAGTTGGACCTTGTCGCCCTTGAAAAAGGTCTTTTGCGAAATCGGGTTCGTAAACTGAGGAACGTTGTACACTCGGACGCTTGCGGGTTGGCCCTAAAGGTGTCAGTAGGCAGACTCGTGGTTGTAAAATTTCAACATACCTTGCGCTCAGGAACAAAGACGGCAACGTTGTGGCTCTTGCCGGGAGCAATGGCAAAATCAGTCACACCTTCGACCCGCAGCTTGTTCCAAACAGTTCGGAGATCGTGGCTTTCAAAGAACTGCACCTCATTTGTCACGCTACGAGCGCAAAACTTTTCGTCAGAGGTGTATTGCAGGTTCCAGCCCGTCTGGGACTTTTGAACAAACTGTCCAATGGGCTGCTTCTCGGCGCCTTCGGTCAGCTCCTCAACGGTACGCCAGATCTTGAGGTTCTTGGTGGCATCACCGGCCTCGTCCTTGGCAGGGCGTTCCCAGGTGCTGAAATAGGTACCCCTGGGGGAAAAGGCGACCTCGAAGACATTAACGACGGTGACGGAAGTGAAGACATGACCGGTGGTGGCATCAACAATGCCGACACGGTCGCTAGTCGCCCAGGCAAGGTAGCGGCCACAAGGCGAATAGACACAGCAACGCAAGTTCCCTTCCGGCTTGACGAACTCGGCGAGAGGCTCGTAGGCAGGCGCGGCATTGGTGACGCCAATGGCCTTTTGGGTTCGGTAGGCAAACTGCAGAGGATTCGCCATGACTAGTCAAAGTCACAGATGCAATTTGTGGGAAACTGTAGATTGAGGGAGGGAGGTTGTTTCTTTCGTAAAAAAACGTTCAACTGTCTTGTGGCAATTGTCGGCGATTGCGAGATGCGGATTGAATTTTCACACAATGGAAAGCCTAGCACTGAATTGCAGCTGATGTAGAGAGAACACCAAGACGCGTGGCAATGCGGGCTTGAGTCGTGCTCGAGAATCTCTGGTGGTGGATCGCAAATTGGTCAAGAAGCTCGGCGGTGGCGGCGAGTTGAGGGTGAAGACAGGAGAGACAAGGCAATGGTCGATCGTATTTAGCTAAAAAGCAATCGAACCAATCTCTACCCACGTGGTTGTTGTCAGCGGTGATTCTGTTTTCGACTTGTTCGAATCGGACAGTCCGCAGGAGTTATTCAGTGTCGACTGGGTTGGGTGCGTAGCAGAAACGGAGCAGTCGTGGGGTTTTCGGTGGTGAAACTCTGATGTGAATAACAACAGCACGAGGGGCCGAAACGTCAAGCGTGCGTGCTGGAAGGATCAAGTAAAACGTTTTTATTGAGAAGAATGGAAGGGAACACGGAGTCGCCCAGAGGGATCTGTTGACACGGGGCCAATGGGCTGACAAGACGTGATGTTGCGGAGCGTGCAATGGGCTGGGGGAAGAAAAGGAAGGGGAGAGAAGTCAAGAGTTTGACCCTTTGGACCCAATGCTGACACTTTACTTGGTTCGTGATTGGATTTTTTTTTTTTTAACCCCTTCTATCCATGATACACTTTGCAGCAGCTGCCACTCAGATGCACCGCACGGACATTGCAGGTGGCTATGCAGTTTATGCAGTAATTGTGCTATAAATATGCTAGCTTTTATGTTATGCTTGCCTGAGTTCAGGACCAATAGGTACCCAGTCTTACCAGACTTGTTCACATTTCTAACTTACTGTCTGAATGAGAATCACCATAAAATAAGTTGAAAAGTCTCAACACTGTTTATATGAATTTCAAATTATTCACATACTACTAACATTAATGTATCCTAACCTACAATAACAATCTCCCGCCCCCACCTCGATTGTGTGCCTACATACATTCCCTGCATTCCTTGCATACATCAGTTGGTACGACATTGTTTCAATCCATCAATTCTATGTTCATTGCTGTTCATTAAGTAAAAGTGAGGTGAGGCATATCTCTGTAGATTCAACCCAACATGGATTACGTATGCATGGCCGTGTTTGTTACCAGCTAGTACATGCTGTCAAGCATCAGGTAAGCATCAAACTTGTATTACTCGGCTACAGGTGTACTAATCGCAAGCACCTTGTCACTCAAGCATGTAAACGTCGTCTGACATATTTAATAACAGCAACGCAATGCACTGCCGACAGAACCAATCCTCGACCGATCCAAGGAAATGAAAATGGGTAGGCTCAAGTCCAAGCCTGCACAAGTAACCCCAACAATAACTCTCCAGGAACATAAGCAAATTCAGGCCGACTTGTTCCAACATTTAAGCAGCAGTCAGAGTGAATTGGAGGTCATCCAAAAAGGTTGCACCGCCAAGACCCGGATTTGACGCTCTGTCTGTGAAAACGGTCACGAAGCGGACGCTGTCTAGACCCTGATAAGTGTTGTCGAGAATGATCTGGGTCATGTTTGAGCTCAAGCGACTCGTGGGTCGAAACGACAACTGCTGTCCCGCGACTCTCTGGCCATTCCTATACCCAGCAATGGTTATGGTGCAGCTGCCAGCCAGGTTGCCAAGGATACAGCCATAGTAGAATGACTGCAGGTCAAATGTGCCGCTGGAGCCACTGTACTTGCTCGTGATGTAGGGGTAAGGATCGCTCAATCTGTCGAGGTTGCCAAATGCCAGCACATTTGGGATTGAGTGAGCACTGACGGCCTGGAGCGGTCCAACTTTATCGTAAACCTCGGCCAAGCCTAGACATGTAAGTAAAAGTCGGTTCACAGAGGTAATATGCGTACCCATTCCCTTGTAGTAGAGACCCTGAGAGGGCCCAAAGCTCGCATTCACGAGGTTCAGTCGCACGCCCTGAAGACCGCCATCAAAATTGTTGAGTGTCGCCGAGACGATTGTCGCGACAGAGATAATCAAAATAGTAAAGAACTTCATCTTGATGGTGGAAATTTGAACGTTGCAATGATGCAATTGTCGCAATTTGCAATAAATCTTGTAAACGAGAGACTAGAAAGTTGAAGAGTGATGATTTCTTATTTCCTTGGAAAGTCGAGTTCTTGTCAAGTATTTATAAAATTATAGCTTCCAAATGCATTTATCCTGTAGAGGCAACAAGAAGATTATACGCAAGACTGAGGTTTAAGGTTGCAGCATATTGAATCTTGTTCTGTCCCAACGATGAGACTGAAACAGTCGAGCCATGTGCTTTGAGCTACACAAAATCTCCACATGTCTTGCTTGCGTCATGGTCTTTTTGGCAAACCATATCCATATACTTCTTTTTTTCAGCGGAATGGCTTGTCTTGTAAAAAGTCAATCCCTCTAAAGACCTTCCACAGAGCTTCTCTCGCGTTTCGGCAGGCAGCCTACGTGTCGCATCGAAACACTTATCCACTGGTATTGGGGTGGAATAAACCTCCAACTGGTGAATAATAAAGATTTGTTGGATTATTGCGAAATCTTGATGAAATGCGACAAGCAGATAAGTTTCGTCGAATTGACACTATTACTCCTACCGCCATGTCGTGGATCTTCAAGCAAGACTCGATGTGAATGAATGTGAATTTCTCCAACCCGAGTTGATAATATCAATAAATCAACATGCGGTCTAAACCTGGAACCTGAGCTATCACCCGCCATGACGATAAGATGACATTTCCTGGCCATTGATGCCGTCAGGGCTTTGAAACCACCAGGGGTGCCTCGGTAACATGGTTGGAGATGTTCTATTGACAAATTAGAGTTTATTTCGCCGAGCCGCACTTGCAAGGCAAGGCTCACCAAAGAGTGTTGGTCACGCGATCAATGATGCGACAAACGCACCAGAAGCTGTCAGTTTCTCACTCGTCGCCCTAGGGTAGGCTCAAGACTGCTCAATTCAGATTATTGTTGCAGGGAACTGGACAAACATGTCGTTGCTGTTATAACTGCGCAACTATAATAAGAAAGTAATGCTGGAATTAAGCTTGAATCTCTTTATGAATTTGTCATAATCAATTGCCTACTGATTCTTTGTGTATGAAACAGGGAAATATTCATATTTGCAGACGCATGCTAATACGCATTCTGTCCACCTACATCAAATTTGAATATGTTAGCAGCTACCGGTTTCATACCTATTCAAATGAAATTTATCTGCTCGGCCGCTTTATTTGGTGCTTCTTGCATGAAAGCATTCCAGCCCAGTCAAGTGCTGCGTACCCAAGTTTTCCACAAGCTCCTTTGCCGAGAATATACAATCATGTACACCAATACCTCTATAAGAATTCCCAGCCACGCGCAGTCGCCCGTGGAAATGGTCGAGGAGACAACTGTGAAGATCACTCATCCTCTCGCAGTGGCCAACGGTGTATTGAGGTATGACGTCGATACTTAGTTTCGCCAACGCGAGAACTGGGTCCTCTGTTATATGCAAGTGTCGTTGCAGTACTGATTGAGCCATGGAAATGCCTTGCCTTTCACTTGGTAGTTGGCTTTCACTCTTCCCAACCCACCAATGACCGCCAAAAATGACTGTGATCTTTGTGCCTGTCGAGGGACCAATATCTTGGCCAGGCATTGCATCGGAATCAAATATGATGCCCAATGCCTTCTCCGGATTCCAGTGCAGCGGAACTGACCTAGGAACAAGATACCCAAAGCCTCTATAAGGGCTGTTGATCTGCGATTTGCCATAGCAAAGAGTCACTACCATGACCGTTGCAGCTGGGGTCTCAATATTGGAAAAGTCCTGCTGATCCGGAAGGAGTTTTATTAGTTGTTTCAATGCTATTGTAGCAACAACACAATCGTAATGTGTTGATTTTTCGCTCTACAAAACTTTTAGCAGAGAATGACACAGGGACGTGATTTCCATGGAGGCATTGCAAAAGGGGTCTCGTGTGAGCGTGATTGTGGCGATAGAATGCCAATTGTCTTGAGATGGTATTTCTTGGAATGGGTGCCTTCATTTTCCATTTACCGGAATTGCTCACCTCAGTTCGAATTTTGTGTGCTCCTGATTCAATATGGACCACGCGCTCGTTTGTTCTGATACGAACATTGGGCAACTGTTGAAGTGATTTGTACAGAGCAAGAGTCAACGACTGTATGCCGTTTCGGAAGCTGAAGACACTAGCGTCGCACAAGCTTTTCTGAAGATCTACATTCAAACCGAATGGTGCTCCAAAAGGCGTGGAACAGTCATCAATCACAGGTGATTGCCGTTCCACCCCTCTCGGTTGACATCGAGCTTTTTGGGTTTTGCCCTTCGCCAACATTGCTCTTAGCACGCCACCAAAACCGAGCAATGGTCCGAGGTCTTTTCTGCGCTGTTCGGCTTGCTCTTCGAGCCTCCACATCCTAGGCATCAAAGCCTTCATGCTAAGATTATCGATATCCCCGGCATATAATCCATGTATGATGGCCGACATGAAGTTGTTTGTGAAATGGTGGCCCCATCGGCGGGTTACAAATTGCCCGATTGAGTCATCGTCAAGACCTTGGGGTCTCCGCGCGGTCATCATGTCACGGAACACGCCGGAGACCAAATGGGAGAACAGAGGCTCTGTAGCGATGAGCCACGCATAACGAACCAATCGACGAAGACCAAGTGTTGATGGTGCTGGTACTGAGGCCATGTTTCGGCGGATGACTGAGCTGTTGAATGCTGGAAGGCCAACAAGATGTCTCGGATACATGATGTAACGATTTTCAGCAACTCGTGAACTGCTGGGCACAGTGAGTACCTCGGACGCTAACCCAAGAGAGTTTATCTGTACAATTAAAGAGACTCAGCAAGTAAACGCATATCGTTCGCAACACAACGGGAAATTTGACAAGCGATCTGGCTCAGCGTGACCTACAATCTCATATGTCACTGACGCTCGGTCAGCATTGGCCCGTAGAGTTCTTGGCCCTCTTTCGCAGAGAAATTGAATACCATGGTCCGCATTCGGCATGCGAGCAGTCACTCGAGTAGACTCGATGGCGCCCCCAAGCCGTGAAGATGCTTCGAAAAGTGTGATGCTTGCAGATGGAAACCTTTGAGCGGCAAAGTAGGTAGTTGCAAGCCCAGTGATGCCGCCACCAATAACGGCAATGTTACGGGACGAGGCATGCCTACGTGTAGCAAGACAAAGAAGCCGAACAGACCAGTGCGACAGATCAGGTAGCCTCATAAAGGTCTCTGCACGTAGCGGGTGGGTATTTCTGCAACAGGATTGAACGATGAAAGCTGTCATTGCCACAGCGTTACCAAGTCAAACGAGTATGCTTTATTGGACTTGTAACGACTCGATGCTGATTCTTTCTCTATCGGATGAAAGGCTACTTAAAAGTCAATGAAACAAGCGTGGTAATCTATCCTGACAAAATAGTTCTATGATCAGGCCTACTTGTGAAAGTTTTTCAAGCATCCATAAGGATGAATACAACGTACAAGGCGTCACGAAAGTGAGACTATTGTTCTTGTCACCAATTTATCTGATAGCGTCGTGCAACATTATACAGTCCCTGTAATTGCCCGTTTGACTGTCTAATTGTTCCCGCTCTCGGGTAACTTGACCGAGGGAGAGTCGCGGACTTGTATCTTGGAGATGGTCACATACGTGCTCCCTGAGAGGATGACTACCGGCAATTCAAAATGAGGTTGTTTCATATCACGACTCTCCAATATCTTGAGTTGGACTCTTCAAGTCTGCACATTTATGGAGACGTGGGTATATAAGGAATCTTTGCAAGCTGTCAATCCATGCTTGAAAGACAACACCAAGAGCCAACGTCTTTACAGTCCCTAAGCACATTATGAAATCAACTAGATGCCTCATCGTTTCCGGCTGTGCTTATAGCACAGCCAATCTGATCAGAGCGCCGACGCCACTGGCCACATTGACCCTCACAATTCCCACCCAGGGCACAGCTTTTACCACGACGGTTTCAGGCTGCGAAGCTGACAATACCAATGTTGATCCTTTTGCGGTTGTTGCTATTCCAAATGGCACCTTCTACCCTGGGACGCAGACGTATTATGTCCCTCCACAGGCGAGTGCACAGTCAAGCACTTTTGTAAATTATCAGCTCAATGCGACAGAGGTAATTATCATTACGCCGTTGGAAGGAACTTGCGCGCCTTTTCTCCCGCCCGAGACCGCGTCTGGTAGCGAACCCGCATCTGAACCCACCGGTCAGCCTGAGTCCGGCAACCCTGATGCATGTCCCCTTGAGGGATGTTCGAAGCTTGTCAATCAGGGTGCTCGCAAAATTATCGATGCGCTGAATCAGGTGACAATTCTTTCCCAAAGTCTTCAGGCCGCTGCAAAGCAAATAGGACTCAAGCGGGACAACAAACTTGTGGCTCGGTACCCTCTCGGCGATCTTCTGCGAGGTCTACGTAATGTGCCAACCTTGCTTACGTCAATAATTCCTTATGTCCAGTATGTATTACCTTGACCAACAGAAAAGTTTGCCGAGTTATAGCTAACGATGAAATAATCCAGAAACACCCCAGCCATTCCTCCAGGGTGTGATAGTGACACGGTCGTGGTTGCTCTTATCGACTTTGTTCGTGTACACCAGGCCTTGTTGCAAATTCTCATTGGTAGATCGAGCCTCTTGTCTTCTGGGTCAAGCTTTTCTGGCCTTGGTGGCAAGGCAGAGGTCGACAATCTGCAAGAAGAGTTCAAAGAGTACAACCAGCTCCAGGGGAGTGAAAAGTACCCAAACCCTTTCGGGGCTATTATCGCTGGTCTCCTACGTGGAATCGAGTCTGTAGTTGACAACATTGCGTTTGGCTTGATTGGACTTATTCCTACGCGCGACGCGTGTTTGAGACAGCAAAAGCTCAGTATCGATGGAACACTGAACGACGCCATTGAAGCTTACTCTAGTTGAGCGGTTGCGACGGAATCAGACGCTTCACTTCTAATCGCTCTTTTCAAATGTTGGCCAAGGAAAGGCTCGCTTATCGGTGTATCGTGGCGTTTAGCTCGGGAACGGGCGACCAGGCCTTGTGTACAGTCACTCGCTTTGCAAAAGTTTACATTAACGGGGATTGAAATGGAATTCTCCAAGTAAAAGCACTCTCATTTGATGATTCTCAGCAGAGCATAGTATCTTGTAAGAATTCGAATGCATATTGCTCAGCGTGATGTGAATTTCCAATTAAAGTACAAGGTACTGCCATGGGAAGATGGACTCTAGTTGAAAGTCAACAAAATACAGGGTTGGTAACCTTGTAAAATCAGCTCGCCCCCTGTAACAACACGTAATACACGAACCTTGTGCATTCTTCGAGGATAGAGATTTACAACAGAATACTGCAATACATACATTTGGGATCCTACATGGAGTATAAAAGACAGATCATTGAAAGAAAACTAGGTTAGTTATCCGGCAAAATGCAACCGTGAATATGATACCTAAATCGTGCATCCAATAAGAAATGTGGCTGAAGAGTAGTACACTAGATGTGATGATCGTGATCATAATCAAGAAGGCCCCTTTGAATGTCTATCTCGACTTGAATCTAGGTGCCGGAGCCGCATTAGCCGACTTGAGCATCAAAGCGCCTCATTGAAATGGGGATGAGCTACCATGTATTCCACCAGCTTTGTCACTACTGTATGGCTTGTGAATTCATGCAAAAAGGACTGCTCTGATGTAATAATTATTCAATTGTGTTGCTATTTATATGGACAAGAGAAGATACTTGGTATTTCCTGCCCGAATCGATTAAAAATTATCAACATGCACTTTCCCCCTCAAGTTTCACAACTCCAAACACCAGCTCAGTCAGACTCTCTCAGCAAAAGGCTTTTTGTGATTATGCAATTTATATGTATCATTACGAGCGCACAGTTGTCGTCTCGTAATCTGTCGTAGTTGTCGTAATAGTTTCCGTCTCCTTGACCGTCACAGTGACTGGCCCGACGAATGTCGACCGGGGAGCAGTGGCCTTGGCGCCACCATTTGGATTGATGGTGGCTCTATCGATGCTAGATGTCTTGCTGGACTTATGAATTGGGATGATTTCGAGGCCAGTTGGTGTCGTGTCGGGAGAAGTGTGTGACAGTGGTGTGCTTGATTGCTCGACTGCTGTGGTTGAGCTGGTTGTATCTGCATTACCAGTGCTCGTATTGGAAGGAATTTGCTCAGACTGAGACTCTCGGGAACGAGTTTTTGTCGTCAAAGTGGTTGATGTTGCATAAGTCTGGGTAGTCAGCGGTGCCGTGCTGATGGTGACGATGATCTCGCTCGTCACTGTTGTCGCTGGGGGTACCATGGTTACTGTGATGTCGTTTGAACCGCTAGTATTGCTGGAAGTGGTGGAACTGCTTTCGGATGCGGCCGCGCTGGAGGACACGGCTGTGCTTGACAAGGTATCCGAGGTACCGGCAGTAGTAGTAGGCCCAAGAATGCTCGCTGCCACAGCTGGGTCATGGCACCCAATTTGAACACCAGAAGTCGTGTTCATCGGTAGTGCGAAGCACTGGGTGTTCCCAGGGCATTTTGTTATCGCGAACACGCCAACGGCTGTGCATTCGCCGATATCGCCTTTGATACATGCTGCCTGGTTCTGTTGACAGGCGGAATTGTAGGTCAGAGTTTGAAAGACAGAATTGTACTCGATAGCCTGAGCGAGATTCGCCGCAAACACATCAGCAGCTACTGTAGTACTAGAGGAAGGAACACTTGTAATCACAGTTGGTACATTTGTGTTGACGTTTCCAGTTGGAGTGATTGCAGCAGATGAGTTTAATGATTCGGAAGCTTTCGACGAAGTGAGTGAAGATGCAGAAGAGCTACCAGTTGACACAATCGTGGTTGTGGGCGCACTATCTTTATTGGTTGATGATCCTGCCGCCGCCTTGGACGAGGAAACAGTTGTGGTTGTGAGTGAAATTTGACTCGAGACCACAGACGAGCTGCGTCCAGTGCTTGATGTAGTGGGTTTGCTGGTAAAGGGCGTAACCGACGTCACCAGATTACTTGTGGCTGAATCAATGTTGGAAGAGCTGATACTTATACCACTCTTGGTGCCAGTGGCAATTGTAGAGGCGCTCGAGGACTGGCTTGTATTGCCCGTCGCAGGTCCACTTGAGCCCGACGCAGCACTAGAAGTGGTGTATGTGCTTGTAGTCGGGCTCGATGTTTGAGGTAGTTCCAGTGAGCTTGAGAAAAGTTGTGATGAAAAGCTGCTCAAGGCAGATGATGCAGAATAGATGGAAGAGGTTTCGACTAAGCTTGCAGAATAAGTCGAGGTGGGAAGTCCATGCGATGTAGTGTCAATAAGGGTGAATTCTCTGGAAACAGATGTCGTTGATGATTCTGCGAGTTGCGAAAAAAGTCCACTGGCTGTTGATGCTAAACTAGAGCCAGTACTTGTTGATGATATGAACGACAAGGATGTTGTGCTTGATTCGGGCCCATTGTCCGACCTTGGTGCCGTTGTCGAGGAACGGCTTGTTGTAAAAGGCAGATTCGAGGAATAGAGGCTCGGGGCGGTGGACAATGTCGAAACTTGCAATAGTGTCGATGATGCATCAGGATTTGATTGAGTGTTGCCCTCGGTGCCTTCTATTATGGTCGAGGACTGGATAGTAGACGCGGTCGTCAATGTAACAGCAGATGGCAGAACTGATGCTAGGGCCGAGCTGGCACTGTATACTCTTGATGCGGCATCACTCGACTCGTCTCGCTTGATCCTGTCTCATGTTAGCCGCGGTTAGGACATTGAATGCGCATTTTCTTTTACCTCTGTCTCCGGGAGACGGCTGCAGAGCCCCCAGAAAAAAGGAGAATATTGACAATGATGGATATCCGCATATTGTCGATCTTTTCGGTATCGAGAAGAAAAGCGACGGCAGGAGAATGACAGAAAGTGATTGGGATGAACGTGGTTTTTGGTGGGTCAGGATTATTATGTGTCCAGCACTGAGGGAGAACTCTAGAGGCACGACATGTTACCCAGATGTGTGCCACAAAAGAAGGATATTTGATCAAAGAGATACCGGCTCTCAATCGGACCTTGACAATGACTTGGATGCTCTCGACACACGAGAATCAGCACAATACAGACAAAGGAAAAGGAACAGGCGCGGGACGTCGACAGAAAGAGAACAGAGACAAGACGCTATTAGCGGTGGCACAGCGAAGCCGACCATCTACCCTCTTGTATGAACACTGACACGATTACGAGCAGATTCGCGCAATGCGAGGCAGGCATCGGCTAGAACCGATCGATCTGGCCGATTCAAAGTTACTTGGGCAAAGGCAGTGCGGGACTTTGCACCGGGATGCGAATCATTTCTAGCCAGAGCAAATGAAAAGACCCATTGCGTTGGCCTTGTCATTTGCAAAGCTCTTGGTGACCTCGTCTGGTGCGCTGCCAGCCAGGACCATTGGGTCTGAGGCGCCGACCGCAAGGCAGCTCCGGGCTCAGGGATATCAGTAATAGGAGCAATTCGACGACATGTCAAGTGGACATTGAGAGGTAGACTGGCACCACTCGATTAAGCGCCCTACTGCCATTGAGAATACCTTGGGCCGAGTTTCCAAGAGTAGCAGATTCAGGCGCGCGTCAAGATATAATTGGCAGAAGTGCTTTCCGGGGCCCTAGCTTTGGGAAACCCCCATCCAATCGTACCGGTCACGCTAGCACAACCTGAGCCCATCCAACGCCCTGGGCCTGGGTATTAGACATGACCCCTCAAGCCTTGGGCCACGTACCGAATAACACGCCTACAGGACGTCCGACTTATTATTACCTACATGTACCTTTGTCAAATTTGGATAAAAGAGAATAGGTGAGTAAGGCATCAAAATATTGGACATCTTGCACAGACCATACTTGAATGTCTCGTCAAGTTTCCTCCAGATGGCGCCGGTTACGGCAAGTACATACCTATGTACCTAATAGGCGCCTCGCCCTTTCCAGAGTGGACGTGCAACCTCGTTTTCGCCTAGGTTGTAGGCTGGGCTGGAAGCAACCGACAAGCTAGGTCTCGACCCACCTGATGAAGGAGGAAGGAGGCACGGGGTATAAAAGGTGTCGAACAAGCGCACATGTGCATATTTGCAGACGGCTGTGAATTAAAACATTTCCTGGTACAAATGAGGGTGATTTCCAAGAGGCATTTCAATCTTTTCGGCTTTTACCGCTCGTTGATCTAGTGGTGCCAAACAGAATGGCACCTTACCCAAGGAGCAGGATGTAAGCAATAAACGCATTTCCAGTTTGCAATATTCACCCTACCGAAGAACTTGTGAAGGCAACAATCAAATGCAACCAACACACGAGGATGCTGCAACTTGTCAAAATGTAGGAATAAGTGGAGCGCTTCTCTACACATGTATATATCTTTGACCTTCCAGCCTTTGTTGGATGCGAACAACTCAACTAATACAACAACTATTACCCATACCTATTATATCCTTTTATATAATTACCTTATTGAAATCTCTCTCATCTCGGGATGGACCCTGAAAATCATGTCACGGTACCACTGCAGCCACCTTGAATTCTTGTCATACGAGCTTAATCACTTATCATTTTTCATCTCAAAATGGATATAAACCTCGGATGCAAACCAAATGACTCACCTTTATTATCAGAAAAATTAATATTAAAGTCACGGTTAGCAGCCTTTTGCCTTTTTAATTAGCTAGCCCCGGCCTTTTAATGGATTTGTGCATTTAACATTAATATTTAGCTAATGATCTTAAAGATTTTATTCTCGTAAATTTCGTTTGAATATTCGATAAAAGTATTTTCATTTTCTCTTTTAAACTAAGATTTTAATTTTAAAAATTATATATAAATAAATAAAATTATTTATAATTTTATGAAATATATATATATTTCAAATAGATAAAAGCATAATCATAATAAACTAAAAAAATTAACAGGAGAAGTAAAGGTTAGAATAAAGAAAGTATTAATGTCGCCTTGCTTATAAGATTTAACGGTGGCAAGCGGGAATTTATCAAGGGCCATATATGCCATTATACAACTATGGGCAAAGAGCATGCTCGCGATCATTGGGAAACGATTACGAATTAAGACTTATATGCCCACAAAAAGGGACCGGTGCTATGCAGTTTCTATTATGACAAAGTCCACAGCCTCGCCATTATTACAATAAGATAACAAGGTGCAATTAATCGTGTTATGATTATTGTTGTTAAGTAAAGAAGAGGTCAAAGGATGAATGGGAAAGCACTGAAATTCTAAAGAGTCGTGGGGTTGAAAAGTCTTGCTTAAGAAAAGCAGGTACGAAAATAATTATATTAAGCAAAAGCTTAAGTCTTATATGATATCAAGTATCACGATTCATTCAAAGGCAAGGACAAGTTAATCATAATGGAGCAATTTTCATAATTAATTAATTTAAATGAATATTAGAGTCATCGGGTTAAAATCTTAAGAGGGGGGTGGCCTTTTATAAATGTCACAATGTAATCATATAACGTGTTAATATCAATTATTTTATAGTCATTTATCAGACTCGAGTGATCACATGTCGGTTAGTTTCTATCCATATCACCACTAAATCGTAGCATATAACAAATGCCTCGATGCAAGTAATTAAATTGAGCCCCACGGGCATTAATCGCCAGATTTGGCATTTCTCGGTGTTTTATATACTTTATGCTGCAATTACAGTCCATTGACTCGTGAAAGGGGCACTGATAAGACATATATGACATTAAAGTGTAAAATTGTAAAGATTCAAGTCCTTGGACATCAATCAAGGCAATTCATTCTTGTCGTTGTCGTCGAGACTCCAACGCTGCAGTATTGATCACAGATTTCTCGTCGTGCAGCATTTGCACCTCGCGCCATACCTTATATCGTTTCGATTGCCTTGATGAATGTCTTGTGTGTCTAGCCTACTGCTTGTCTATGAAGCTGGTGCTTTTGCGGCTGGGAAATTTTCAACTCTCTCCAAAACTTCCACCATACCTTTCACCATTCCCATTACACATTTCTACACTTTTAACGCATCATCAATCGGCGTTCGATACTCGTTTGATATTGTAGGATTTTCCAGCTCTTCTCTCACGTTGCCAGTGGCGTCTGCGGCATCAGGGCATATTGACGGCTTCGCATTACACCCACCACTCATCACTGACCAGTCAATATCGCAGTGTCTACTCTTGATCGACGCGTCTACATTCGAGGCTAAGTTTTTTTTTTTTTTTTCATTTTTCTGTCGGTAAACAGGCACAGTTCTGTGGTTTCCAACCCCACCCTCACCCTCACCCTCACCTTTGCGTCAGACAGTCATTGACGTTGCCCAAGTCTCTTTACTTGACTTTTTCGTACTTTGTAGCTCATTCTACTTGAATACTCCAAGGTATGTCCCTTTTCTCGTTTGCAGTTTAGGCAACCTCTAGAAAACAACCTTGAACCCCACCCCTTTCCAATGCACGTGCAGCTACTGGGTACCTTCCAATCTTTCACCTTTTCGCATTCATCACCTGTACATTCCATCTTGACACATCACAAGGCCTGTTGCATTTCCTTGTCGCATTGTCGGCTCTTGGCCCATATCACTGTACTCTTTACCTTGCGTCGAGCGGTTATTGACGCTGTCCAAGCTTCTCTATTCGACATCACCCCAAACGCTTCGATACTCTCAAGGCAAGTCCCGCCGCTTCCGTTGTCCAGACTGAGATTTATCTAACCGGTAAATTCACTACAGTGTCCATCTACGCGCTCCAACGCCATGTCAACGGCAGATCCGCCGCGTGGCGGTGGTCGTGGTCGTGGTCGTGGTCGTGGCGGTGGCCGTCCTCGAAAGGAACCCGAGGTGCCCGAACATCTAAGAGGTCAAGACACTTGCTTCTGCGACCGCTGTCGCAGAAATCTCCCGAGAGATCAGTTCCTCCAGCCCGATGGACAGAGCGTATTCAAGACCTGTCAAAGTTGTCGGGACATTAGAAACGCAGGCAATCGTCGGCGTGAAGAAGAGCGACAACAGCTACTTGCCCAGCAACAACTTGCTCAACAGCAGCAATTTGCCCAGCAGCAATTTGCCCAGCAGCAATTTGCCCAGCAGCAATTTGCCCAGCAGCAATTTGGTCAGCAACAATTTGGCCAGCCGCAACTTGGTCAGCAATACTTTGGTCAGCAGCAATTTGGTCAGCCGCAACATGGAGTCATCCGCACAGCTCGAGAGGCTGAACTTGGTTCTCCCGAGCATCGTCGCCGTCCATTCGACCAAGGATACCCCGAGCCAAGTCAACATGTACGTACCCCATTCCCTGCACTTCTCTCCATGAAAATATGCCTAGTCAATTCGTACATCTCTCGAGATTTCCACATGATCAAGAGGATAACAGAGGCTGACCTGTATCTCTGCCAGATGTACAATCAACCGTCATATGGCCAGCAGTACAGTCAACATGGTCAGTATTATCAACAGCCATACGGACAGCAGCCGTATGGACAGCAGCCGTATGGACAGCAGCCGTATGGACAGCAGCCGTATGGACAACAGCCGTATGGACAGCAGCAACAACAGCCATACGGACAACAACCACATGGACAGGATCCCTTTGGCCCGGCCTATCCTGGTGACATGAGGGCACACCAAGGACCACAGCCGCTTCATCCCAACGTGGCTCTGCAGCCACAGAACCAGAATAACCATGAGCTCGATTGGTTTTCCTGTACCATTTGTCGGGTACCTCGAGCCATGAATGCCGTGGAACGCATCCGAGTTGAAGGAGCGCGACGAGTTTGCATTTATTGTGCAAATGATCTCGGAGTTCACATGTACGAAGAAATGCGCTGGTGTATTCAAGGTCATCATTCCGATCACAGACGCACCTTCATTGACCTCCACTACGTGGAGCATCCCCACTGCTTTCGTCACGGTGTTGCTTTGCCTCAGCCAGAAGTGGTCCAACAACCAGCGCTTGTCGGCAATCTTCAGGACTTGGCACTGGCGAATGAATTCCATCGACCCACCGGTCTCGCAGCAGATGCGTCTCTGGTTCGCGAGTTTCAAAGAGTCATGAACGAGAACCAAGTATCTACATGCTCCCGTTGCAATGTGTCATGGCCGAATCTAGAGATTGGCAGAAATGACATTTGCAAGCATTGCCACGACAAGGATGATGCCAAGCCCAACGAGGTTCATTTCTACTCTGCACTCAATCATCTGAAATATGCAGACGTGGACCTACCCGAGCTGACACGAATCGAGGAAATGCTGATTGCTCGGTACCAAGTCTCGACCGACGTATTTCAGCTTGACAGAGGCAACTGGCATGTAGGCATGCTGCCGCTGGAAAAGGTGGAGGAATGCAAATCCCTTCCCGGTCGCATTCAACATTTACCCGTGACCGTCATTGTACCGGCAAATGTACATGTCAATGCCGTGGCTCTACCCGATTTTCGAGTCCGACAGAACCACATTCGCGTCTGGCTAGAGTACCTGATGGAAAACCACATTGTGTACAACGGCATGCAAATTGATCTAGAGGCATTGAATGCACTGCCCCAAGATGGCAATGTGATGGACAGTGTCCATTGCATCACCTGCGAAACTCGCAGCGATGCTGCTGTCGACGAGCAACATAAGGTACAGCTGTCTACGGTGCCCGATCTGGTTGTGCCAGTTCGACCCATTGACATTATTTGCCGTCGCATCAGCGAATTCGATAGGACTGCCTTGATTGTCGCTGGAGCCTTTCCCACGCTGATGCCCGACGGACATGGCGATCCCAATGAACATCGCCAGCGTCCGATCAGCGACGTTGACTTTGTCAGGCATGCCCTACGACAGGCAAGCGGCAAATTTGCCCGTCATTCGCGATTTGCACTATACATGTTTAATCGAATCACGCGTCGACGTGTTTCGGGCATGTCTGGTTTCTATGTCGCCAATGTCCATCCCAAAGATTCTGTGCAGATTGAGGACATTCAAAAGGCATTTGAAGGAGACTCTGTCGAAGGACGAGCGCTGCTGAACCACCTGTGCCGGATGGCAATCGAATTGACGGGCACCAGACCGTACTGGCTGTCGCGACGCAACGAGCTCGAGTCTTTTATTGACATGCTGGATTGCCCCGACATCTTCTTGACGCTGTCTCCTGCGCAAAACTTTTGGGACGACCTGCAAAAGTTGATGCCCACGTACGATGAGTGGCGGAACGCGTCACCCCGGCGCCAGGTTGAAATTGCTAGGCAAAATGTCGAGCAGTATCCACACATTGCCGCCTGGCACTTCCAGCAACGCTTTACCAACTTTCTCAAGCTGGTGCTGGGACCCAAATTTTGCATCACAGATCATTGGTACCGATACGAGTGGCAGTCAAAAGGTGCCCCCCATGTACACTGTCTGTTGTGGTGTAAAGGTTCGCCGAAGTTTGATGAGGACCAAGAGGCTTGGGTTCATCATTGGGGTCTGCATGTCAAGGCCACCAAGGTGGACGATCACCCCATTGCAAATGTCTTGTCAATAGCAAATCTTCCCATGACTGACAATAGTCTGAGTGCCGTGCTCTCCACTGTTCAGTTTCACCGATGCTCCATGTACTGTCTCAAGGACAAGACGTCGACGGTCAATCGCTTGAGCAATGAAGAGTATCTGCTACAGACCAACATGTCCCTTGCCCCTGGTACCCTTGATGTACTGAGAGAGTCGGGAAAACGGCTGGAGAATTTGAAGTGTCGGTTTTACTACCCTCGCCAATCTACACTACAGCCCAAGGCGGACTTGTCTCTAAACGACAAGTATCCCATGTTTGTGGCCCAGCGCAATGATTCACAACTGGCACCCTACAATGGTACCCTGGCCGTGGGTTGGCAGGCCAATCACGACATTACCCCTTGTACTACATCGCATGCAGTCAAGAACTATATTGTCAAGTTTGCCGGTCGTGCAGAGTCCCGATCAGAGTCCCGATCAGAGTCCCGATCAGAGTCCATGGCTACCATGGCGAAAGAGCTTCTCAAGGACGCCAACGAGCAACGACCCTTGCACGATTTTGCCAGTCGTTTTCTCAACAAGCTCTTCAACGACCGCGAGTGGACGCAGCAAGAGATTCTGCACCAGCTTTTGGGTCTCCATGTCATGGGTGCTTCGCGAGAGGCAATATATGTGGATTGTCGACTACCGACTGATCAACCAGCAAAGTTCTCGTTGCGAAACAATCAGGTCAATCAGCAAAAGTCCATCTTGGAAAAGTACATGAAACGACCGGTAGCCTTGAAAGATGTCCCCTATCGAGAATGGCTAAGCGATTATAAGGACAACGTGCGACGCCTATTCGCACAATCAAGGGTCCTTATTTACTTTCCGCGATACACGCAACAAGAGGCTCCAGAAGACTATGCGCGCGTTAAATTAATGCTGCACCACCCGTTTAAACATCTTGACGACCTCAAAAAGGTCAATGGCGTTGCCTACGATACATACCAAGAAGCGTATGAATTTTGCATTACCATCCACCACTCACATCCTGTCGACTTTTACGATGCCGTACCCCTTAAGGATCGAAACGACATTCAAGAGTCTTGGGACGATTTAGATAAAAAGGGATATTAGAAGGGATGCTAAAAAAAATATCGAAAAAAGAGTTAAATTTAAATTTTACTTTTATAAATTAAATTATATTATATGAAATTGCCTTTTAAAGACCTTTTAAACGCGAGTTTTTTAATTTAATATAAAATAAATTTTTAAATAAATTTAAATTAAATCAAATTAATATAATAATTTTATTATTTTTTTACCACTTTAATATAATAAAAATTATAAAATTTTAAATTTGTAAAAAATAATATAATTCTTTCTAATTTTTTTTCTAATTTCTTTTTCTAATTTTTTTTTCTAATTTCTTTTTTCTATTTCTATTTAGTCGATTCCACTAACGGGACGTGTGACCGCTTTGTCTATTTGGCTTGGAGAATTTCGGCCCGGGGACGGTTTGTATAGAAGCGCTCGCAAAGCATGTTTCTTGATCTCGCAAGTGCTCGGGTACCTCGGTCGGAACGTGCCCAAGTTGATTGCCAGTGCAATTAGCTTGGCCGATCAAAGCAGCAGCTCCCCGAGATATCGGAATACTCTTAGCGAAGAACAATCTCTGCCACGCCTGCTTCAACGGTTAGTAGGTCGTTGCTCTTGTCATTTCCTAGATATGGCTTGCCAGCGGCACTAGTCAGCAATTTTGCTGCCCTGGGCATCAAAGAAATATATCCATGGTTATGGGTCCCGGTCTCCTGGGCGGGTCTAAGGACCTGGTTCGACCTGGTTCCTCGCCAGGACACATTCTCGGGTATGTCACATGGATATGGTTGCATAGACTCCCTGCTAATCATATACAGATTTGCTCATGAGCTCAGCGTCTCTTGTACGGCAATGGATACGATGCACTCGACACGACGCCTCGAGACCTCGACGCCATGAACTTGCATCTCCGAGAGTGAGTCGAGTCTCACCCATCGTTTGGGTTTGTCTCTCAAAAGTCACTGCGAATACAAGTTTGCCAACTCTATCTAGCCTCCACGTGTCCTGTCGAATCGCTGCAAATGGATCGCCAAAGTTTGCAATTTGCCAACCATCAAGCTCAATTCGACTGGCTCGGCATGCAGGTGGATTGTGTGCAGTCGATACCTACCACGAGCGGGGAGCAATCCTTTTCCTACATGCCGACTGTCTAGTCTCTGGCCTCAAGAAGTAGACCTTGACAAGATTTTTGAGGACAGGTCCTGTAGCCGACTGACATTTTGGGATTTCAAGTGCTCCCAATGATCTTGGCATGGGCTCTGTCAACCCACGAAGCCCAGGGACAACACTGGAGCGAGTCAAGGTCGAGGACGAGACCGACTTCATTCGTTACTTGAAATCCCTACCCACCGTCACAGAAGAGACCGCCTTTATTCGCCATTTCAAGTCCCTATTACCGATGGGCTTCGCCCGTTCACCAAGCCCAGGACGAGATCGCCTTTATTCGCTACTCCAATCCCTACCCACCGTCACAGATGAAACTGTCGAGGTATTTGACAGAGGAGACCGACTTTATTCGCCATTTCAAGTCCCTACCTACCGATGGGCCTTGCCAGTCCACCAAGCTCAAGGACAAACACTAGAGC